ATATGGGTTTAAACAGGTGCACTGTTGTGTGTGGTGACACTCTAAACCTGGCTTACTTTGATTCAGTCTGCATTGATAAATTAGGCACAAGCTAATCTTATATAACCAACTTTAAACTGATAGAAGAATGTCCACATGGGTGTTTGTACTGGCTTGAACCAATTTAAATTACACAGGTGCAACTCCTTTGTATAGACAACCCCAAGAGAAATTTCAGAAAATTTGTGATGGGCTATACAAATTGCATATTAGCTCATTAACCCTGTGTTGCCCAATGTGGATGCAGGTTGCCCCACCCCATCATACTTGGGAGAGAGGTCAAAAATGGATGGAAGATCTTAAAAGGGAGAAACCAAGCTCAGTTGAGGGCAGTGCAAAAAGGACAGCAGACTTTCGCTCCTTAACTATGGATAGAGGGCTGATGGAATGCAGAAGCTCCTTGGATGACCTCTGCCAAATGGCTCCTCCCTGAAAGAAGGGTAGGCTTGAAGCTGACTCACTTTTGAGAGGGTTTCATTACTCTCTATTTACTTGGGAACCTGGGAACTGCACAGTGAGTTAATATGGAGAAGACAAAAAATCTTACTGGAACAGAAATTTGGTTGGCTGATAGCAGATCACAATTAACAGGTCGTCACAAGTGTGTTTCATTGTATTTACCCTTGATGCTCAGAATGCTGAGGTACACTTATTATGGAAAGAGAATAATGAGCGAGGTTGTTGGAAGCATAATAAAAACACAGATGCCTCTAAAACAGTGTTTATCAAGTGTTTAGAAAGGTATTTGCTATTGCTATCACAACATATCACAAGATTGAGAGGTGACTTGATCACGATGTGTAAGTACCTTCATCAGGAGAAAACACTGGGCACTGAAGGGATCTTTAATCTAGCAAAGAAAGGCATAACAAGAACCAATAGCTGGAAGCTAGTTAAGAACTTATTTCTAATTTGAATTTAATAGTTGGGGTGATTAGCCACTGAAACACACTACCAAGGGAAGCGATGGATTCTCCATCTCTTGATGCCTTCAGATCAATACTGGATGCCTTTTTGGAAAATATGATATAGTTAAACACAAGTTATGCTTCAGTCAAATACAAGTTAGTGGGCTCCATACACGGATAAATGGGTGAAATTTAATAGCCTGAAATATACAAGTCAGACTAGATGATCTAATACTCCCTTTTGGTCTTAAATTCTATGAATCCATTAATTTATAATGCCACATTACCACTTTCTTGCAGGAATACAACCTTCTTAATAATGGCTCATCCATGAGTGTTCTTAATAAAGAAAGTATTGTTTTGCTATTCTCTGCCACGAAATTCCTGAAGGTGGTATTTCCACAGAATATATTACAATGTGGTGGGTCTATGGGGATTTCAGTAGCATTGAGGCTCACCTGGAATTTAATACCTATTTAATATAGGATCTTTCAAAACCCAATCTTTTTTTCCCCCAAAGACAAGAAGAGACTTTCAGATTTAAAGAATATGTTCCTCGGAACAGGGACCTGAGGCACAATCCTGACTCTTACTGAGGCAATGACAAAATTCCCATCCACTTTGATGAGGCCTGGTTTCATTCTTTTTCTTTATACTTGTTTGTAAAGAGCACAGAACCTTTTTTCGCACTAGAAGCACTCATTCTTTTGCCTCTTTTTTTCCATTTACATAGACATTACTCTGGATAAAATGTTTTGACATATTATACCAAAACTTGAGTCTCTTACCTGTGGGATAATTTGCAGTGTAGACACAAAGCAAATGAAGAGCTATTTGCATTAAGGAGTCATCCATTATAAACCATGGCCACAGAGAGTGGAGGACAGGGACAAGATGAGCCTCGAGTGCTGCCACCTAACAGCAAGAGATAAGGAGGAATATACAGTACAATAATGAATATTGGTTTGAAGCATTTTATGCAATATTGAAAGCAAACACAGGAAATTAAAGAATTTTAACATACTATGGAGTTCTTTTAAAAATTCTTTTTTCCTTGAAGGGTCCCTTTAATGTACTTTAGATTACAGAATTAAAATTTACTTGGTTGCTTTAAATGGTACTAGAGGCAGAGGACAGTCTTGTTTCAATACTGGAATGTTGTCTCCACAAGCTGCCTCAATCACATTTTAATTCAAGTCAACACTGAGACTTGATTGAACTGGTTCCATCCGGACTCCATAAGATTGTCTTTACTTACATGCACTGATATTTTTTGCTATTTTCTTGATAGTCTCCATTGACTTGTTAGTAAATTCTCATAGATGTGCATTGACACTTTTTTTGTTTCATCCTCATACTGTATAAACTGAAGGATATTTACCAGCTACTAAATACAGTAAAAGCTTGTTTACCCAGCATGCTGGGGAAATGCGGGGTGCCAGTAAGTGAAAATTTCTGGTTAACTAAGAGGGAGACAGTTTGGGTGTGGCAGAGGATGTGGAGCTGGGGCACAGCAGGGGGTGTGGAGCGCAGGCTCTGGGAGGGAGTTTGGGTGCAGAAAGGGGCGTGGGGTGCTGGAGGGGACTCCGGGTGCCTGATCTGGGAGGCACTCACCTCGGGCAGCTCCCCACAAGCAGCGACCTGTCCCTGCTGTTCCGAGGTGGAGGCTCGGCAAGGCGGCTCTGCATGCTGCTCCCGCCCTTGCTCTGCAGCTCCCATTGGATGGGGACTGCAGCCAATGGGAGCTGAGGAGGTGATGCCTGCGGGTGGAGGCAGTGCGCAGAGCTGCCTAACCGCACCTTTGCCTCAGAACAGCAGGGACAAATCGCTGCTTGTGGGGAGCTGCGTGGAGCCAGGTAGGGAGCCTGCCGGCCCCGGGCCAACCAGACTTTCTATGAAGATTAGAAATGCCGTTTATAGAGCTTTCCGGTTGGTAGAGGGCCGGATAACAGAACTTTTATTGTATATTGTTTCTGCAGATCTACACTAACAAGCCAATGTTGTCATCCTGGAACATTTTAATTACTGGTGAGCATAAACATGAAACTGAAGATGTTCTAACATTCCAACTGCGATTTTACAAGGCCTCACCCTCCTACACATACTGTTTCCCTCTACCTCAACTAAATTTGTTATTAAAACTCTGGAAAAAGCAGAAAAGGAGGGAGGATCAGTGTAGTTCTGCAGAGAATACATTCAGAGAACTTCAGTCATAAGCAGTAAGAGAAGGTCACCTGTGCAATAACAGAGGTTCCTCGAGATGTGTGTCCCTATGGATGCTCCACTGTAGGTGCGGCAGCACCCCGTCCCTGGGATTGGAGATCACTGGTAGCAGTGCCCATTGGATCATGCACACCTCCCTGTCTTGCGCTGTGAGCGGCAGCTATATATAGCACTGTATGGTCCAACTTCCCTCCAGTGCCTTCTGTCCAAAGCAGAGGGAAGGAGGGTAGGTAGTGGAGCACCAACAGGGACACACATCTTGTAGAACTCTTCTCCATGTTTTTCCTCACCCCCACCCTTCCAATAAGTATTCCATTTTTCCCTTTGGAAATTTTGTCTTCTAGCAGGGGGAGGTAAGAAATGGGTAGGAAACGGGTAGGAAACAGTCCCCTACCAAACATTTTGGCCACTACCTACACATTTTTAGCTTGACATCCCATACCACCTCTGTTGGCAGAAGTTTGTATTCAGTGGCTGGGAGCTGAAGTTTCAGTGTCAGAGTTAAAAGGTTTGATGTATGCATGTAATGTTCTCTGCTGCAGGAAACAAATGAGCCATTCCGGTCATTGGTATTAAGATGAGGTCCAATCAACCTGAACAATACTTAAAATTGAACTTATCTGTAATCTTTATTCTTAGACCCCGAACTAGCTGTATGTGGTAATATTATAATACAAATAGTATGACTACTTACTTTGCACTCTTCATTTTGAAAGAGGCAGTTTCTTAGGAGCTGCAGAACAATCCTTAGTTCCCTGATAAGATTATCCTCCTGTTTCGACAAAAATGTTTCAAGAGTGTCAGTTTGAAAAAAGAATCCATTTTATATAAGCAGCATGTTTGTCTTAATGGCTATATTGTAACACACAAGCTCTCACTTATGCCACAGAACCTTTACTTGTAGGACGCTAACCATCTCTGAAAAGTGATATTTCAGTAAGCTCATCCACCACAGAAATCTATTTCTGGTCGTCTATCAAGCATAAAGGAACAGTGATATAAAATAGGGTCCATGCTTCATCTCTATAAGGTGATACATGTAACACTTGTTTTTAAATCCCTGTATGTATGCTGGCTAGGACTCTTGAGTGATGAAGTAAAAGGCCTCTCAAAGAGGCAATGTGAGAGAGCGAGAGGAGGGCAGGATGAAATAGAAGGAAATATGAAAGTTATCTTTACAAGTGACATTTGTAACAAGTTTTTTCCCATTTTAACAAAACAAAATACAGATAACATGCAATCAAAAATTGCTGTGGGAGCTTCTATATACACTACTAGCTATTTTTGTATTTAAATAATAAATCCTAACTGCAATCCTCTTTCCAAAAAAACAATACCCTATAATTAAAAACTAACAGTATGGAAATCATTGGGATGTCAGAAAGTTGCAAACATACAAATAGGATACTCATCCATAGTATTTACAATATTGTGCCTCCATATATTTCTAGAATCATGTTCAACCCTCCCCTTCATAATTCCCTTCCAAAAGGGTGAAGAGTCCAAGCAGATAAAATTAGCCGGACTGATGATTAGCGGAAGAGACCCTGTCTGAATCATTTCTCTCAAGGGAAAGATTTAATTATTCAATTAACACACAATAACTGGGCAATACTCTAAGCAAATGCACTGTCACTGTCAAGAAAGAATATCAAATATCAGAAAAAAAAATTTTCTGCTGCAGATAAAATGTTTTGTGTCCACCGTGTCGATTTTACAGTTACCTTTTTTTTCTGTGCTGTTTTTCCAGGCCTCAGGGATTCTAAGTTCAGCTGTGCATGAATGTGCTTCATCTGTTCCATGCAGCTGTCTATAAGGTCAGCTGAAAGACAAAATCCATACAATTCAGAAGCCTATTCACATTCAAAAATACCCAAAACCCCTCACTTGTAAATTAAAGTATAAGGAATTTTGTTTCCTAATCAACTCTTCAACTTTGTGCTTTCCACATAATTAAGGCTCTCTATATGATGGAAATGAGGTAAGAGTAAAAACAAGTAACCCAACCTTTTTACCCAAAATACTCAGGTGGGTAGGGTATTTCAGCTGGTACCCAAGAACATGAATTTGTGTTCAATACCTAAACCCAGTTCACATTACGAAGTTATGAACAAGAGGGTCAGAAATCCATTAACCAAGTTGAAAAACAGCCAGGAACTGATGGAGTTAGGGTTGTACACCTTTAAAACTCTCTTTGCTTCTGTGTGCATGCATCATGGCATAGTGTCCCCTTCTAGGCTAATTGTTTTTTAACAGTTCTGGGATTTGTCAGGCAAGTGGGGATCTATGAGGCAATTTCACAAAGTGGAAGTTAACTACTGTACATGACCTAACAGCAACGGGTGGGGAATGTAATGTCTTATATATACACACTATACAAAGTGTTCTTCATCCCAGAAGACCTTCACAAGTTTAGAATAAGCAGACTATACAAAGGAATCCACCTACAAAATACAGTCCTTCTGAGATGAAAAAAAAAGACAACAGTTTAACTAGTTTAGGACAGTACATTATTATTATTTATTATTATTATTATTTGTATGCTTGGAGTGCTCAATGTGTTACAACTGTCCATATGCACAAAGTCACAGCGTCTTCACAGAGAACATCACAAAAGCTCTGAGACACTGGTAAAAGAAAAAAAACAACAGGTGTTAGACACCAGCAGTGTTTGAATGTTTTTAGTACTCTAAATGCTGAGGAAAATAGGTGTCAAAGCACTGAGAAAGACAGGTTTGGAACACCACAAAAGTACACTTATGTGCCCAAGTCTCAGAAATGTATGGTGTACTGTACCCGGCCAGCAGGTAGAGCTGGGATGAAGAAAGTATACTTAATGGACGTCAAGTCACTGTGATCTGGAACAGTAGCTTGTAGGGAGTTCTTTTGCTACCTACAGTCAAGAATGAACATTCAGAAGGCAATACTTATAGCTGGCAAAAGTTGTGGATTGTTTCTAGCAAGGATCATGCTCTGTTCGGTTCACGGTCTTCATGCATCTACCAATCTCATGCTAAGAAACCAAAAACCAGGAATGAGACTCTTATACAGATGGTATCTTTAGACTGAGAAACAGAGCCTTTGTGTTTTCTAAACTTTAAGTTAAATGCTCAGTGACATATATAGTTACAAAGAAACAAGATAAAAACAGATTTTAAAATATTCTTAATTGAAATTTAGGGCAAGAGAAATATTTGTGTCTCTCTATGTATCAGTTGTAGTAATTCAAACTGTATTCTAAAATTCACTAGGGCAGTAGATCCTGTAATTACCTCATGCACAGAATAGTTGTGAAGATTAAAAATAAATATAAAATGTATAATATTCCACTAATAAATCACATTATTGAAAAACTACACACAAGCCTCCATTCTCTGATTAAAAGGTTACTTACCATGGACAGTAACTGTGGTTCTTTGAGATGTATCCCCCTATGGGTACTCCAATTCAGAAGCACAGATGCCCCATATGCCTTCAGAGATTTTCGTTAGTGGTCTGTCTAGCCTAGAGGTGCACACTGCACAGCCTCATGTCCTGCTCAGAGGCTGAATAGGGCTGCATGGATGAACCACCCTCTGTACCTTCTCTACTGCAAAGCCCCACAAAGAAAACTCTGAAGCAGAGCAGGTAATGGAGCACCTATAAGGACACACATCTCAGAGAACCATAGTTACAGCAGGGGGTGAGTAATCTTTTCTTCTTCTTCTTCTTCTTCTTCGAGTACTGTCCCCATGAGTGCACTCCACTTCAGGTAACTCCTGAGCATCATCCCCACAGGGAGAAGGGAAGTTTGGAATCGAGTGAAGAACTCAAGAACGAACCACATTGCCAACCACTATATTCGATCTAGAGGAATGGATGAAGGAATAGTGCTTGGAGAAGGTATGTACTGAAGACCAGCTAGTGGCTCTGCAGCTCTCATATACTAGAATGTCTTTAAGTAATGCCATAGATGTTGATTGTGATCTTGCAGAGTGTGCTAACACCCAAGGAGGAGGCTAAATGCTGATAGCATTGTAACATGCAAAAATACACCCACAGATCCACCTTAACCTCTGAGGGGAGACAGTGATCCTTTAGATCTGCTTGCAATGGAAACAAACAGTCTAGGAGACTTCCAAAATAGTTTGGTCCTATCCATATATAAAGCCAAACCTCATGTGACACCTACAGTATGAAAGGAAGCCTCCTGTTGAAAATTGTGGGTTTCAGGGGAAAAAAAGCAGTAAATTAATGGACTGATTAAGATGAAACTCGGATGATGCCTTAGGTAGGAATGTAAGGAATAAGGAATTTAGGGACGGAAAAAAACCTGGTCTTTGAAAAATACTATGACAGGGGGATCTGCTATTAAAGTGCCAATTTCTCCAACTCTTCAGGCTGATGTGATTGCTACCAAAAAGGCCATTTTCATGGACAGATTAAGTCAAAACTGGTGTTTTGATGCCAGCTGGGTATTTGGGCCAGGTGGATGAGAGGTTTTTTCCCGCTCTGGGCATCTACGTTTCTTACTTGGGTGTGGGGGGAGGTCAGTAGGTCTTTGGAACCCAGAGAATCAGGGTAATCTGCTGGCACGCTGCGAGACAGTATTTACATTGACCGTCTGCAGGCATGGCCGCTCGCAGCTCCCAGTGGCCTAGGGTCACCGTTCCTGGCCAATGCGAGCTGCGGGAAGTGGCGCAGTCCACAGGGATGTGCTGGCCACAGCTTCCCGCAGCTCCCATTGGCCTGGAAGACTTAAGGCACTCAAAGGATTTATCGTTGACAGATTAACTGGAGTCTCTGCTGCTTACGGGTAACAAGACCCACTCAATCACCAGCCTCCCATATGTCTTCGGTGCCTTCCAATTCCAATTCAGCACCTGTTTTGGCTGGAGCTGCCTCCTCAGTTGTCTATAATCTTACAAACCAGATGTACAAATTGTAATGGTAGGTTAATATTGATGTAAATTCCCTTGTCAGTTACAGATTTTTAACATTTTAGGGGTTTTAAAATTGAAGACGCTATAGTTTATGCTGTTCATAATAGGGTTATTCTAATTACTTCAACAACTTTAAATCCTTGAAGGATTTCCCCCCCATTTTTAACGTAATACAAATTTTTAAAACATTATACTTATTTAAAAGAGACATGGTAAAAATAAACCCCTTGTTTTACCACACGGCATAAGTACATAAGAATGGCCATACTGGGTCAGACGAAAGGTCCATCTAGCCCAGTATGCTGTCTTTCAACAGTGGCCAGTGCCAGGTACTTCAGAGGGAATGAACAGAACAGTTAATCAAGTGATCCATCCCCTGTCACCCATTCCCAGCTTCTGGCAAACAGAGGCTAAGGACACCATCCCTGCCCATCCTGGCTAATCGCCAATGATGGACCTATCCTCCATGAACAGATTTAGTACTTTTTTGAGCCGTGTTATAGTCTTGGCCTTCACAACATCCTCTGGCAAAGAATTCCACAGGTTGACTGTGTTATGCGAAGTAATATTTAACCTGCTGCCTATTAATTTTATTTGGTGACTCCCTAGTTCTTCTGTTATGAGGAGTAATTAACACTTCCTTATTTACGTTCTCCACACCAGTGGAGGAAGAGAAATTCGCTGTCACCCAGAGAGCAATGGTAAGGCGAATGTGTAAGATATCGCTTCGTGATCATATTCCAAATGAGATCAGAAGGCGTCCAGAGGTGTCTGATGTAGTGCAGGCGACGTACGACGCAAAGCGAAGATAGGCAGGTCATGTAGTCCGCAGGCAAGACAAGGGGTGGACAACCCTCATCAGTAACTGGATTCCCAAAGACCATAAATGACTGCTGGGCAGTCCAAAAATGCACTGGGCCAATCCCACGACAAAACTTTTAGCCAGAAATGGAAAGAACGTGCTCACAACAAAACAGAATGGCGTGGCTTCGACTTGCGCTCGTGGAGGCATGGGCAAGGACAAGCCGGACAAAGGTGACATCACATGGTCACTACTGACTAGTACTAGAAAGCTAGATCCACTTAAATGAAATGCTGTGGGTTGTAACCTGTTAATGTAACCTGAAATATTACTGTTAATAATAAAGATATAATTAATTCAAAAAGTGTTAGATGGGGTACTGACATTTACATATAATTGTAAACTTCAGTAATCAAACATTTTATTTACAGAGAAGCTTCTTAAAAGCAATATTAAAAATAACAGCTTTGTTTTTAGACTGAAGACAACGAAAAAATACTATTGGCAAGCATTTGATTTACAGAGTATTTTAAGTATACTGTAGCATGTGTGTCTTCAGGCTTACCTTCCAAAGCACATTTCTGGGCACTTTTACTGACAGCCAGCAGGGACAGTAAAGCACCTGCAGCAACTCGTTTCCGCACATCTTTAGAGGATTTTCCTTCATAGCTCTGCAAATGAGTAAAGATTTATCACTACATTGGAAAAGTAAAACATATACTGGAGAAATGTTCATGATCATGTTTATGCCTGTACAAGTGATGTACCATTTTGAGTTCTCATTCTGATGACTCAAAATTAGAGCTGGGCAAAATTTTCATTTTGCAGGAAATTTCAATATTTCAAAATTTCCCACGAGCCAGAGATTATGAAAATTTTTGTTTTGGAAACACCAAAACATGGTGTCTATCTGCTTTAATTGGAGAGAAACATGTTGAAGTTAGAACAATTAATTTTGTTTTTTCTCCCACGGCACAACTGTCAATCTGTGATAAATGTGTCTATATGGGCGCTATCTTTTGCTGGGGAAAAGTGGACAGGAAGATTAGCTAGATATTGGGAAAGTGACTATGTTAAGACTTTACACTAAACCTAGGGATTGAGTTTCTAAATACTATGTGTACTGATCTTGCTATATCAAGAGAGCTGCAAAAATCCACTCACCAATTTGTAACTTCCCCTAGGGAGTAAGTGGGGAGGAGCAGTTAAGACATCAATTTCTACAGAATTGTAAAAGTCATTCTGCTGCTAATTGGTACGGCTATGAACAGAACCTCAGATATATACTTGAGATATTCAGCAGAGAAGAGCCCTAAAAACAGATGGAACCCATAAGGTTGTGGAAAGGCTAGAGTGTATGCCCACACAACAGCAGTAAGGAGGTTCTGAGGTTGTAGGGGAAGAGGGAAAGGTCTCCTCCCTTCCAGCCGTCGGAGTGCACTAGAGGGAACTTAAATTATCAACAAAGATAGCACTCTAGTAAAAATCCTACCATCTACAACAGAAATTCTCCTGAGTGCATTGCACCTAGACTTCACAGATTGTACCCCACCCGCTTCTATCTTACATATCATCCCCTGGCTATTAGCTTTAGTCCTCCAGCTAAAAGTCATTGTCCAGTATGTTTTTCAAACCCTAAATGTGCAATAAATTAATTCTTGCTTTAGGGTTATTTACTGCAGAGCTTAAGCAGTTAGAAAGGCCTGAATAAGAGAGTCAAAATAGGAATGAAAAAGAATAATGTTTTTCGGACAGGAAAACAAACATTTTGATTATGGGTATGTCTGCACAGCAAAGAAAAACCTGCAGCTGGCCAACTCAAGTTCACGGGGTGGATGAGACGGGTTGGGGAATCTCTTCTGCTAAGACAGCAACAAATGAAAATATAGAATGAAGTACTGTTTATGAACAGTTGATCAACCACTAACAGATTTAACATAACTTGAAAAAAATACGATGCTGTAGTTCTTATAGGTAGGTCACCTTTTGGTTGAAGTAAGACAGTTCAAGGAAATCACCTTAGGAGAAATGAGTAGTGTGTAGAACTGGAAGGCATCTCAGATGCTAACAAGAGAAGTCAGGAGAAATGGAAGCTAAATAAGAATGGTGTAGTTTGGGACGCAAAGAATTGTATGCACTGGTGGTTGGAAATAAGAGGGAAATTTTGAGTTGGTTGTCTAACTCTCCTTTGGGCCACTGAAAATCTCTCACTAAGCCCTCCAGCTGGGAAGTCTCTCAACAGCAGAAAGCTGACTTTGGGCTTGATTTACCTCTAGGTATGCTAGCTTAGGTGAGTATAATAAAGAATGGAAGGGTCTGCGAGAGTGTAGAATTGTGGCAGCACATACTACCTCTCAACCCTCACAAAGGAGTATGTAATTAACCATCTCAAAATGTGACTGCTCCTGGGAAGGGAGCGGCATGGCCAGAACAGCTGGGAGTTGTGCTGAGTCATTATGCAAGCATCTCCAACAGCAAGCTTTTAACAAGCTCTGGAAGCAATGTAAAGATTCCTTCCTTAAGTGGAAACCCCAAGGAAAGTGGTACCAATTGGGGTAAATCAAGCTTTGAAGAGCCCTAAACCCACAGAGCAGGTTAAGTTTCCTATTAGACACATCTGGAAAACTAAAACCACCCCACAATAAGTATCTGGTGAAATGAAACGGAAGTTCAGTGACATTGCTAGTCATGGCTAACGTTTTGTTTTCCACATACAATAGCAATTCTTCTAACAGTGGGTAAGTGCATCTTAGCAAGTATTCTGCTATTTCTATAATGGAATTTGGGGATTCATATTGGAGTAGTGTATGATAAAAATTAAAAGATTTACACATTTTAATCTGTTAGTTTTCCCAGATCATTAATTACATTTTGAGTTTCTTCCAACTGAAGTTGCCAAAGAGCTTTCGTGATTCAACCACATTTTATGCACTTCTCTTAATAAGTAGTAAAGGCTTTTTTCCTGTGCTAGCCTGTCAAATGCTAATTGTGTATATCTTGCCTCATACTTAAGAGTAATAAGAGTTCTCATCTCATTAATATTTGATATATATTTACTAATTGGTCTATCATGTTGCTTTTCTGTAATCTGAATACCCCATTATGTGACCCCTTAGGAGTAAATAAATACTTCTAAGTAAATTAGGGTACTTATACAATATTCTTACTCATGTCTCAAAAGTTCATTTTTTCTTTCCTCCCCCCCCCCCCCAAACTGTCTTGAGAAAACAACTGTAAAAAGTCCATATTCTCTCAGAACTCATCCCTTAACATATTCCCTACTACTCTAAGTGGAGCAAGTACTGAGAGGTTAATCAGAGACCACAGTATTAGATCAATCACAGGAAGTAATGATTTAGAAATGAGAAATAGATCACTGCTACATTAGATGCACCCTCTTTTAGGTCAGACACTTCTTGGCATGGACGGCTTGTGCTCTCTTGGTTGGGGCTAAGGATCGGAGGGCTCAAGGTACAGATCAGGGCTATACATTCCCAGAAAGCATAGGGATAGTTTATAATTTTGTCAGTGAATGAAGAACACTGTCTCTACACTCACTGAAAAAGTTATGAGCCCTCAAAGGCCAAGACCTTGACCATGGCCTGCACTTCCCTTGGATGACCAATGCTTGAAGCCACAATACACATTGCATGGTCACTGCAGCGGCCATATATCTAGCTGAGGGGTCTGAGCCATCCATCGCTGCTTGTAAGGCTGTCACCAGCTGGGCTTCCCTATGATGTCCTTAAGAACCTTTCAGCCAGTGCTGGTGCCAGCCCATTGGGAGGCCCTATGCAGGAATATTTTTGGCCCTCCCCCCACAAAGCATACTAATAATTAATAGGGGGCCCTCTTGAGCTGCTTGGGCCCTAAGCAATTGCTTAGTCTGCTTATGCCTGGCGCCGGCTCTGCTTTCAACTGTCATGAGGGAGCTTTGTGAGAAAGGCACTCACCCTGTCCCAGGTGAGAAAGTCACACTTGTCGCAGCAGGGCCTCACAGTTAGCTTGGTGCATGTGCAGTGAAGCAGAGAAGTACAACTTCCTTCCAAAGAGGTTGAGTCATTTGTACTCCTTGACCTTAGGCATACTTTTGCTGATTCTCGATTTCTCCTACACAGCTAGTACAATGAAGGAGCCTGAGATGGGGTGAGTGGAAGTAATAAAATCATCTGGGGGTCACCTAGTACCTCTTTTTGATCCATTTCACCATTGGTGGTATAGTGGCTGGGGTCTGCCAGAAGGGTTAATGGGAAGGATGATCCTGATGAACAGAAACTGACAAAATGTCACAGCTTGATTATTTCAGAGAAGTTCCACAATGTCTGACTCTCCAACAATCCTCACAAGGAGCTCCTGAAATGCTTTAGAATTGTTAGGTGCCAGCACATACCTCTTTATCCACCAATGAAGAGAGATCCTTTAGTGGCAAGATAGGGAGGAGATGTCACTCTGTGCCTGGATCTGGTTCCTCATGATAATTCTGGCATTGGTAGCTTCACCAGGGATACCATCTGAGGAGAGTGATCTCTTTCTTGATGATGGAGTGACCCCCTTTCAGTGCCTGACTGACAAGACACCGAGGTGTCACTGCTGGCTTTGACACTGATGTTGAGGTTGGGTTTGGTGCTGGGGCTACAAGTGCTGGCACCAGATTTTTTTTTTTTCCTTTCAGTTTCTTCTCCTATGCAATCTTTAGTGTCGCCATTCTGACTGAAGGGCTGTTACATGATACTGGCATGTTCACCAATAGAATGCTGGACAAGGTTGTTCCAAGTAAGTGGAATTATAGCCTTGCTCTTCCAACTTGTGTCTCATAGCAGAGAAGGACAAGAATACAGAGCATCTGCTCAGAATATGAAATTTCCCTAAGCAAGAGAGACATCTACTGTATTCATCCTTCAGAGACAGACAGGGCTTGAAGCTTGCAGGTTTTGAGACTGTCATTTTGAAGAGCCCTATATAGGGTGTGAGTATAGAGGCGGTCTCACTAGAAAGTTCAGTTCAGAGGGGTCACACCAGTCGAAATCAGGAGATCAGAAGTAGTTCTGAAGACATGAAGAAGTTAGCCTGAGCTAAGTGTGAGAGACACTTGGCAAGTTCTGTCTTATTGTCACAAGCAGCAAGAGGAAACTGAAGGTTGTGGCCACTGGAAAAAGGGGTGAATAGTGAGGTAACAAAATTTGCAGATGATATAAAATTACCCATGATAGTGAAGTCTAATGCTGACTGTAAATATTTTAAAAGGATCTCACAAAACTGGGTGACAAAAATGGCAGATGAAATTCAATGTTGATAAATGCAGAGTAACTCACATTGGAAAACATAATCCCAACTATACATACAAAATGATGGGGTCTAAATTAGCTGTTACCAATCAAGAATTGATCTTGGAGTCATAGTGGATAATTCTCTGAAAACATCTGCTCAATTTTCAGCAGCAGTCAAAAAAGCTAACAATGTTAGGAACCATTAGGAAACGGATAGATAATAAAAGCAGAAAATATAATGCCATAATCCATGGTACGCCTTCACCTTTAATTCTGCATGCAGTTCTGGTCACCTCATCTCTAAAAAGATATATTAGAATTGGAAAGCGTACAGAGAAGGGCAATAAAAATGATTAAGTGTATGGAACAATTTCTACATGGTGAGAGACTAAAAAGACTGTGACTGTTCATCTTGGATGAAATGACTAAGGGGAGAATACGATAGAGGTCTATAAAATCATGAATGGTGTGGAGAAAGTTAATAAGGCAGAGTTAGGAACGTGTCTTCACGTAACACAAGAACGTGGGGTTTCCCAGTGAAATTAATAGGCAGTAGGTTTAAAACAAACAAACTTCATTTTTCCTTACTTCTTCACACAATGCACAGTCAACCCGTGGAATTGTTGCCAGGGGATGTAGTGAAGGCCACAAGTATAACCGGTTTCAAAGAAGAATTAGATAAGCTTATGGAGGACAGGTCCATTAATGGCTACTAGCAAGATGTTCAGGGATGCAACTTCATGTTGTGGGTGTGGATGACAGGAGATGCATCTACACCTCTGATTACCAGAAGCTGGGAGTGGATGACAGGAGATGCATCACTTGATAATTGCCCTGTTCTGTTCATCCCCTCTGAAGCATCTGGCACTGGCTGCTGTCGGAAGATAGGATATTGGGCTAGATGGACCACTGGTCTGATCCAGTTTTGCCATTCTTACGTTCACACCACCCTTTATGTCCACGCACAAGAGCTTGAGGTGTCACAGGGCACATGAGAGGCCCCAACAGTCACTGCTACCCAAAGTTTTTCAAGTCTCACGTGTGTAAATAAAGCATATCTACAGTAAGATCCACACCGACACATACTTGAAAAAGAACTATTGTTCCAGCATTGTGGCAAAATAATGGCATATTAAGAGAAATATCACTGGGAATCTAGGTATCAGAACAATAAGAGCAGTTAGCCATATTAATTTATAAAGAACAAATTCAAACTTGACAGCTTCTAGTGACTAAAATAGTTAAAAATAGACCGATGTGGATATTTCAGTTTTATTAAATCATTTGTTATAGTTTCACATGAAATCTTACTATTACCACCAAATATACAATGATAAAGTGCAGGTAGTTAAGAGTAAGCCAATGAAAGTGATAGGAAGCTGAAGGACTTATGAGGAAAGAGAAGTTAAATATATAGCAGCTAAGTGATAAGTAATGTAAGACATATTAATGTTCTACAACTGACAGTGTAAATATCAAGGAGGGAAAAGAATTATTTAGGGTAGTACAAGGAAGTATAAAGAGGAGTAATGAGATGACATTAGGAAAGAGAAAACATTTTGGTTAATATCAAGAAAATTGTCATAGAATCATAGAATCTAAGGGTTGGAAGGGACCCCAGAAGGTCATCTAGTCCAACCCCCTGCTCGAAGCAGGACCAAATCCCAGTTAAATCATCCCAGCCAGGGCTTTGTCAAGCCTGACCTTAAAAACCTCTAAGGAAGGAGATTCTACCACCTCCCTAGGTAACGCATTCCAGTGTTTCACCACCCTCTTAGTGAAAAAGTTTTTCCTAATATCCAATCTAAACCTCCCCCACGTCCCCATGTCCTGTTGGTGAGATCTATTACGTTAAGGAACAGTCTCCCAATGGAAGAGATAAAAGTTCAGTGCTTGGCAGATTTAAAACTAGATAGTACAATGCATTAATAAAAGTTTTGTATGCAATAATCAGACACTAGCAAAGGATGGACTAAATGGCCAAATGGGTTTTCTCAGTTCCTAATTTCTATGATTATGTGATGTTAAAGAGCACTCTGCTGCTGTCATTTACAGGAAGAAAAACAAGGTCTCAATCCTTAAATATTCCAAGGCATATCTGGAACAGTAGGAATCCTTTTGGCCAAAATATCGAATTATTTCCTATTTAAATTTGCATAATGATATTCTAATTATGTAAAATGTTCCCCTGCAGTTTAAAACAGATATTGTATTCACTTCCTACCCTAAACTATTATGTAATGTTGCTGTGTGGTGTCGAACAGCTGTTGTCTTCAAAGAAAGCTGTATAACAGTGGTGGGAAGAGTGATTTCTATATACAGTTTATGAACCAGTTTGTTTGAAGTGCTCTGGATTCTTTACTAAGACTATTTCTCAAAATAGTTGACCGAGCTTTTAATTAGACATTCAGCATTACAATAGAAAGATGATCTCAGTCATATAATCAAAACCATAATACCATTGTATTAATTTATTGAATATATAAATTTATACCTGAATTATTAATTCATTAAGTTTGGCTCCTGATGCCAAACTTCCTTCAGCTTCATCTAGAAGAAAAGTAATTGTTGGGTTGGGGCAAATATTCTGTTTATCTTGGAGCTGCCTTTTCCCCTCTTCAGCCAAGAGAATGGAGAGGAATTGCAAACTGGCCATATATAAACTGGGACATATGGTAGACAGATGCACACAGTCACAAATTGTATCTAAAAGGTCAAATACATAACAGATTTTTTTAAATTTCAGCATCAAGACATGGTTAAACATTTCAGACCTGGAACGGACTAATCCAAGGCATATGCCTGGGTCAGGGAACAGCACACTAGTGCTTGCAAGAGATATCCAATGAGCTCTAAGTATTTGCTCCTAAGTTTAAAAATATATTTCTGTATTCTAAATTTATGGAAAGTGTGAATGACTAAGTATTTCATATTACACTTGAAATTAAAAGAACAAAACCACAAATGAGCACTGAAACTGTTTAGTCAACCTTCACTTGCTACACGAGTCACTTGCTTGAATATTTTAGACCAGAGCTTGCATTATACTGAAGACAGCAACAATCAGAAGCTTTTCATTAGAAGCTGACTCTGTTGGCAGAAGTGCAGTTAGGCCCTGGCTCAAAAAGTGACTTAGCACATGCCTAACTAAAAGCATAGATTTCAATTGGACTACTTAGGTGATTAATTGTAGGCACATGCTAGATTACCTTGCTTAATCAGGGTCTTAATTACAATAATTAAATTATTATTTGTGTAATAGATTAAACTATTATACAATAACAAGTGACTACATATTGACTCATGCAGCAAGAAAAGGTTTTGACCTTTAAAACTATTTTTCAGGCTTGTATGTTTTTGTTTGCTTTCTTACGTTTTAGATAAACTATCAGTGTAAGAAAAAAACAAAAGCAAAAAACAGTATGCTGTGGCTCAGTTCAGCCTCTAATTAAAGCTGATTTACTTTATCCCAAAGTTTAGAACCAGAAACTGTTAAAGTCTATAAACAAAAAATATATATAGAAAGCTGTGTAATAGCTGAGAAATGACTTTACAGAACTATAGAAGAAAAAGCTATAAAAAACAAACAAGGGTAAAAATACACTCCATATCTTCTCAGTAAAAAGCAGACACATTTTGTTTATTGTTATTGACATGTCCTTTATAAATATTTGATAGCATCTAATAAGAGGTCATCCTCATTATTAGCTGCAAGGTCTAAATCCATCTAAGAATAGGCATTACCAATTATTGCAGTCCAATGTTTTCCAAGAGCTGCTGTCACAGATGGAAGAGCAATTTGGCCACTTTTCCTTAACAGTATAGCCAGAAGGCTAAACAAGTCTGTCCATGTTTGGTGAACCGCAGATGTTAACTCAGTATCTGCGAACAGAACATAGGAAGTTCAAGCTATTAACACAGAGAGAGAAATCTGGATATCTAAGCCTGACCACAGAAACTTATCTTTAAAATAAGAAATGATGAAAAAAACAAACAAACAAACTTGCAACATCTCTATCCCATAGGCAAATAATTCAGCCCCAAACCAATTTTAACTCAGTTTCTCCCCTTACTTCGTAACAATGCTTGAAGACTAGAGAGTAAATGGCTAGCAGATATAAACTTCTAAATATTAGCACATAGCAAATGAAACATGTAACTACAGTTTAACATACAGTGTTAGGAAAGATGGTACTGATTTTTCTGAATAAGATGTGCATCTGTCTGTCTAGACAAGAGAAGTATCTACATATTACCCAAGCCATCCAGAGAGCGAATGGAGAGGATCATTAAGGTATTTCCCAAAAGAGGTTTCATTAGCTCATCCTGGATCACAAGCTGAGTATCTACCAATAAACATGTCTGTAGAAGCCTGGACACTGAAGACAAATACTGAAGTAGGAATAAAACCTGTTAAAACAGTAAAAAGGACACAAAAGCTGGATCCTTGCAACCTGATTTTACAGTATGTTAAGACCTACTTTAGGCAACACCACATAATGCACCTTTTTGGATATCTATGTCTATCTATATATCTAAGAACATAAGAAGAATGGCCATAATGGTTCAGACCAAAGGTCCATCAAGCCCAGTACCCTGTCCTCTGACAGTGGCCAATGGCAGGTGCCACAAAGGGAATGAACAGACAGGTTATCAAAGTGATTCATGCCCAGTCACCCAATCCCAGCTTCTGGCAAACAGGCTGACCATTCCTGCCCATCCTGGCTAATAGCCATTGATGGACCTATCTTCCATGAATCTATCTAGCTCTCTTTTGAACCCCGTTATAGTATTGGCTTTCACAACACACTCTGGCAAGGAGTTCCACAGGTTGATAGTGCATTGTGTGAAAAAAAAATCTTCCTTGTGTTTGTTTTAAACCTGCTACCTATTAATTTCATTTAGTGGCCCCTTGTTCTTGTATTATGAGAAGGAGTAAATAACACTTCCTTATTTACTTTCCCTATACCACTCATGATTTTATAGACTTCTATCGTATCCCCTCTTAGTCGCCTCTAAATATACGGTTGGCAGAATTTGATTTTTTTTTTTACTTTTTTTGTCAATTTTTATTTAAGATTTTTTTATTTTTACTAATTTTATTTTTAAAGTTGTGGGGGATAGGGTTGAATTTAGGGTTAGGGTAGTACTTACAGCAGGGGGCTCTCTCTGTGGCCCAGGGGCCCAGACACCAGGGAGCAAGGTGCTGGGAAAGCAGCAGTCATCCTGGACCTGCAGAACAGATACCCCCAGCCACAAGAAGGATTATCCTGTGGCTGTGGGGGAGGTCACTCCACTGCCGAACAGTTCCTGCCAGGGAGGGCTCCCACACTCCTGGCTGTTGAGTGAGCGAGCTGGGCTGTGACAAGGGAGCTGCAGAGGGCTCCCTACACAGCTGTAGAGCTGGTGACAGTGGATCCCTGCTGGCATAAGATGCGGAGAAGGCTCAGGGTCCTGTCTGGGCATAGCAGAGACTCCTGGCCAAGGCTATAAGGAGTCGTCGTCGTCGTCCTCTGCTGCAGTGGAGGGCACCCTGCTGCTGACTAGTTCCTAGAGCCCCCCACAGCTGAGCTGAGGGTGTCTTTGTTCCACTGGGCCAGGATTGCAACCTTCCCTGCACCATGTGCCTGCAGAAATTGGGTGTCACTGACCCCACTCACACACTCACCAGCCAGGAGTGTAGCAGCCACCACCCTGCAGGAACTGATCTGCAGTGGGGTAGCCTTCCCTGCCGCCAGCGGCTCGTCTTTCTCCTTGAAGTCCTAGCCACGTGCAGAGTCTCTGCTCTGCAAGGCCAGGACAACTGCTGCCTCTACTGCACCTTGTGTCTGCAGGGATCAGGTGTCATCAGCCCTGCAGCCATACAGAAATCCTCTGCTGCTCTGCTGTCATAGTCCTGTCCCCTCACTCTTGTGACAATGGAGCTGCAGACGGCTACCTGCATGGCGGGTGACACCTGATCCCTGCAGGCGTACAAATGACTACCCTGTCACAGACCCACTCACTCCCATGACAGCAGGGCTGCAGAGGACTCCCTGAATGGCTGCAGGGACAGTGACACCCAAGCCCTGTAGATATACCTATAGTTACTCATTGATTTTGTCACTGATTTCAGCATCAGCTGAAATTGACATTGTCATAAACATGCAGCTAAGGGTAGCATTAAAAATCCCTCCTTTACCTGTAAGGGGTTAAGAAGATCAAATAACCTGGTTGGCATCTGACCAGAAGGACCAACGGGAAAAGAAGATACTTTCAAATCTGGCCGGGGGCAGGTTTTGTTTGTGTTCTTTTTGTGTTCTCTCTTGAGACAGAGAGAGAGACCAAGCAGGTAATCCTGCTCCTACTGAAATGAAGCATCTAAAATTACAGAAATTATAAGTAATAGCAAGGAAATGCGTTAAGATTATCTTTTGTTTTAGCTTGTGAATTTTCCCTATGCCAAGAGGGAGGTTTACTCCTGTTTTTGTAACTTTAAAGTTGAGCCTAGAGGGGAATCCTCTGTGTTTTAAATCTTTTTATTACCCTGTAAAATTACCTTCCATCCGGATTTTACAGAGGTGCTTCTTTCACTTTTTTCTTTATTATAAAGTTCTTCTTTTAAGAACCTGATTGGTTTTTAGTGTCCTAAAAACCCAAGGGTCTCGTCTGTGCTCACCTTGTTAACCTATTTGTTTGGTATATTATTCTCAAGCCTCCGCAGGAAAGGGGGAAGGAGCTTGGGGGGGATATTTTGGGGGGGGGGAGATAGGGCTCCAAGTGGCTCCTCCCTGAATGTTTGTTTAAATCACTTGGTGGTGGCAGCAATATCGTCCAAGGACAAGGAAAGGAATTTGTGCCTTGGGGAAGTTTTTAACCTAAGCTGGGGAACATAAGTTTAGGAGGTCTTTCATACAGGTCCCCAGTAAACATAGTATATTTTCCTCTCAAGTTTACATAAGAATTTGATTGGATAGGTTATGATTTAATGTAATTTACATGACAGTTTAGAATAGCTTTGATACAGCTGTTCTAAGATATTGGGTAGATACAATGTAAACAAACTGATATGGTTGTGTAAGTTTAGGACTCAGGATTTCTAAATTCATACAGTGCATTTCATAATCACATACAACTAACCTGAACTTTTGTATGTTCAACGTGACATGGATGAGGCAGAGGAGCTTTCAATTCCAACATACATCTTTCAACCAACCTAGCATTTACAAGACTAATGGAAAATATAGGATAAATAGTTTGTCGGAGTAATATATATTTCAACTTTCATGCAAAACAAAAGAAACTATATTAATATGCTATTAAAAATAACAGTACATATCATTAACTTAGAATAAAATACATTACAGGGATGTGACAATTATCCCCAAAAAGTTATATTATTTCAAACCCTAGCGCAGATGCAGTTATACTGGTATAAAAGGTGTTTGTTTTTTTTAAAAGCAAAATAGTTTTACCAGTACAACCACTAGTGTTGATGTTGTTATATCAGTAGGGAGGTGCATAATTCTACTATAGCTTATTCCCCTTCCTACACAGGAATAAGCTACACAGGTATAAACACCTTTATATTGGTGTAACTGCATCCACACTAGCAGGGTTTTTATTGCTTTAATTACACTAATATGTAATGTGTAGACAAACCCCTAATAAAAGTCTTTGAAATTCTAAAGGCTGTCCTGCACTAAGATATAACTAGCTAGAAGCTTCACTGTTTAAAAACACTGTCAAATACTTCCTTCATGTGACCAAAAGTAGCTCTGAAGACCAACATACCTGCAAGTGCTTCATATGTCACAGGTGGATCAACCACTACAGTTTGAAAAATTAAACCTTTTCTGTAACATACTATAAGTACATTTGTTCTAAAAATATATATTAACTTTAACTTAAGTATCACTTTAATGTTGTTTAGCATTAACAGTTTTTGCATTTAATTACTCTGAGTTCTTAAAAAAAACAAAACAAAAAACAAACAAAAATAGTGAGCGTCTCAAACCTAAGCCCTCTCTCAGCTGCCGAACATCACTTGGAGATATAGGAGAGGGGAAAAGGACAAGTCCCATGCTGTCAAACTCTACTTTCCCCTCCAAACCAAACTTTCCAATATACACAAGCATACACTTTGTGCAATTAAAAATATCACAATGAAATATAATCACTTACAACTCTCAATGTCTGATGATCACATATTCAAAAATGGAGAATAAATAAATACCCATCTGAACAAAGGTTAATCATTACCAAAGGGAAACAGGAGATGCATACACTGATGTAAACCTGTACCAGAAAGACTCACTGAAAATAATGAGAATCATCTGTCTGGAAGTGGGTACCTGTTCCGAAAGCATAAAATGAACACATGCGTCTGATAGCTTCATTTAAAAAGCGTTTGTGAACATTTCAGAGTACCCGAGAGCCAATCAATAACTGTCACAAAGTCCTGGTTAGAAACATGGATATTGCTGATCCTGTTCTAGTTTTCCTCTACTGCTGCACCTGTTTGTAGCTCAGCAGTTATTGATCTCTTACCTACTGAGCGGTGTTAGTAAGTGTGCTTGTCGAAGAGCAATTCCAGTGTCCTTTGGAACAACCACCAGCAAGTTGTCCAGCAGGCTGCATACAGCTGACAGGAGAGGAGGTGTGACTAGAGCACACTGATTAGACAGAACAGCAGTCTGGGGAGAATCATGTGGACTTGGAGATGCTGTTGTGGTTGTGTCACTCTGACCTAGAACACAGCGACCAAAATAAAAACACTCATCCAAAGATAAAACAGAGCGATTACATAATACAAAGAACTATACATATTATTTGCTACCCAGTGTATCCAACTTCTCTTTAGATTTTTAAACAGTAAAACAAGGGCTTCTTGGAACAAAAAACATATGAAGTTTCACCTCAAACTACAAGAAGTCAAATATGGAATGCTGCTTGGCAAACTGTGGCACAAGAGACCTGAATGAATAATCAGAAAGAAGACAAGTGGGAAACATTTAAAATAATGAATGAAATATCTGTATGTAGTGTTCCTTAACTGTTGTTTTTATTTAATCATTTGTGATACTAAAATATATTATCAAAATTTATATAAATTAAGTAAGACAATGCCCAGATTCTATGACTGAGGAATCCAGAGAAGCATATTCATAATGCTAATTTGCCTGAAAATGTTAAAAATATAGTTTTTCATTTTAACAGATAATTACTTTAAAAAACAGTTTTGAAATAATCACTCTTCTAGAGAGGGCCGAAGTGTGTGGGTTTTTTTTTTTTTGTTTGTTTGTTTTTTTTAAGATTGATGACAGATTAGGAGAGATGGAGAAAGAATGAGACAATGAAATTCAAAACAGAAGATCTTTATGTCAGACATTTATTTCTCTACTGAAAGCTTTGTGTTCTGAAAAACTGACAGATTGACAGCAACAAAAACTGATGTCCATCAAACATGTGTATCTCTAAAAAGATTAGTGCAGGCTTCCTTACATAGCTATGCCAGGAAAGCTCAGACTTTGTGCCCACGTAACGTGGCCCCACTGCTGAGACCACCAGTAGGAACACCAATTAGTGCCAACTGTGGTGATTGTTTTTGCAATGCAGACATCTGTCCATGAGAAACTGACAGACCATGAATTTATTTCAGATAGGCTACAAAAAAGCCACCACATGCAACTTTTGGTTATTACCAACTTGTTAGTACATAGAACCTTTTATTTCTAGACTTCTAGGTCAAATGAAGGTCAGATAGCCAAACCAGCCAACTTCCAAAAAGATACTTTTTAAAATTAGCTATAACTTTAAGAAGTAGCTGTTGTATTTAATGTTCATGTGTAATTCTCTCCCTTCCCATAAGGATAATGGATTTCCTACCTTCAATTCCACAGAAAACCTCATGTAATATTGCTAATCTCCCCTCACCCCAAACCAACCAAAAAATGTTTGTGTCCATGGATACATTTAAAAATTAAACTCAAATCTGGTTTACCTTGAGCCATAAGCCGGTCAACTGGTATTTCAGGGACAAAACAAGCTGATGCTAGCAGGGTAGGGGCCTGCAGCTCATCAACACTCCTCAATGACGGCGTTGCAGAAAAGATCTAGGAAGTCATAAAAGCAAAGCAATCAATTTACTCTTTGTAAGTATTATGGTGTTTATTGTCCGAAGATAGCTAATTTGTCGGGGGGGGGGGGGGGGGGGGAGAGAGAGAGAGAGAGAGAGAGCGCGCGCGAGCGGGTTCCTGGGAATACATTTAAAAAAACCTGGCCTCACCTGAAGCTCCACAGTGCCAGTGACACATGCCCAGTGGTCATGACAGACCACTAGGGCACCTCAGCCTTTTCCACAATTCTTTTCAACTATTCAAAATGGAATAAAATCAACCACAACAGAACTTATTTTTTGTCACACCTTTTTTAATCTCTAATGAACATAGTTAAATATTCAGATAACCAGAGTAGCAGTAAGCAAATAGCTCTTCCCTTAGCAATTGCTGTGGATATACAATAGTTGGTCATGAACATTACATTAACTGTTTATATTAATACAGGTGCATTCAATGGACAGTTTTTTGAAAACACTAAGCTCTGATCCTGGAAAGTATTATGTAGGTGCTTAACTTCAAATACGTGAGCAGCCTCACTGAACTGAAAATGGGGCTACTCATGTTCTTACACGTGAGTGCCTGTGTAAGTCTTTCTAGGTTCAGGATCTAAGTCTTCTCTTTAAACACTTTATTGTAAAATGTCTTGTTACTGCAAACCCTAATGAAGGACTACAGACCTGCTAAGGCATTTCAGTTTTCTTGACTGGTAGATGTTCAATATATTGGAAGCCTTCCAATCCCATTCCGTTTTTCTTCTGAAAATCATGATTTTTTCATCCCCCTTGAAAAAGAATCTGAATCACTGAAGCATTTAGATTTCAGCTTCTCATGCTGTCTGGCCACAGTATGATAGCCAGCGTTGTCATTGTCTCTCTCTGTGGACGCCTATTTCAAGTGACAGGCCTACACTTCCACTTCTCTCAGCGTGGAACACTATTGTTCACACAATTTTAAGCCTGGATCACTACATTACAGCATGCCGCTTACCAAATATATTTACCTACAGCCCTAGGTCCAGCTCATTTTGGCCCCTGGTATGGAATCCCCTCCAGAAACTGTGACCAGCTGGTACAAGCAGGGTCAGAAAATAGCTTATTCAACACAGTATGATTTATTTAATCATAGGAACATTTCAAGCAGAGAGAAGGCTCAAAAGTATCAAAAGCCTACGTGTTGTCTTACTAAACTTAGCCTTTCTTTTCCAGTTTAAATGTGTTCTGCTTAACCCAGGCACCTCCCCAAGCATTGTGACTGGAAGAGACAGGTTGTCCCCTACAAATGCTGCCTCTCAAACAATCTTACCTCTTTTCCCACCCCCCCTCAGTGTGTGTTGCTCAGGTCCCAGGATATCTTTTAGCTTTTACCAAGTCCCTTTGTTGAGAAGCTCCTGCCTGAAGTTTTTCCCACTCCCTTCAGGGCCACCAGCCTGCCTGCTGATGAGAACATGTCATGGGTCAATTTACAAAGAAACTAGCACCTGTACTGTGTGTCAAATACCAGGGATTGGGGTAAAGAGCCCCATAGCACTGAGTTAACCATAAGGCTCCCTTATATCTGTCACCCACTGAATATCAAACAGGGATTCCCACAATGTTCATAAAAAAATACAGATAGCTCCCCCAGTCTTCATAGATGGTTTGATGTTTCTTGAATAAGGAATGTAGAGCAAGTATCCATGCTACATTCTACAATGCCTACCAATCTGAAGTCAACTGGAACCAGGCACCTAAGCAGTGGGCTATCCTGCCCCAGACCTATTTCTGGATTTGGTTACAATCACAGTGACTGTTTGGACTGGAAGGACGGGTTGGACTTGTTAACTGATCTGGATTTCCTCTGGGTCTTCCATGTCCAGGTTTTACCCCTGGAATAAGAGCATTCCCTTCTCTTTCTCTGTAGATAAAAACAAAAGGCTTCATGCAAAGCCCACCAAAATCAATGGAAAGATACCCCACTGATTTCAATGGGCTTTGAAAGGAACCTCTGCCCTTGCCTCAGGGTCTGTAATCAGCTTAGGACTTCGCTGGAGTGAGAAGCCTTAGCTTGTCCATGTTCTCAGATACCACCTTATCAATCTTTCTCAAACATGAGTCCACCAGAAAGTTTTGAGGCACCAAGAATGCACTTTAAATAGCTATCTGCTAAAGCCAGATGTGACATCTAGCTACTGAACTAGCTACAACTCTTGCTACTAGTTTCATGGAATCACAAATGCAGTAACTACAGATATTTTCCATAATACAAGTTGAATTTATTATGAGATTGGGTCTTTTTAGCTTGTTGTACTGGGATATTGTGGCTCTAGTGAAACATGTGGCAGCAAATAGAGCTATCAGAGATTCTGAAGAAGCTTCTAAGAGCGGCTTCTATCTTTTTCTCTGCAGGAACTTTGTGGGAAGTACAATTCCTACACTGGCTTTGAGGAGAATGAAGGGGAAAGTTTCTATAATCCTATACAGAATTTCAAAGCTTGCTGACAGAGCCTTTTACCTTTGTTAGGAGTTTCCCATTCCTCCTTGAAAAAGAAATGAAGTTGAATGGAAAATTTTCCTTATGCTTCTCAGGTTCGTCGTTACTGTGATCCAATGTGGAACTTCCCTGCTTTGGGGGAGATGCTAGAGGTTGTGGAAATAGACGAGCATCAGGAAAGCTTTTGGGCTTTATCCACCTTTTTTTTTTTTTTTTGGTCTTTTTGATTTCCTTTTACCTTTTGAGCATATGGTAGTCACCCCAGAGGACCTACTTTTTTTGCTCTGTTCTCTCCTTTTAGATCATAACCCATCCTGGTGGAGGTGTCCTGAGCTTATTCACATCACACATAATGCTCCTCATTCGCCAATATATATAACTGGAGATGAAGTGCAGGGGATCATCCTAACAGAACTCAGATCTTCCTTTTGCATAGATGGAGAGTCAAAATGGATGTCAGATTCCTCGTCAAGTGGTCTTAACTCACCACTTAAGAATCAGGGACAGGAGTCTGTTGTTTATCCCTTTAGAGGTGGACCAGACCAGGTTGTTCAGGGGGAACTTTGGGCTTACTCATGAAGAAAAATCCTTGAATGAGCAGAGACCAGTTTGCTGAATCCCAAGTACTCAAGAAGATTGACATCTCTGTGAAGTAGTTTCTGAGCAAGTGTTTGCTGATTTGGGGAGATCTGAGGGTCTGAGAGGGTCTCTTCTCAGATGGCGTTCACCTCTTCCTCTTTGACTTGCTCAGCTTTGTTGGGAGGGACATGGGGAGGAAGAAAGAAAGTAAAAGAAAGAAGGAGAAACGGATAATGTGAAAGCCTTGCTTGCAACTTCCTCAAATCAACTTCAAAAGTTATGAAGCTAATGGATAACACAGGAGTGTTGAATCACCACTGTTTGCATCACCAGAAGCAGCTAATCTGATACAAGGAGGTTTGGCCAATCCCTGCAGGCCCACAGACAGGTCTGAAGTGCCTTGGTACATTCAGAAAGAAAGGTGTAGCACAGTGATCTTGTAATTCGGTAAAGATCAGGATCCAGAAATAAAATAAACCCAAACTACTTAAAAAAAAAAATCAGAAGATTGGGCGTGGGATTTTTTTTGTTAATCAAATACAAAGCAGCAGTCACAGTGGTCAGCAAAGGGAAGAGATGCCCAATTATGGCCAGATCTGCACTGATTCAGCACTGCACCTTAACTCTGAAAATCTTTTTACTGATTGGCTAAAGCCACAAATTCCTTTCTTTTTAAAGAAACTCTTCAACAGTCATAGAAAATGCTTTAGTAAATAATGTTACATAAGCCAGCAAAGGCGTAACTGTGCCGAAGTGTTGAAAGAAAGCCCATGAGTTCATTACTACATACAGAATAAGCTTAGACAAGGAATCTCAATTATGGTCATCCAAAACTTCAAGAATCCATTAGTAGCACAGCATATAGTACAGATAAAACATGTACACTTTACAGCTTCCTTATCCCTACTTTGTGTTGTCAAGCTGCCTGAATCTTACAGCCCAAGAAAAGGAAAACAAGGTCTTAGGTCAGTAAAAATCCATAATAATTTAACTGGTTAGCTTCTTACACCAGTGAAGTCAGTGAAGGTAATGTAACGGTAATGGCTTCACAGCATCACAGAAGGATAAAGCTTAAAAACAGAATTTTTCTGCTATCTAAACAGGACACATACAATAATACAATGTCATTTTCACAGTGTTCTGCTGTCCTATGAAGGAAAGATCTTATCACCTTCACAAATCAGCTCTGATGGTGATAACTTATGGTACAAGACATCATATCCAGTAAAAGGATATTTTTACCACTACCTATGTACTCTCATCAGAAGTAATTTAACTTTCTTATGGCATAAAAACTAAAGCTTTTGAAAATTGGAAAAGACAGGGAAGTAAGGGGTATTTGTGAGTTAGCTAATAAAATGGAAAGCATAAATGGAAAAAAAAAGAAATTTGAGTTTTTGTCCTTCATCTACCATTACTTACCAATTAAGGGTTTTTTCTTTACCATTAGTATTAACACACACACCCCCAAACTATTGGCATTGCCCTAACAGACCTTGAATAATCAGTTCTCGTGAGAGCTCCATCCCAGGTTTAAATCACCTCACTGTACAACACTCTGATAGCCATAGATCCAGAGCATAAACACACATTTATAAAATAATGAGAAGGATCCCTTGGGAAGGATGGTCACCACTGAAAGTTATGGCCACATTTTGGAGATGGCTTTAGTTTCTTCAAACTGCGCCACCTTCTGTAAAAGTTACTGCAAACTGGTCATGCTGACATGATAAGCACTCCTGGACACGGACTGTGACTTCCTATCTCTTTGTACAACACTGAGAATGTTGGGGCCCCAGTACTGATCGAGGTCTTTGGACACCTAATACTATAATATAAAGATAATCAAATAAAAATAACACAATTGTCACTTGTGTTCAGTGATATTATTAATTAAAGGGAATGTTAAAAAGAAATGTCTTATTTAAGAGTACTTTCACCACACTCTGACTACTATACTCTATCTGCTGAAAGGAAACACTTCCTCTGAGAAGTAGAAATTACATGTTTCCACTATCCATACTATAATCTGATAGAAAACTAAAGATGCAGATATGGTATAAAATCAGTACATATATGATCCTACAATATATGATCCTGCTCCAGGAGGCAGTGTGAACAAACAGATAGGTCAAAGGGCTGGACTGGACCCTGGAGACCTGAATTTTATTTCAAGCTCTGCTACTACCCTGCTGTGTGACCTTGAGAAAATTATTTCACCTCTCTGTGCCTCAGTTTTTCCATCTGTAAAATACAGACAACTGTACTTATCTCCTTTGTGAAGCATTTTGAGCTCTATGGAGGAAAAATTGCTATACAAGAACTAGGTATTATATTAGTTTTCTCAGTAACAGTCAATTTCTCTGATTAATTGGAGTGAAAGCACTTATGATTTCTACATTAGAAGTAGGTCAAAAGTAGGAGAAACCAAAAATAACTACAATAATTTAATAACACTCTTGTTTAAGAGCATTAGGAACCCATTTTAACAAGGTCTTTGGCGTAAGATAGCTTAATGAAAGTAGGAATTACGTGGCACTCAAAACCATCATTATTCATTAAAGGAAAAAGAACACCATTATGTTTCAGTATGTCAAAAAATAACCCAACAGATCTAAAGATTCACTAAAAAGAGGCAGTAGTTGCCTCCATAAATAATATTGAAGTTCAACTAGTTGACACAAAAAGCAGCTTCAGTTTACAAAGATTAGCACTCTGGAAAAGAATTTGGATATTTTTTTATTTCTATTACAATATCAAAGAACAGTTCCTGCTGGAGAGCATTGTATTCGGTTTACCAGCTGGCAACTCTCAGTTACTTAGGGTCAGCAAGACAATCTGCACTGTACATAAATGCTCCTGCAGTTCCTCACCAATTAAGACATCTAGGCTCTTTCTCAGGTGTGATGGGGAAAGCATGACACCTGTTGGGCTTGGAGTAATCTTCTCTTGGTACCTTTAATTAGAGAAAGGTCAAATTTAAAGATACACATCTGGTGATGGCTGTCCAACATCTTGATAGATGAAAGGAAACACAACAAAGTTGGTCTGTCAGCAGTGCTTAGCAATGGTATGGGAAAAGAGCCCGACATGTGAGCAACAAACTTTCCCCTGTGGCTACAGGTCCACTCACCAGATGGAGGTTGAAGCATACTCTGCTTCCTGGCTCACCTGTGGGCCTCAGCATGGGCACTCTGATGGCTCTCTGCAGTGGCTGCACCAGTCTTAACCTGGTTTCCCCAAACTGAACGATTCTGGGCATGATTTTCCCACTTGTCAGTGGGAATGCTGAATTTCTTGAGGCCTTATTTCACCTTGTCACTGTATCGGAGCTTTGGTCTTCCTCTGTGTTGTGGGCAGTTCTTAAATTGGCCATTAAGCACAGCCTTCAGCAGACGATCTTGAGGCATGTACTCCATGTGCCCAACCAGCAAAGCCTGTGAAAGTCCCGCATAGTTTGCATAGATTGTAGGTTGGTTCTCTCAAGGATCTCGTTATTGGTGATCCACTTGGTTCCAAGTAACTCCAAAGATTTTTCTAAGACACTGGACGTGGAAACGGCTCAATCTTTGCTCCTGCTTGGAGTACGTAAACCAGCTTTCACAATCGTAAAGGAGGGTACTAAGGACACAAGCCTGATAAACAGCCACCTTTGTGTTCAGGGTTAGCAACCTGTTGTTCCAAATAGGTGAGGTAAGTTTGCCAAAGGTAAATGAAGCTTTGCTGATTCTAGCGTTAAGTTCCCTATCCAGGTTACGAATTGGTAAGAATTGAGCTGAGATAGCAGAAGTGATCCATGTTGTCCTGAGCCTCATGATTGACATAGATTTTAGGTGGAATGTGGTACTCCGTAACGAGCCAACTGTTTTTTTTATACCGATTACACCATGCCAAACTTGGTGCATTCATCGAAACTTGTTCACCATGACCTGCAGTTCATCGGGTGAATTACAGATGAGTATAGTGTCATCTGCGAAAAGACGATCCCAAATAGTAAGTTGAGTGTCATGCCTTCTATGCTGGAATCATCTGATGTTAAATAAGCTGCCGTACATCCTCAATTCAATTAGTATGCCAGATCGATCATTTCTAAAGGCATACTTAAGAAGAATAGAAAAGAAGATACCAAAGCCAGTGGGTGCTAAGACGCAGCTTCATACCAGTATCAATACTAAACTTGGATGATGTTTCATTTTCATACTGGATGGTTACCTTCATTCCCTCGTGGAACTCCTTAAATAGGGAGAGCACCTTTTGTAGATAGCCAATTTTCAACAGGGATCTTATTGACGCCATTCCTGTTAACGGTGTCAAAGGCCTTTTGTTGGTCAATGAATGCTAGATAGAGAGGTGCCTGTTCCCAGCTTTTTTCTTGCAACAAGTGCAATGTGAAGGATGTGTCAGGAATGGAGCATCCAGCTCTGAACTCACACCGTTCTCAGGGCAGACTCTCTCAGCAAGGACTTGGAGTCTTTTCAACAGGACCCTTGCAAGCACCTTGCCAACCACATTGAGCAAAGATTTCCCTTGATAGTTGTTGCAGCCTGCCCTGTCCCCTTTATTTTTATATAATTATCTTTGCATCTTTCAGATCCTGGGGTATATGGCTTTCTTCCCAACAGGCATGCAGAAGTGCACAGATGTCACTCACAAGCTTTCCTAGGCACAATCTCTTCGATAGTCTTCTCTACATCTTCAAGAGTTGGTGTTTGTCCAGCTCCTACATCGTTGGAAGCTGGGGAATGGCAGCTAAAGCAGTATCACAGATAATGGCATCCTTTGAATAGAGTTCTTTGTAATGCTCAGTCCATCAAATTGTTTTTGCCTGTCAGTCAATATGGTACCATCTTTCACTTTCAGGTTTGAGGTCTTTTTACAAGGTGGACCAAGTGCCCCTTTAATTCCATTATCGGTACCACGAACATCCCTGCTTTCAAAACAGATCTGAATCTTTTTGGAGAGGTCTTGCCAATACTTTTGGACACATTTTTTGGCGGTTGTCTGAAACGCAAGCTTACTTGGAAGTTCTAGATAATAAGGTATCTAAGTTCCTCATACAGATAGTTTCACCTCAAGTGCTCAGGTTATAACAATACAGTGACCTCAAGGTACATATCATTAAAGGGTTTCTGTTGTATTTATTTTTTATCATTTTAAGTTTACTGAATTACATTTTATTAAACTTAAAATGTTTGTGCAACATCTCAAAACCTTCTGGGGAGTCATGACCTATCATTTGGGAAACCCTGAGTAGACAAGACATGTAAAACTTACATCAGGTAATATATGAACATTATACGATTTTTTTTTTCCTTTTCAGAGATCCTATGAATCCCTTCTTTCAGCCATGAGGATCCATTTCAATTTCTCTTGGTTTACAATTAATATCTTGAGGGATAATATATGCTTGAAGTCTTGTACTGCAGCTATCATTCTTCTAGCCAGAAAGAGATTTGCTAATGTCCTGTGTCTTGCAAACACTGCTTGTGGAATTTTCATATATTCTAAAAACATTTTGGGGGCCCAAAAGATGTTGTGACTTTGCACCTGCATACAATGAAATTCTGACACATTGTCATGATTTTGTGACATGTTATGCTGAGGCATAACCATTAACCATTAGTTTGGACAAAGTAAAAAGTAGCTAGGAACAACTTCATTTGGATTTACTCATTAGATCAAATTACAACATAATTTTTAGGAAACTTCATCAGATTTAGAGGCTCTAGAATTGAAGTTTACTTGCATATGTAACTGGGTAACTTACGCCATTATTTCTGAACTTGCATTCGTGACTAAATGCAGAGGTTTTACTCAATTTACTAAAACTAAACAAGTGTACAGCTTGATGATTGTTTAGCTTAGTTTTGCAATTTTTACAGTTTTAGCACTTACATTACTGTCTGTTTTCTTGAAAATATTATATAAACAATATTAAATGTAATATGCATGCAATACTTCGGTATTTACCATAGTATCAGATGTTGACTGAGAACTCGGAGATTGGCTTTGACTGGATGGAACTCTCCAAAGATTAACAGAGTCATCAAAATCTGCAGAAAGAGGAAATAATAACTAACTTTTCAACTATTCTGTTTTAAGATTTTATTTTTATGGGGGGAAAGGTAGAGAAAGCATGGAAAGGAAGGTGGGTATAATCAACCAGGAAAATAAAGTTACTAAGCAAATGAAGGTCACTTACTTGTAACCAGAGTTCTTTGAGACAGGAGCTGCTTATTCCCACTTAGGGGATGTGCCAGCCGGAGGCAGCTCAGACAGTGGAACTTTTATTAGCAGTGGCCACAGGAGTGCACATGAGTCCCTCTTAACCCCCTCCTTTGGCATATGCCAATATTCTAAGGGCGGGGCTATAAAACTGGGCCTGGTGCTCCAACCACCTCAGTTCCCTCCACCACTTCTCCTAATCCCCAACACCCGTTAGGACTCCAGCAAAGAGAGGAAAGGTGAGCAACATACTATGCTCACCAAGGAATGAAAAGTGCAACATACTATGTCACCAACAATATACTGTATGGTACTACAGAAGGCTTTCCTTTGAGGTCTCTCATGAAAATAATTACCAAACCCAATTCTGCTTAGCTTTGTACAGCACAAGGCTGTATGGTTACATATAAAAATACTAAAAATTGCAGCAGTAAAAATCCAGTAAGAGTCCAAGATAGGTTTTGGTTTTTCTTTCCTTAGAAACAGATATTTTGCACCTTGGGTGAACTTCTTTCAAGTCACTGCAGAGTGTAAGTAAGGAAAACACATAAAATACTAAGGAATTAATAGAATAGTTTAAGGAAATCTAGATAGGATAAGCCAAGAAGAACCTATTGTGAAAAATGACAAAGAAATGTAATGTGAGGAAGTGTAGTGAGTCAACAATGACCCTAAAAAGATTTTAGACAGAGATTTTCCAAAACTATGTTTCTGATTGAAGAGCATCTTTCTGTGGTATAGAACAGTTCTAAGTACATTAATGTAAGGGTGCTGTCCTGCTGGAAATTAGCTCAAGGAGTAGTAATTTCAAGGTGATGTATAATCATTTCACTGCTGAGATCCTAGCCATGCATTCTCTGAGTCCGTGCAATGCTGTAGTAAAAAAAGATACTATGTCAAACCTGGTTTTGGACAACCTATATATGGAGTTATAGCTAATTCTCCTCTCCTGTCTTGCATCAGTATGAGTTCAATCATTGACCCACTGAGGACAAAGAGAATTTACTTCCATAGGCGTTGAATAATATCCTATATTCGCCACACAACATTCCTTGCTATGTCATATATCAGAGTAAGTCTGAATTGCACCACTCTGTTAAAGAGTCCCTGGGGAGGTGCCTTAAGACACACAAGTTGTGTCTTCTCAAGAGGCTATGAAGGCCGCTTCACTTTTAAGAACCGGCCACATATTCAATGCCTCTCTGAACTTTCTCATTGCTATTGTACTGCAAAGTCACACCTCTTAAAAGTTAAATTAAATATTTTCCCATCATCTTTACCTTTTGCAGGAAGATGGACTGGATGATCTAACAGGTATTTTCCATTTATAACTTCTACGAACACATACACAAAATACATAATTGTCTCTAGGATACTGGAGTAGATGAACTGAAATTTTCATTCTTACATCTTTAAGAGACCAACAATTCTAACTTTAACTATACATTCAATTTAAAATGACAGTTGCAATGAATAAACACGACGTTCTGTAAAAACACATACAGGTGAATTCCAAGCTAGAAGAGCATTTGGCTTAAAAGCATTATTATAAAGTTATTATGAAGTTATAAATAATGTCACTTACCATTTATGCCATTTTTCTCTGCCATGCAGCTTTCTCCCACGGAACAATTCAAATCAAATGTGTATCGACCTAGGTAACAGTGCTTCACCATCTGATTCAAATGTTCATAGAAGTGGCAATGATATAATAGAGCCTGAAGGGCAGGTTTTCCTATCTGAGACAGACCAGACTCTTCATCATGTACACAAGGCCCCTGAGGAAACCAGGGTAATCAAAATGTATTTCTTTACAGGAATCTACATTACAAAACATACTCCCCCATGGCGGAAACAAAGCCCAAAACTTTTCTATACAGTCTATCTGAAGAAAAGTCTCACCATATAAATTATATTTAACTAAAATAAACAAACAAACATGTTCCGTATCATGGCAACGTGTTCAGTCACACATTGTATGGGTTTGTAAGCATTCATCACAAATGAATGCAGTTTTAGGACTTTTTTGTAAATCACAAGTAGTAATAAAAAAACTGGTTGTTTTAAAATAACTTAACCGTTAAACAGCTAGACTTCTGGTGGCTAATTATAAGTATGAATCTCAATCTGTGTTTGATCCTGTATAGATCATCAAGATAGCTTTACAATAAGCCTCTAGAAAGTTGTTATAATTTCTCATTTAATTCTGTTCATGGATAGCGACTGACAGTTCATTTCAAAGGGGAAAAAGGAGTAGCTTTGAGCAAAGCTAAAGTTGCTAAAATAACGTAAGGAATCTTAGAAATCTTGGCTCAGAAGCCAATAGATGCTGCTGCTAAACCATGCACTGAGAGGGCATATGCTACAATGCACATAATACTCTTTAACGAGAAAGTTCCTTACTTTTAACAATAAAAATAATATTAAGAGTTCAGGGGTGACAGCAGATCCACTAAAGGACATTGCACCTTCACAGCACTCTAATATACTTAATTTCTCTGCCCCTAAACATAAGTATCCTGAACAAATTAGACACTGATTGAAGCTACAGAAACACTAAGATGCATCCATTCATTCCAATCCAATAAGAAATATAAACCTATTCAGAAAATAAAATATACCGAACAGTAAGAGAAAATCTGACACAGCTAAATAAATATAAGGCTACAAGGAGGGATAGGGAATGATTTTAAGCCAAGAAGTTTCTAAAGCACTCATTTTTAGGCAGTGAATTTAGAAAAAAATAAATCTGAAGACTTGTATTACACCTTTTGAGAAAGACTTAACAGGACTGTCTCCAATCTAAGACTATTACAGTGACTTCTTAGATTAAAAATATTTTCCCAACATGATATGTAATGAACTTAACATTCAACTAGATTTCACTAGACCTAATTTGAACTTACTGTAAAAAATAATTAAGAATTACTTGACAATGGAACTCACACTGAGTAACGTTCAAACAAAGCACATTACAAGAAAAGCTTACTCTGAAAAGAAGTCCTAATAGCAGTTCACGTTGCTTTAAGAGAAACTATTGTAAAAATTCCTTGAAAGAAAAAACAACGTGCCATTGGTGGTGGCTTTATTTGGTATATAAAGGGCATGGAAGTTGATTCATAGCCCATTTAAGTCAATGGAAAGACTCCTGTCACCATCAATGGGACTCAAATCAGGCCCTAACGTATCAATTTCTGCAGAATTTAAGCTTAACTGGAAGAAAAACAAGTGGGTAACAAACTAGAAGGACAAAGTATACTCTGGGTTATAAAGTTATTCTGAGTAATAACCCAGCAGTACCTTTTCTTCTTTTTAGTGTGCGTAATGTAGCATCAATACATAACTGTCCAAATAATCAACATTTTTTGCCTTTTGCACCAATTGAAACACAATAAGAATGCAACAGTTACTTTGACAAACACTTCTCTGCTTCGTATAAATTGTTAACAATGAGTTACAGGGTTGCACTCCATATGCACAGAGCTATCAGCACTATGCATTAATTATATCAACCACAACTTCTGCATAATCAGGGAATTTTGCAGACAATGCATGTGATGACACTGAGTTCAAGTTTTGATATCCAGAGATGCCTATGCCAGTTTAAAAACCTTGTCCCAAGCCATTCATGGCCACAGGGGTGTGCTAAAAAGCACTGAAGTCTTTCACCAATTATGTTCACAGCATGCACGGACTTCAACAACCTTGAGATAACATACTGTGTTGTGATCCAACATCATCAAATTATATGGGTTGATTTTTACCGATGGCAAAAGTTTGTTTTGCCATTTTAAAGACATGGGAGAGACAGAGCTTGCTGCCATCAAGAAAAATAACTACACTAACTATGCAATAAACATTAACATCCAAAATCTGGGCTGCATTCTCTATTAACAACCTTTTAAATGTTTGCCTCAGGAATAAAAATCTTAATGCACTGCATGCCTATGACACTTTTCCCTACTACCCTCCATATTCCTTTTGTCAGCTTTTCTTTTGAACGTTCTTGTGTTAGATGGTTTACAGATAAATCACCTTACACTTGACACCAAGGAGAGGAGGAAGCTATATTTTTTTCCAGTACAAAGTTTAATCCTGGTAGTAATTTTACATTTTAAATTGGTGACTTGACTCTCTACTGTATTAACTCAACCAGTTACCTTGAAATCTTGTTTGATAATATCTTTCAGCATGAATACTTAAGTGACAAATGACATTTCAGCTAAATTGCGTTTCTTAATAAGAATTACTTTAACTCAAATCAGTACTAGTAGAAGTTACAAATTTGTTATACCTCATTTGGAATATTGTGATTTGATTCTTTCACACCTTACTTTTAAGCCTTTGAAACTTCTTTTATAAAAAGACAAAGCATTTTTGTGAAAATCTTTGTAACCAATATTAAAATGTTACAATGGCTACCTCTTGCAAATGTCTTCATATTATAATTCTCAACTCTCTAAGGGCTTGTCTACACTTGAAATGCTGCAGCTGTACCGCTGTAGCTCTTCAATGTAGATGCTATCTATGCCAATGGGACGGGTTCTTCCACTGGCATAGGTAATCCACCTCCTCAAGAGGAGGTAACTAGGTAGATAGAAGAATTCTTCCATCAAGCTAGATCTGCCTACACTGGGGGTTAGATCAGCTTAATTATGTTCCTCAGGAATGTCGATTTTTTTCACAACCCTGAGTGATGTAGCTTGGTCAACTAACCTTTTAGTGTAGACCAGGCCTAAAAGTACATCAGCTAAATTTAACGGTCATATACAAAGACTAAAACGGGCCATATTTGAGGGTCTACCTTCATGTTCTCATCCCCTAAAAGCTGTAATGAAATGAAGTGGACTTGGTTTTGGATACACTACAATGATAGTATTCTAGCCTCCACAGATAAGAGATAGGAATGTTCTCCTCAATCCTTGTTGATCCTCTTGGGAGGTGCCATCTGAATGTGCCTCAAAAAAAGGAGTCTTGCAGGGTCCCTCTGATAGAGTTTCAATTCTATTCCTGAGATATAGGCAAAATTTTCTGCAGATCTGGGGGACTGGTGCAGACAAGGAAGGCTATGGTTATGCAGAATGAGAGACAGGTGCTGATGAGGGCATTGGTACTAACAGAGTGTACCAGTTATTAGCACCAGTGCTGATGTTTTCTTGCAACTTCCAAAAGACAAGTGCTGCACATATGGCTACCATGAGTAATTGAAGAGGGCCTCCGTATGATGATGTGTGGATTTGAGGCAAAGGAAGAGGTTTGGTGTCTTGTGTTTGAGTCAGGGCATTCTCAAAACAGAGAAATCAAAGGTGTTAGCAGAATCTAAACTTTTGAGAGGTCCAAGTTAAATTGGTGTCATGACATCTGGATCTGGAGGAGTGTGGAGAAGAGGCAACAGCACCGCTGTCTATGTCTTCAAATCACTTGTTGGTCAGAGTACAGAAGTGGAGAGAAATGGCACTTCCTCTTTTGTGTTCTGTTTTTGCCTCTCTTGTGGGGCCATATGCTTCCTCTTCTCCTTTTTATCCAAATGGGTCCTGAGCAGGCTTGTGGTGCTGCAACAGAGGAGTCAGTGCTAGACAGGTTCAATGGTTCAAAATAAGGAGTAGGTGCTCAGATGGGCACTTCTCCAGTATCACCAAGGCTACTGAGAACTTAATAGGCAATGATGGTTCTTTGATTGTGCTTTAGATTTAGCCAGCACCAGTGGTGTTGGGTAAGGGCTTTGCTCTAAATATAAGGCCAAAGAGATTCTGGTTTCAAGACAGTAACAGAAGGCAGCACTGAAGCCGAAGTGGAAAGTGTATCTTGGGTCGTATGTAACAAGACGCTGGCACGGAGGCTGGTCTCTGCACCCCCAATGAGCCCATCAGAGTACCAGGCTATATACATTGAGAACTAGATGGGACTGAAGCCTCAAGCATCTCTCTCTTATGGCACAGCAAGTAAAGGCATATAAACTGCATACTGATTTTCCAAGTAGGTCTCACCCAGCCACAGAAGGCACTGAATGTGAGTGTCTCTTTTTGATATGATCACCAGGTAGAAAATGTACCTCTTGAAGTCCTTATGTGGTTCTGGGCTCAAAATGGTCCTGTTAAGGGGCTAAAGACCCCTGGGACAAGGGAAGAACTCTACATTGTGCCACTCTAAATGTTTACAAGAAAATCTTACCCTAGGATAAGGGAAGGTCTAGTCTAAGAACACAAAGGTGAGATCTGCTCACTCTCTTTGATGATGGCGAAGAACTGAGGTGGTTGAAGGGTGCAGTCCCTCAACAGAGAAGGGAAAGGACATCACCCTCATGCAAGGCCTCTCATGCACCCACTAATGAGCATGGCTTTTCAAGGCAGTTCCACATCTCAACACCAGGCGTACCATATCCCACAAGCTGGAATATATAGAGGCGCTTGAAATTTTAAATTTTAAAAGAGCGACCAAGGTTATTTACACAGCATGATCCCCACCCCCTTTTTTTTGGGGGGGGGGGTGTGGAGGGGGGTAAAAATGACTACTTTGTTTCCACCTACTGATACTTTTAAGATGTTTTATAATGTATTAAAATATATGCCCAAAGGGATCTTTTCCCCCCTACCTAAGTAATATCACATTCTGAGTTTGGCCAAAACAAATTACTAATATGTCTCAAGGAATCTGAATTACTCATGTTACGTAATATCACTATCAGCTACACTTTGTATGTTGCATTCCATATAGTTAAACAAAAAGATATTTTTTCTCTCCAACTCTAACTGAAAACATGAAAAGAATATGAATATTCATATTTTTCTCTTGAAAAATACCTGAATCAGTTCTGACAACTACACAGAATGATTTCTTTCACTTATACTTACATGCAATAAATATCTGAGGATGCAAAATTATTTTAATTTCAATTAATCTACTTCTACCACATGGACTTTTCTTATTAAAATGTAGTTACTCACCTGCCAAGCACAATCTTTCACTTCTTCAGTTAGCATTGGGATTACAAGAAGGTTCTGAAGAATAAAAGCAGCCTAAAAAAAAGAAATGAAAGCATCGATACTGCCATCTTGCTGCAGCAGCTAAACAAAGCAAAGTAACCAGATCCAACAGCACTCTAAAAGCAAAAGCATAGGTCAAACTGATATGTTAATCAGCAAGTCACCCCGCTGCCTGAAATATTACTGAGGCTGTTTCAAATTTCAAGCTTCTAGAAAGTTTAAAAGGCACACAGTCACCTTAAAAATCACGAACACCTAAAACTACTCAAACAAAGACATTAGAGGGAAAAAAAATCTTTACTTTGGGAAACTAAAAGCATTTTGTACAGCAGTTTAACTGTTTTCCCAGTATAATGTTTGTGTAGATTTTACAGAGCAGCAGTAAAGAGAAAAATATTTTAAAAGAACAGGGAAATGAGATTGTAAACACATCAAAAAAGGCAGAGGAAGTCTGGGGCAGGTGTAGAAACAAACTACTTTAAACTTAAAAAAGAATGAGTAGATTTCAAGTTGACTCTTTTTAAGACACTGCACTTCAGCGAAGTCCTTCAACAATGACCCTCAATGCATTTATGTGCTTGACTATTTTTGTTTATATTGTAAGATCACTGGTGCAGGACAGTGTCTTTCTTTTTTTGTGTAGCACCAAACACATGCTGCCACACAAACAACACAGTGCCAATGCCACTTAAGTTTTCCCCTTTAAATATCTAGGGCATATTTTAAACAATGTGTTCAATGATAAAATGTGAAATAATTCTATCTAGTGTCATTAAATCATTTTAGAAAATACAATAAAAGATGATCCCAACAGCTCTATGATGATGTGAGCATTAAGTTTTACAATATGAGAGGTTTAAACTCCTTGAAAGCTTTTTTTGTGCAGCAATGCTCACAAGTGGTTTTATTTGGAATAGGTAATTTGTTAAGTAAATGTTTGGCTGAAGTGTTTTTTAATGTCTTAAAACTCAGTTATAAAGCTTGAATCTAACTACATCTTGGTTGCACTGTGGTCACTGAAGCAAACTGAAAAGACATTTACAGATGTTATTTTAAACTCTTTCAACACAACTAAAAGATATAAACGATTGGCTGAACATTCCTAGCTCTATTTTTCAATAGAAGGTGACTCATGCAGTTCAAAGCTTTATTATGGCTACAGGGAAAACAGAGAAGGAAAATTACTATTTCATTTTAAATTGAGAAGTGTGTTACATTAAATTCATAAATGGTTCACAGATTCAGCCCCGTTTGGATGAGCTCTGAGCTGAGATATCAGAACAAACCTATAGATTCATTTCAAGAAGGCTGAATTTCTTAATGCCTATATTGCTTCAGCCTTCACTAAAGAAGTTAATGCTGACCAGATACTCAACACAATTAATATTAACAACAAGGGAAAAGGAACACAAGCAAAAATAAGGAAAGAACAGGTGAAAGTATGTTTAGGTAAGTTAGATGTAATCAAGTCAGCAAGTCCTGATGAAATTCATCCTAGGGTATTTAAGCAATTTTAGAACCATTAGCAATTTATTTTTGAGAAGTCATGGAGGTCGGTGAGATTCAAGAGGACTGGAAAAGGACAAACATAGCACCTATCTTCAAAAAGGGGAACAAAGACAACCAGGACATTATAAACCAGTCAGTCTAACTTTTATACCTGGAAAGAAACTGGAAAAAAATATTCAACTATCAATTTGTAAGGACCATGCGGACAGTAGGGTTACAAGGAATAGCCAGCATGGATTTGTAAAGAAGAAATCATGGCAAACCAACCTAATTTCTTTCTTTGACAGGATTACAGGCTTAAGGAATAAGGGGAACCAGTAGACCTGATACATCTTGATTTTGTAAGGCTTTTGACACAGTCCCACATGATATTTCCATGAGCAAATCAGGGAAATACTATCAAAGTGAAATGATTATAAGATGGGCGCAAAATTGGTTGACAGACTACACTCAGAGTAGTTATTAATGACTCACTACCAAACGGAGGGCGTATCTAGTAGTGTCCCACAGGGGTTAGTATTGGGTCTAGTACTAGTCAATATTTTCACTAATGAATGGATAATGGAGTGGAGAGTAGGCTTATCAAATTTGTGGATGACACCAAGCTCAGAGGGGTTGCACGCACTTTTGAGGATAGGATAAGAATTCAAAATGACATTGACAAATTAGAGAATTGATGTGAAATCAACAAGTTGAAACTCAATAAAGACAAGTGCCAAAGTACTACACTTAGGAAGGGAAAACCCAATTCCCAACTACACAATGGGGAATAACTGGCTTAGGTGGTAATACTGCAGAAAAAGACCTGTTATAACAAATCACAAACTGAATATCAGCCAAAAGTGTGACACAGTAGTGAAAGAGGCTAATATTATTCTGGAGTACATTAACAGCAGTGTTGTGCATAATATCCGGGAGGTAACTGTCCTCTCTACTTAGCACTGGAAAGGCCTCAGCTGGAGTACTATGTCCAGTTTGAGGCTCTACACTTTAAAAACGATGTGGAGAATTTGGAGATAGATTCTATGGGAGAGCAACAAAAATTATAAGAGGTTTAGAAAACATGGCCTATGAGGAAAGTTAAGAAACTAGGCATGCTTAGGCTTGAGAAAAGAAGACTGAAGGGGGAGGCAGGAACCTTATAACAGTCTTCAAATATGTTAGAGGCTGTTATAAAGAGGATGGTGATCAATTGTTCTCCATATTCACTAAAAGGTAGGACAAGAAATAATGGGCTTAACCCTGCAGCAAGGGAGATTTAGGTTAGATATTAGGGAAAACTACCCTTATAGTTAGAAAGTTAAGTCCTGGAACAGGCTTCCAAGGGAGGTTGTGGAATCCTCAATGGATTTTTTAAGAACAGGTTGGACAAACACCTCTCTAGGAATGCACTAGGTTTTACTTGATCCTGCCTCAGCACCGAAGGCTGGACTTGATGACCTCTAAACGTCCCCTCAGACCTACACTTCTGTGATTTCATCATCCTACAGTTCAATCGCTGACCTGTTGATAAGGCTTCCTCCCAGTCCATGAGAGGTATCCTGGGAATGGGTTTATCAACAAACAAGAAATAAGAATTTTCTATTTAAGGTGAGATGCTTATTGTATTATAAATACCTGCTACACTGGACAAAAATATACCTCTGATGCTTATTCATGAATAGTGCATCAACCTTAAACTGTCAACGTATAAATAAAATTTGAGCATATTCCAGAATTTAACAGAAGTTGCAACGGAGACCAGTAGCATACACTGGTTTTGAAAGTGTACACAAGTTTGCTTTATATTTGAGTATCATGGTGTTCTTAGCTAGCAATAGACAAACTACTAGTCATCACCTTGCAGTTTTTGTTGCTTACAAACCACCCATTGAATAACATGTGAAAAGACAGACCTCTAGAGTATTTTTTTAAACTATTTAAATTAAGTAAGCAGCTACTGGATGACAAATACAAATTGTACGTATAATTTAATAGCTTATTTTACACAGTGCTGTGGTGTGCTACCAATGTGAAAGTGGTCTTGAACTGCAGAGGATTAAGATTCTAATTTACAATCTGTAGCACATATATGTCACTTATTACCAATTAGTATTTTGATACACTTTTCTATATAAAAGAAAAATACAGTTTAATGTACAAAGTTAAGTAATGAGCATAAAGTGAACCCAACCTTTAATTTCTTTTAACATGGAGAAAAGCAGACAAGAAAAGCCCCTGCATTATATACCCTATCAAAATGAACTTAAAACCATTTGCAGTCTAGAATTCAAGATGCTTTAAAAATGTATAGCAAGAATGGCTAGAGATTATTCTTATAAGGTTAAATAAAGTAACAGCAGACAGTATCTTTGTGTGCAACTCATTATTTTTATGACCCCACTGAGACTAGCATATCACTGAAACAAATTACTTCTGCTTTACATTAGTAGTCATGTCTCTGGCGCTTTTCAAGCGAATGCTAAGACAAGACAAGAAAAAGATGTATTTCATTAGGTAGCATTTAACTTACAAGGCAGCAGGAATGTTGTGCCACCTGAGAAAGTCTTGAAAGCTTTCCTCTCAGTAACAGCTTACAAAGGAAGCATCTTGTACTATTTTTTCCCTTGAAGATACATTCATAAGAGAAATGTGTATTCATGGACAATAGGAGGACAAACAAAGACATACCTCTCTGCGTACCATGCTACATTCTGATTGGTCCAGAAGAATGTTTATCACTGTTCCCCATAACCCTCCTGAAATGTTCTGACAGCTCTCTGCTAAAGCAATGCACCCTAATTCAAGAGATGTAAGAGCTGATCCGATTCCAAGGGAGGTGAACCTTACCTGGAACATTTTAGCAAGAAAGAAGCTGTATTTCATTGTATGAAATGTTAATATTTCATAATTCATTCTTAAACCTTTATAATGAAGCATGCAGTCTTCATTATCTCTAAATTCTCTTGAACAGCTACTAATGAATTACTTGTATCATCACACAAGAGCATATAAAAGACCGACAACATAGCTTTCAATATTTGGATGAGATAATTCTCTCCACCTAACAAACATAAAAGGAGCATTTTTCTGTATATATATTTTCATTAACAAGTATAAATATTAACTGCTCAGCAGGAAAATGGATGCAGATGCCTTATCTGAAGCCTACAAACATCTGTAAATATGTCATATGAAAGAACAACACCTGAATATTCTTTTTAATTGTAAATGGCACCAGTATTTAAACTAGACTTGAAACCTGGTTGATTAAAGCTGTTTATACACTGTCTTGTAAGTAGTTTACTATGACTGTATCCCTGACTAAAGATGGAGAGTGAGTTGTTCCTGAACACCTTGTTACCCAAACTGTAAAATACAAAACACCCCCTCAGATACTCCTCTCGTCAATGTGGTCATAACTTTTGTGAAAAAAAGGCAACAAGCCCAACATTTTCTATTTAGATTCATCTCTGGTGTCCACCATCATAGTGTCATCTAACTGCCACTAAAGATCAAACCAAAGATAGTTGCTAAAATAAGGCAATAGGACTGAATACACATAGAAAGCAGACATGATGAGTAAGGAGATGGCATTATCTAGTTACTTTTCAGAGTAAGCCTGTTCTGGAATTGTATATGTAAAGTTCCAGATAATCAGTTTTAAATAAAACATTCTTGATAGTTTGGATCTGAGCATATTTGCTTTAAATTTTTGTGCAAGTCATGTTAATAGTAACTTTTTTTTAGTAGAGACAAGGTGGCTCAGATAATATTTTTTATTGGACCAACTTCTGTTGATGAAAGAGACAAGCTTATGCCGAGCTCTTCTTCAGATCTGGGGCAGGTAATCAATGACAAAGCTAAATACAAGGGTGGAACCGATAAGGAGTTAACTCACATTGTAAGAGACAATTCAATGGGCAGTTAACAACTCTACAGTATTCAGAGTAACAGCCGTATTAGTCTGTATTCGCAAAAAGAAAAGGAGTACTTGTGGCACCTTAGAGACTAACCGATGAAGTGAGCTGTAGCTCACGAAAGCTTATGCTCAAATAAATTGGTTAGTCTCTAAAGTGCCACAAGTACTCCTTTTCTTTTTACCTGTACAGTAGTTGGACAAAGGAGGGTCAGTGAGTTGCAGATTGTTGTAACAAGCCATAAATCAAGTATTTATTAAGTCATTTTTGGTGTCTAGCAGAGTTATCAGTTTAAGTTCCCAGTCTTGTCTTATGAAGGTGTAGTGCAGATTTCCTTTGAAGACAAAGACCAAGAGGTCAGATATGGAGTGATTTTTGTAAGAAGTGTTTGCCCTCAGGCGACATGGTGTTCTGTTTTGTTTTTAAATCAGCCGCAGGAACTAGGATGACTTCCCAATGGGCCACCGTGAGGAAGACTATCTGGTCAAATGCACCACAAAATCAATGACATATTGGAGACGCATCAATGATATTGTATCATCTGGACAGACATCCTAAACTCCCTCACAGATTTCCACCACAACTTCAACCACCACCACTCATCCATCAAACTCTCTCTAGAACAGTCCCACACCAGCATGAACTTCCTGAACACCATGATCAGCTTCAGCAATGGAACTATATCAAGAAACTCATGGATCACCACTCTTACCTTCACAGATTTAGTAACAACCCCAAGAAATTAGTTACCTACAGTCAGGCACTCAGATACCATGGAAATATGCTCCAAGAAGAAAACCCAGGATACACAACTTAACACACTTAAAACTGCCTTCACTAAACAAGGACACCATCATGGAATGGGCCATCCAAATACTCAGAGAACCCACTTCAACACAGGAAAAACAAAAACAAACAAACCAAAAACTTCTGACTGAACATCCCTAGTTGTCACCTACCACCCAACCCTGAAGCCCATATGCGTTATCATTAAACAATTACAATCCATACTCTCTGGATACCGCATTCTGAAAGAAATCTTTCCCAACCCTCTCTTCTGGCCTTCAAACAATCGCTCCATACTCAACATCAGAAGCAAGCTCCCCACAGATCAGGACTCACCAATTCAAGGTGGCATCAGACCCTGCCATAAAAACAGATGCAAAACCTGCAAACATATCATCTCCCATGCTACAGTGATCAATAACCACCCCCCAACACACGTTTCGAGATCCATGAGTCCTACACATACCTATCATGACATGTGGTGTACCTCATCCAGTGCACTAACTGCCCCAAAAACACCTATGTGGGTGAAACAAGACAATCACTACGCTCTTGAATGCACTCTCACAAAAAAAGGATAAAAGACAAAAAAAAATCACCTGGGGAGAACAATTTTCACTCCATATCTGACCTCTCAGTCCAGATATGCTAAACAGTCGTATGCCCCTTCATGCTTCGGCCACCATTCCAGAGGACATGCTTCCATGCTGATGACGCTCGTAAAAAAAATAATGAATTAATTAAATTTGTGACTGAACTCCTTGGGGGAGAACAGTATGTGTCCTGTTCTGTTTTACCTGCATTCTGCCATATATTTCATGTTATAGCAGTCTCGGATGATGATCCAGCACATGTTCGTTTTAAGAAAAGTGTCACAGCTGATTTGACAAAACACAAAGAAGGTACCAATGTGAAATTTCTAACAGCACTCAACCCAAGGTTTAAGAATCTGAAGTGCCTTCCAAAATCTGAGAGGGACGAGATGTGCAGAATGCTTTCAGAAGTCTTAAAAGAGCAACACTCCAATGCGGAAACTACAGAACCTGAACTACCAAAAAAGAAAGTCAACCTTCTGCTGGTGGCATCTGACTCAGATGATGAAAACAAACATGCGTCGGTCTGCTCTGCTTTGGATCGTTATCGAGCAGAACCCGTCATCAGCATGGACACGTCTTCTGGGAAGGTGGTTGAAGCATGAAGGGACATATGAATCTTTAGCGCATCTGGCACCTAAATATCTTGCAATGCCGGCTACAACAGTGCCATGCGAATCCTGTTCTCACTTGCACGTGACATTGTAAACAAGACGTGGGCAGCATTATCTCCTGCAAAGTGTAACCAATCTTGTTTGTCTGAGCGATTGGCTGAAGTAGGACTGAGTGGACTTGTAGGTTTTAAAGTTTTACATTGTTTTATTTCTGAATGCAGTTATTTTTTGTACATAATTCTACATTTGTAAGTTCAACTTTCATTATAAAGAGATTGCACTACACTACTTGTATTAGGTGAATTGAAATATACTATTTCTTTTGTTTTTTACAGTGCAAATATTTGTAATCAAAAATAAATATAAAGTGAGCACTGTACACTTTGTATTCTGTGTTGTAACTGAAATCAATTTGAAAATGTAGAAAACATCCAAAAATATCTAAATAAATGGTATTCTATTATTGTTTACCAGCACAATTAATCACACGATTAATTTTTTTAATCGCCTGACATCCCTAGAGGATAGGGATTTGTTTTAAGATGCTTTGACAGAAACGTTCTAACAGCAATTATTCTTTAGAATACTTTTTTTTAAAACACACATTTAAAATTATGACAAGTTAGTTAAGTCTCAACATTAAACATAGTTTTTAGATTTGTAATACATTTGTTTCTTAAAGTTGGAGCAACAGTTTTATGCCAGAGTACACTAACCTCAGGATCTCTATCTACCCATAATGGAACTAGCCATGCCAGACCAAGCCGAGAAGGAACTTGCTCTTCACTTTTATCATAAGGCAAGAACCAGAGAGACACCCAGTCCTGATCAGAAAAAAAAAAATGAAAAGGATTTATTTCAGACAGTAACAGTTCAAATTAACTCTGCCCTCCAACTATATAAGCTAATTTTTTCCCCCTTTATTTCAGTACAAAGCACAAGTATTGTATGGCAAAGATTCTGGAGGCAAACTATAAAGCTTAACAATATTACTGTATGGTATAAAACACTTTTTGCATTATAAACGGAATTAAAATTAAAAATGTACTTGTCTGTAAGACAAGACTGTTGTCTTCATATGGTATAATGGTTTCTAAATTAACAAAGAAAAATAAACGCTGAGCTAAGAGGAAAGGGTCACAGCTTAATTCTGTTGATTAGCTGCACAAGTGAGAAGTGCTATCCAAGATACTAACTTTACTATCCTTGAACTGTGTAGTACTTTACTTCACCAGGAGCCCCCTTGATTTTATTGGGGCTATTTCCAGAGTAAAATACAATGCAATATGAGTAGCAGAATTAAAGACATCTGCTATCTGCACCCAGTGTGAACTAAATTTTGTTCAGTCTTAACAGAGAGCATTCCTATACTCGATTTTAGTCTCCCAAATTGAATTACAGTAAAATTCTGGCATTGTTTTTAGCCAGTTTAAGCTCAGGACCATGACTTCCACCTTACTCTTAACCCTAAAAAACTGAATTTGCAGAATATGGTCACAAGCACATTTGGACGTTACATTATGAGGATTTAATTGAAGAAAATGAAACTATACTCATTAGTAGGAATTTTTAGCCAGTTTAATTTTTCACATAATCTATAAAATTGCTTAGGTGCTTATCTACATCTGCACAAAGATGTAAGATATTTAACAGAAGAGTCCAGAACCTCAATGTGTTTATTTAGGCTCTGATATAGCACAAAGCTTAAGCACAGTCTTAAATTTAATAGGACTCATTCACACATTTAACATTAAGAACATGTTTCAGGACTTGAATCAGCATCTTGTACATCAACATTACCACAAGAAAGTTCTAATATTGTGCAGCATTCTGTTAAAAGAACCTTTATTTCCAGAACTGTTGGGCAAATCAAGGTTGTTTTTTTTTTCTTTTCAACCGTACCGTTTCCAAGTACCAGAAGCAAATTCACTTAAAATAATTTTGAAGACACTATACTTATTACAAAAATATTTTAGAAGTAAATACCATACTTTTAGTCCTGATTTACCATCCTTGCCTTTGAGTAGTACCTCATTCTGCAAGTACTTCCTCTTAAATCAGAAGGACTACTTGCAGGGTGATACTGCTTAGTAAGTAAGGTTAGCAGAATTGGACTTTAGCTAGTATATGTGGTACACTTAAAATAGTGATATTAGCATTCCCTAGAGTTCAAATTCAGTAATTTAAAGCATCACATTTCCAAGGAAAACATCAGTTAAAATTCAATTTTCTGCTCTCTAAAGTCAAGCAAAAATAGACTGTACGTTTGAACTCTGTCAGTAACAATGTGTCAATGCTTTAATCACACAGATGACAAACTAAGGGCAGCTCTCACCATATTTTTGGCTTGAGCCATCATTTCATGGGACAAGTGAAGCAAGCAAAGCACTGTGCTCTTTGTGACGCCTTTGCCCATGAAGGACATAGCATTTCCTCCCCATTCAACATAAAAAGATGAGATGACCTGTAATAAAATAAAAATAAAATAAAGCAAAATAATTTCATGGTGGCTTTACTATGAGGAATATATAGATAAATACAAACAGTCCTGCAGACTTCAGTTAATTTAAATCATGACTAAGTGTAAATAGCAGCCTTTACCTGCAATTTTAGGAATATCTTACATTTCTATAAGCTACTTGGTCAGAGGTTCGTTTGTGTTCTGGCTGTACCCCAGTGTTCAATGTCCTTCTCTTCTCTTGGCTCTCACTCAGGTCTGCAATGTCCTTCATTTGTCTAGGGGCCTGGGACCTAATGGATCTTTTATGTGGTTGTGATACACACAGTTATTCATGATCAGGTGTTTTTGTTCTGAGTCTTGTATTAGTATGCCTGGGATTACAATGTATTGTTTAGCTAAACATGCTTGATTTTTAGCCTTGACTAATTCACATATCCAGCTTGCCGCAAACCCTATGTCCCAAGTTACTATTTTGTATTAAAACACTCCCTTCGGATAACTTAAAAATAAAACTTCTTTTGCATGGCTGATAAAGACACACATACTTTACAGTTATGACCGTCAATTAAAATATTTTGTAGCTCTTTATAATTGTCCCTTGGATAGCAAGCCTTCCAATATTATGAAGAAACTATTTATGGTTGTCTGGGTTCTCAAAAAAAGGGGATGGTACGGATAATGTCTTACTTCTCGCTAAAAGTAAATTTTTTATTACAAGATTTCTGTAAAAAAAAGCTTCTGTGTTTAGTTGTTGGCGCTTTGTACAAAACTTGCACTACAGGAAGAGGGTTTATATTGGGCAGTTTATTTTGACTTGCACTGATATAAATAGGAATTTTAATTTTAAACATCAAACATCAAAACCTGCTAAACAGTGATATGATCACAAAACTGATGTAACCATTAGGTGTAAGAATTACACCTAAAGAACATTTTCCATCAAAAACATTGCTATTATAACTTGCCTATTTGCCTGTCCTTCAGATCATCCCCTTCCATAAAAACCCTAAACCAACTCACTGTTAAGTTATCTGTTATATCTGGGTTCACTTGAAATTGCATGAAACTTACTGCAGACAGGACCTAAATGTTAGAAATTGGTTCCCTGTTGCCTTCATCCTAGCTGTTAATCTGACCACTTTCTATTACGTGACACCATCTATAATCTTGGTCCCATTTTTGATTCTACACTCCCATCTGAAGCTTTCTTCAATCAAGTGGATCCAAATATTTTACTTCCACTTTAGGAACTTGCCAAATTGCTAAATCAGCTGTTGAACTCTATGTTTTTGTCTCATCACAACTTGATTATAGTAATCCGTTCTTTGCACGACTTCCAGACATTGGTTGACTGTCTTCAGTTATTTCAGAAGCTGACAATTAAATTAAAAGTAAAATGTTTCGATCAGAATAGTCTTTTCACAGAGCTAGCAAAGCTGTCAACAATGTTTAAAATTTGAATCTTAAAGAATAACCTCTGATGTATCTCTTTTTTCACTCTTCATGATAACCTGTTGGAAGACCAAAGTTAAAATCTAGACAAACTGTTTTCCTCCACTTTGCAGCTACTCTACATTACTATAAGATTACTTAAGAGTACTAAATTATTTGTAATATTTTATTTTAGAAGACAGATAAGTTTTTTGGGGAGTGCAGGGGGGAGAATAATTCCATAGACTTAGACAACAAATGAAGGAACCAGAAAATGAAGGTTTGGGGCTTACAAACAATGAAATTATTCCTTTAGCCCACTATGCTTTCCCTAGTTTACCGCTATCTTACCTATCTACCAAGGTTTTCTTTTTTTGCAGCTCTAAAGGACTTTTGCCACTAGGGAAATGTCCTGTGGATTTTTCTCTTTGGTATTTCTTAATTATAAAACTCAGTCCAACACACAAAGGACATTCTGATTTTGAAAAAGTACTAGCCTTATTTACCTCCTATAATTTAGTGATACTCTTGTCTGAAACTAACAGGTACAAAAATGAGAGAACATAAGCACAAAGCAACACAAATTGGATTGATTTGTTTTTAATTTAGATTAATACTTGTCACTACAGATTGGTTTTAGTGTCCACCCAGAACATTTACATTCCACAGTTTAGTCTTCAGTTTATTTTTTGCCCTATTGGAGATAAAAAAAATAGGAAGAAAAAATCTTCCCCACTGTCTGGCTATGCCAGCAGAAGAGTAGGAGGCACTGCATGTGGTTTTAATTTAATTAAATATCTGGGATTACACACCAGATAAGACTGTACAGTGTAGGTAATTCCATGTGTGTTTATATTCTGGGGGCTGCTATCAGCCTTCTCCCTTTCCAATCCAGATCCCACTGACCTCACTACTTTAACCCCATTATCCACTCCTTGTATGGTGGTTAAGGGAACTATAAGGGAGGGGCTAACTCCCCACTATATTATTCATAAGAACCCCGAATCCCCTTTCTCTGCTGCTTTAAAGGATTCTTCCTTTAAATCCTTTACCAATCAATTTTACCTGATCATCGTACCCATTCCATACGGTGTACCTGCACTGGACATTTTGCCACAAGCTTACATAACGAGTTGAGACATTAACCCCTTATGGCCTATTCCTCCTTTCATACCCTACCAGGCCCTAACCCATTGAGGGGAGGATAAAAATCCACCTGACCTCAGCCAATCTGATGGTGAGAGAAAATGCCTTCCCAGACCCCTGAGAAGAGCCATGACTAGCATAATGCCCACAGTAGGTACCAATGAAGTCTGCTACTTTAACCACTTCCATAGGTGGAACTGTGGGTGCTGCTAGCCTTGTCCAGGCTAAAGACGGCTTTGCCAGAACTGCCTTGGGTATAACTACACCCCTTTCTTAAGGCAGCTGTTATGAGGAGTGGACAGTTGTTGTCCCCCACTGATCTGGTCAGGCTCTACTGAGTCCTGCTTCTTTACCTGAACAGGTAATTGTACCGGGGGAGGGGGCGCGGCAGAAAAGAGGGGCCTTAATGAGGGCAACAACCCTCTTCCTACCAACCTGCCGGAAAAGCCCTGTGCATGCAAAGGGAAATTCACCTTCTCCTTCCAGCCAAATAAAGGACCCCACTTCCTTATATGTAGTGAGGACATTATAAAAACAACTGTTTTACAACTAAAGCCAGAAAAGCAGAGCATCAAAAGTTGATATTTGGCATGAAAATAGTCCTCATTTGGCATAGACTTGAGAAGTTTGGGATTAAATTAATTTTGATTTCATCAATTAGATTCTTTGAAAATTATATATGCACAGTACATTTTGCATAGACTTTTACTAAGCTCATAAAGGAATCAATCCTATGTAATTATGTCAATGGACTTTTGTCATTTATTTAATTTGGAACAGGGTAAGGACCAAAGTGCACAGAGGGGGAAGACCATGCTGCACCTTCATACTTGAATAACTCAGCAGCTCACTTTGAAATGTAGTGGTGATGGTCAACATGTATACCTCATAAGGTATTAAAAGGTCCAGGGGAGGACCAAATGTGGCCAACTTACCAAACACAAAGACATTGAAATATACAATTTCAAACTGGTCAAAATGGATCTGCTTCACTCCACCACTCATAAGTTATTTGTTGATTTCTAACTGGTGAAGTAAAATATTTTTTTATCTGATACTCCTTCCCTGCAACTTGCATGGTGTACACACACCCAGAATTCATTCATTGTTCAGTTTTCGCTGAAATCACTGTGCCACAAGAGTAACAAGTAAAATTTCCCAATAATCATATTTCATTTAACAAAACAAACATGGTTTACAAGAGTAATATGTACCTTGTTTTACGGTTGTTACCACAAATATACAAGTGATAACATAAGCTACTTACCTCAAGAAGACCTGTCAAATATTTCATACAAATTGTGAATGGCTCAGTTGTTGCAGAGTATGAACTCCATCCTGGGTGTGCAGTGACATGGACCATTCCTCGTAATGTTCTCTCCAAAGAAGGCAATCCATAAAAGTGGGGTGCATCTGTTACCCGTAAACACTGTAGCAGTTTCAGAGCCAGCTGTGTTCGGACACAATCAGTAAGTTCCAAGCCCTTTCTGTTCCAAATAAAAAAGGCAAATGTATCAGATGGCAGTATAAAAGTTAACTTAATCATTATTATTTGATAGGATGCCAATGACATCTTATTGTTCCTGTAGTTCTATAAATCTAGGTATCAAATCTCTTGTATATGGTGAAGAAAAACAAAGTTTGGCATTTCCAGCTTCAAGTGTTTTTCAGTTCTAAAAGCCCCAAATTTCATTGTGAAGAAATAGGAACACTCACTCAAATAAAAAAAATGGATGAATACAGAAAGAACCCTGTAATATACTAAAGAACACACCAAAGAGAGGGAAAGAAAAATCCAGAATCATGGATCCCTTGTTATGAGAAGGAAAAAAAAAGTGCTAAGTTCACTAGTTGCACTTTAAAAATTCACTCTGGTTTTAGAGATGATAAAGGTATCAGAGATATTTCCTGTAGTTAAAGTGCTACCAGGCTAGATTCCAGCTAAAAATGGCACAGTGTTATAGGCCATGAACCCAGGTGTTAAGCAAAATGTGGCAATCAGCAGGGATTTTTGTAAAAAACAAAACAAACAAAAACCACCACTCCCCCTCCTTTTTCTTAAAAAAAAAAAAAGATGTATTCCTCACTTTTAAAGATAAAAATAAAATGAACTGGAGAAAAAAAAAGACTATTGCTTTGAAGAAACCATAAACAGGTAAATTGTGACTAGCTTAGTTGTAAGGTGAATATTATAATTCCAAATTGGTTTGATGTTGGGAAAAAGTACAATTTTAAAAATATTTTGAATAAAACCACAGGTAGCAGTAAAGAGTTTTATTTAGGCAGAAACATATAAAGTTAGGGATTTCTGGTTATTGTTTTAGGTATGGAGCCAAAATAATAGGAAATTCACACTGCTAATACCATGATTGCATAAATTAATGTGGAAACAGGTTAAGACCTTCTATAGGAGCTGAGAATCATGGATAAGGGCCAAACTGCCTATGGCTGAAATAATTAGGCCTGAAAAAAGAAATAGGGTAATAATTTAAACAACAAATATTTACTGATTTCTCATCTGTTGATGATATAATGTCTCAGTTACTTTGATGTCCCTTATTCACTTATAAATAACTCCCAGAAAGACAGCATCCACTCATGCATGTTTTATCAACTAATAAGTAGAAATGACAACTCCAACCCCTTCTCAGGTTACAACAAACTGAAAATATATTATTTGCTGTAACTAGAACTATTAGAGCCAACACCACAGATCCCAACCTCCATAAAAGTAGAAAGTACTCAAGCAATTTTAGTATAGAACAAGTGAAAGGGCCTAATGTTGGGCCTAACATCAAATGGCAGACATATTTTCCACTTCACAGTGAGGACTGAAGATACTTCCCTCCCATCACTCGTCCAGATACCTTAAATTATTTGGTCTCTAATCACCTATGAAGAAAGCTGGTTGTTGCCATGGCAAACGAAATTTTTGCAAAGTAATCATTTTCTCCTTTTTATTAAAAAAAGGAAAAAAGCCATGGCAGATACTGTAATTATTACTAGGGCTGTCAAGTGATTTAAAAAATTAATCGCAATTAATAGTGCTATTAAAAAAATAATCTTGATTAATCACGTCATTAATCGCGCTGTTAAACAATAATAGAATACCATTTATTTAAATATTTTTGGAAGTTTTCTACATTTTCAAATATATTGATTTCAGTTACAACACAGAATACAAAGTGTACAGTGCTCACTTTATTTTTATTACAAATATTTGCACTGTAAAAAACAAAAGAAATAGTATTTTTCAATTCACCTCATACAAGTACTGGAGTGCAGTCTCTATTATGAAAGTTGAACTTACAAGTGTAGAATTATGTACAAAAAACCCCTACATTCAAAAATAAAATATGTAAAACTTGAGCCTACAAGTCCACTCAGTCCTACCAATTGCTCAGATAATCAAGTTTGTTTATATTTGCAGAAGATAATGCTGCCTGCTTCTTATTTACGTCACCTGAAAGTGGACCAGTGAATGGCACTGTTGTAGCCGGAGCCACTAGATATTTACATGCCAGATGCGCTGAAGATTCATAGGTCCCTTGATGCTTCAACCATGATTCCAAAGGACATGCATTCATGCTGATGACATGTTTCTGCTTGGTAACTATCCAAAGCAGTGCTGATCAACACATGTTCATTTTCATCATCGGAGTCAGATGCCACCAGCAGAAGACTGATTTTCTTTTTGGTATTTTGGGTTCTGTAGTTTCCGCATTGGAGTCTTCCTCTTTTAAGATTTCTAAAAGCATGCTCCATACCTTGTCCCTCTCAGATTTTAGAAGGCACTTCAGATTCTTAAATCTTGGGTTGAGTGCTGTAGCTATCTTAAAATTTTCACAATGGTATCATCTTTGCATTTTGTCAAATTTTTAGTGAACGTGTTCTTAAAATGAACAACATATGCTGGGTCATCATCCGAGACTGCTATAACATAAAATATATGGCAGAATGAGGGTAAAACAGATCAGGAGACATACAATTCTCCCCCCAGGAGTTCAGTCACAAATTTAATTAATGCTTTTTTTTTTTTTTTTTTTTTTTTTAAATGAGTGTCATCAGCATGGAAGCACATCCTCTGAAACAGTGGCCGAAGCATGAAGAGTCATATGAATCTTTAGTGCATCTGGCACGTAAATATCTTGCGACGCCAGCTACAACAGTGCTATGCGAGTGCCTGTTCTCACTTTCTGGTGACGTTGTAATTAAGAAGTGGGCAGCATTCTCTCCCATAAATGTAAACAAACTTGTTTCTCTTAGCGATTGGATGAATAAGAAGTAGAACTGAGTGGATTTGTAGGCTCTAAAGTTTTTATTTGCTTGTTTTTGAGTGCAATTATGTAACAAAAAAACCCTATATTTGTAACTTGCACTTTCATGACAAAGAGATTGTATTGCAGTACTTGTATGAGGTGAATTGAAAAATACTATTTCTTTTATTATTTTTACAGTGCAAATATTTGTAATCAAAAATAATATACAGTGAGCACTGTACATTGTGTTGTAATTGAAATCCATATATTTGAAAATGTAGAAAAACATCCAAAAATATTTAATACATTTCAATTGGTATTCTGTTGATTAATCGCAATGAATCTTTTTAGTCACAAATTAATTTTTTTGACTTAATCGCGTGAAGTAACTGCGATTGACAGCCCTAATTATTACTATATATGCACACATATAAAATGTGACTATATATTATGTATATTGTATGTATTTCATTATAAATAGACACATGCCTACACACAACAGGTTATACAATTACCAAAATGTTTCCATTTAGCTAGAATCTTGAAATTTTGGTATATTCGTTAGGTTGGATTGCTAAGTACAGAAAATAGCCCAAATTTGAAATGTGACCCTTCAATAAATTACTAAAAAATGAATAGTTTTTTATCAGATTTCTGTGTTTCACATCTTTATAGACATACAGAATACCAGAGGAAATTACAAAAGTTATATGCAAGGGAGCCACGATGGGATGAGACCTCCAACTTGAAGAAATGAAGATTATAGTTCACCAGTTTTATTTAGTGGGTTTTACACAATACATTTTCCATACTTTTTTTTTTAAAGAATTATAAAATATAATACATGCAGCTGTTTAAGGGCCTGATTCAAAGCTTATTGAGATCAATGAAATGGAAAGATTGCCACTGACTCCAACGGGCTTTGGATCCGGCCCTGCAAGACCATGCATAATTGAAGACATATTCAATTAGAGCTGATACACTAAGGTTTGTCTACATAAATGTTTAGTTTGCAGCATACTGGGGCGTAAATCTAGTCCGCACTAGTCTGCCGCACAGTGTGCCCATGTGAATTCTGCTGCCATGCACTAGAAGTTCCCTGGTGCACTTTAATCTACCCTGCTTTGAAACGGGGGTAGATTAAAGTGCACCAGGGAACTTTTAGTGCATGGCAGCAGGGTCCACACGGACACTTAGTATGCAGCACACTAGTGAAAGGTAATTTCAGACCCCTGCTTGCCACAAACTAAGTGTTCATTTAGACAAGCCCTTAGTTGCAAAATATCTGAATATGGAAAGTGACCTTATTCCATCCACTATCAAGTTCTGATACTTTCACAACCTTTAAAAGCATGCACGCAACAATATGTTCATGTGACATTAATGTAACATTTCTATCACTGTTACAGTCTTTCAATGTATAACAAATAACAGTTTGATAATTAATGTATTCTGTTATTTTATTTTAAAATAATTAAACTAAATGTCACGGCTTTTACCAATCTGAACTCACAGGTGACTCTGCCAATAATCACATCTGTCCAAAGGGCAGACTGCTGTGAACTAATATGTGCAATTGTATCATTAATTCTTTCAGAGGCTCATACTAGCAATAAGCCAGGTCTAAGCGGTAGCCCAATTTATAGCCTGGCCATAATCCAGGGGTTCTCAAACTGGGGGTCAGGACCCCTCAGGGGGTCGTGAGGTTATTACAGGGGGGGTTTCCAAGCTGTCAGCCTCCACCCCAAACCCCGTCTTGCCTCCAGCTTTTATATATTTAACACCATTATAAATAAGTATTTTTAATTTATAAAGGGGGGGTGTCGCACTCAGAGGCTTAGAATCATAGACTATCAGGGTTGGAAGGGACCTCAGGAGGTCATCTAGTCCAACCCCCCTGCTCAAAGCAGGACCAATCCCCAACTAAATCATCCGAGCCAGGGCTTTGTCAAGCCTGACCTTAAAAACCTCAAAGAAAGGAGATTACACCACCTCCCTAGGTAGCGTATTCCAGTGCTTCACCACCCTCCCAGTGAAAAAGTTTTTTCTAATATCCAACCTAAACCTCCCCCACTGCATCTTGAGACCATTACCCCTTGTTCTGTCATCTGGTACCACTGAGAACAGTCTAGAGCCATCCTCTTTGGAACCCCCTTTCAGGCAGTTGAAAGCAGCTATCAAATCCCCCCTCATTCTTCTCTTCTGCAGACTAAACAATCCCAGTTCCCTCGACCTCTCCTCATAAGTCATGTGTTCCAGTCCCTTAATCGTTTTTGTTGCCCTCCACTGGATGCTTTCCAATTTTTCCACATCCTTCTTGTAGTGTGGGGCCCAAAACTGGACACAGTTGAATAGAGGGGAATGATCACATCCCTCGATCTGCTGGCAATGCTCCTACTTATAACAGCCCAAAATGCCATTCACCTTCTTGTTCACTGTTGACTCATATCCAGCTTCTTGTTCACTATAACCCCTAGGTCCTTTTCTGCAGAACTGCTGCCGAGCCATTCGGTCCCTAGTCTGTAGCGGTGCATGGGATTCTTCCGTCCTAAGTGCAGGACTCTCCACTTGTCCTTGTTGAACCTCATCAGATTTCTTTTGGCCCAATCCTTTATTTGTCTAGGTCCCTCTGTATCCTATCCCTACCCTCCAGTGTATCTACCTCTCTTCCCAGTTTAGTGTCATCTGCAAACTTGTTGAGGGTGCAGTCCATACCATCCTCCAGATCATTAATGAAGATATTGAATAAAACCGGCTCTAGGACCGACGACCCTTGGGGCACTCCACTTGATACCGGCTGCCAACTAGACATGGAGCCATTGATCATCACCCGTTGAGCCCGATGATCTAGCCAGCTTTCTACCCACCTTATAGTCCATTCATCCAACCCATACTTCTTTAACTTGCTGGCAAGAATACTGTAGAAGACTGTATCAAAAGCTTTGCATAGAGGGGAATGCCAGCATATGAATAATATGATAACACATAATAACAACACATATCAAAAGCTTTGCATAGAGGGGCATTGCCAGCAGATCGAGGGATGTGATCATTCCCCTCTATTCAAACAGGAATAACACGTCCACCGCTTCCCCCTCATCCACAAAGCCAGTTATCTCGTCATAGAAACCAATTAGATTAGTCAGGCATGACTTGCCCTTGGCGAATCCTGTTCCTGATCACTTTCCTCTCCTCTAAGTGCTTCAGAATTGATTCCTTGAAGACCTGCTCCATGAGGCTTGCTACGTGAAAGGGATCACCAATACAAATGTTTGTTAACCACTGCCATAGTCTGATCTTTCGGAGTCAAATAAAAACTGATTTGACTAAATAAGTCTGTTCATGTTCATAAAATATACACAATCATGTATACAGTGGGGAGAGGGTATTTAAAAAAATACATGGGAACTATGTAGTTGCAATCTATTTCTATTGCGCCACCAAGGACTTATAATTATATTACTCTACTATTACTATACTATAACTGTTACTATATTACTAAATATTACTATATTTCAGCTACCATATACTTGAACCCTGAATCATGTGGACAGATCCTCTTATACTGTACCTGTCAGTAACTGATGTGAAGCAGAGTAGCAACGTGTTAAAGAGACCAATCAGTTCTTTCTGCAGTTGTTGCCTGACAGCAGTCTGTATGTCATCTGTTTCATCCTGCACCTGGGATTCAGATCGCACCAGAAGGTCTAGCAGTGAACTTGAATTCTAAAGAGGGGAACAACATTCAAATCTTTGATTCCTATTCTAATACCCTGTCTACTGAGAATTTTTTTTTTGGTCCACTTGTTATAAGTTACAATTTAGTATAATAATTTCATTAAAGAATATTTCTTTTAAAAACCTGAAATGTATAATTTTCTATTAGGTCTGCCAGTCTACTAAGCAGTACACAAGGAAAGTTCTGATCATTAAGTCATAGTACACTGCATTATGAAGCAGTACTATTCAAGATAATGCAATGAATTATTTCCCTGAGATTCCAAAAAGCAGGGGAAAGATACACACATGCAATTGAGATATTAGTTCAAATTATATCCTCCTGTTTTACTACATCTCCTGAAAGACTCAATCTGATGGCTTTTAGTTGTTAATATATTTTATATTTAATGGGCTATCTTTTCAACAGTGCTCAGGTTCCCATTTAGGGAGATGGAGTGATCAGATTTTCATAATCAGTGAGAGCAACGGGGACTGGTGGATGCTGAATACTCACTTTTATGCTTAGATTACATTTCATTAGTATTCTTTAAAATGCAGAAGGTATGCCCTATGCAGGATCTCTTCCAAGGTAGAAAACCAAATAAATTATCCTTCTTCTAGGCCCATGTAGTTTAAAAAATAAAGCAACTAGTATCTTATGAGCTCAAGCACCTAAAAGTACTGCAGACTTCATCCTTGGTTAATAGTATTTTACTATCAGTTTTTCGTAGTATCACTTCAAAAGAAGTTTTATTTATGAGCAACAGACAATCAGCAGTCAGTCCAAATAGAGAATGTACTGCCACCATTTAAGTAATATCATTACTACGGAGCATAAGCCTAACACTGAAATCATAGAGGTATATGAGTAGAAACCCATCATCATCAAAGCAACACTTGCCATCAGAAAAGTCATTCACACAATAACCAAAAAAAAAAAAAAAAGGCAAAACCTTTTACAATTGTTTGATGTTAAATCATCAAATTATTAGAAGTTGTGGTACAGACTACAAGGTAACCTATCACTACTAATGATAAATTGAATTGTAGTTCTTTATTTTGTAAAAACAATATAATTTTCTTTAAAACAGCAGAAACCACTTTGCTGTTTTCCCACCAGGAATGCTTTAACCAAAAGCAAACAACAAACAAAATCAAGATGCCTTTTAAAGGCTATATTTGTGGATGGTTTGCAGCTATACCACTTTGTGAAGTCTGCAATTTATATTTTCCCCTAGGTATAGTCTTACATGTTTAAACAGTACCTCCAGAATCCACTTTAGATGTTCTACCTCCAAACTCTTCCTCTGTTCCCTAAGCAACTTGTTTAGAAAACTTAAGACATCAGCCAGAAGCTTCTCATCTTCTGTAGAAGCTGGAAGTACTTGCAGAAACCTTTGGTACAAACAAACAGTATAACTACGGATTTCACTTTCATATCTGAAGCACATGACTTGAGATCTGAAATTCCAACATGATATAAAATATCCATTAATGTAACACCACTATGGACTTCTCTATAATAAGGATTAAATTTAGAGAAATGAACAGAAGACAGGGAAAGAGCTATTAACACTTAAATATACTACCAAAACTAACTAAAGGGGAAAAAAGCCGAATTAGCTGCTTTCTTTTGTACAATTCACCTTTTAAATTCAGTTGTTTTAGTCATTTACTTTTTAGATTTTGCTCCTTTTCTAAGTGTAAATTATATATACTTGGCAACTAAGAAGCCAATTCCTTTTTAACATTTTTTTTTTAAATACTGAAAGCAGAGGATCTTTTCTTATCACTTTATTCTGTGGAGAAAAGATTATTAGGAAAACTCCAAGTATACTATACATCTTAAAGCTTAGATACTTAATATTACAGGGGCAGCTGGTAGCAACATCTATTTAGGTTGCTTAACATTTTCCATCATGTAAGATTTTTGACCTTTTCCATAAGAAGCCCTCACATTTCCATTGTTTGTAGCAGGCCTTTGCTATTCACCAGGGGAAATACTCTCACAGAGAAGCATTTTTTCTTTGTCCCAGGCAATTCCTTTTAGATTTAGCTGAGTTCTAAAGTGTTCAAATCACCATTTTCCATCTCACTTGCTTTCATCAGAAATGTTTTGGTAGTGTGCCAATATTAATGAAGATTCCAAGACTGGCTAAACCTGCCACAGTAGTATTAGCAACATCACAGATACACCTGTGAGCTGCCAGAATTGCTATGTGGAGAGGTGTGTGAGAAGAGAAGGGAGAAAGCCAGGCTTCCCCCCACAATCCCTCCTGCCTACTTCGCCCATTCTCAGCTCCAGAGTTCCATTCCCTAGTCCCATCTCCACCCCCCATGCCCCAAACCACACAGGACAAGAGCTTCTTCAACTCCTGCATGCAGGGAGCCAAGAGAGAGAGCCGAGCCAAGCTTTTCCTGGAGCCACTCCCTTCCTCCTTAACTCCTAGGAAGGGAGAGCAATTACTGAGCTGGGCTCCACTTGTAATCCCCTTAGACCTAGCATATGGCCCCAGCAGTCCATTATTACGGGACAGGAGCCTCCCCCATGCCTGGGTAGGGAAGAGAGCTAGCTGGGCTCTCCCTGACTGCATTCTGGACCCAGCACATGGTACCAGCAACCCATCCTGTCCTCTTCTGGATTAAGATACAGCTAATGTATTTAGTCCTGTAGCTCAAAAAGTAGCAGTCTGTGCTACAGTCATGAAGGCTATGGGTTCTAATACTGTTGATGATGCATGATGGGGAGCATGTTAGTTATACATGTAGAGAAAACGGTCACCTACCTTTCGTAACTGTTGTTCTTCAAGATGTGTTGCTCATGTCCATTCCATTCTAGGTGTGTGCACGCCCACGTGTATGGTTATCGGAGATTTTCGCCTTAGCGGTATCCGTAAGGCAGGCTGTGGCTCCCCCTGGAGTGCCGCGCTCATGTGCTAGTATATCAGGCACCACCGGCCCTATGGCTTCTCAGTTCCTTCTTGCCAGCAACTCCGACAGAGGGGCAGGAGGGCAGATTATGGAATGGACATCTTGAAGAACAATGGTTATGAAAGGCAGGTAACCATTTTTTCTTCTTCTAGTGCTTGCTCATGTCGATTCCATTCTAGGTGATGCACAAGCAGTATCAATGGAGATGAGGTCAGAGTTCGTGGTCTTGCAGCACTGCTCTCCCAAAGCCAGTGTCATCTTCAGCTTGCTGGGCAAGCAAATAACAAGACGCGAATGTGTGGACAGATGACCAGGGATCTCTTGGATTGGTACCTGTGCTAGGAAGGCCAGGTGGACCTTGACTGATGACAGAAACAAACCTTGGAGTTTGAGGTGCAGCAGATAATCCAGGATCTCCTGCAGCGGGGCCTGCTCGTCCTGCATACGCCATTCTGAGGCCCAATATGTGAACCTTTTCCATTTGGACAGATAAGTTGCTCTGGTAGAGGGTTTCCTGCTACCCAGCAAGACCTGCTGAACATGGGATGAGCATGCCCATTTGTCTGCACTTAGCCCTGCAATAACCAAGCCAGCAAGTGCAGTGCCACCAGGTTTGGGTGCAAAAGGCTGCTGTGATTCTGGGACAGCAGATCCGGCCAGAAGGGCAGCTACAGCAGGGCGGCTACCAAAAGGCTCAGCAATATGTCGAACGAGTGCTGGCAAGACAATGTGGGAGCTATTAAGATAATACTTGCTCTGTCTTGCTTGATCTTCACAAGGACCTTGTGAATCAACAGCACTGGTGGGAATGCATACAGCGCCCCCAACCATGGAAAGAGAAATGCATCTGATAGGAAGACCCTGTCCATCCCTAGAATCAAACAGAACACAGGTGTGCCATGACCTCATCAGGGATACTGTTCCTGACAGCTTAGTCCATCCTCGTGTAGAATATTGGTTTAAAGAGCTTCTACATCCATGGTAGCCAGGATGGCATTTTCAGGAAGATCATGAATGGATTGTAGTTTCCTCAGGAAGTCGGTGGTGTCTCGAAGATACCTAGGAGTGCTGGTAGCGTAGGGTCTGAGGAGAGAGTCCAAATAGCCAGATAATCCTGCTATCAGGGTGCCAATGCCTCAGATGATGGGGTGTCCACGATTCCCAGGTTTATGGATCTTGGGTAGTAGACAGAATACCCCTGGTCGGGGCTCTAGGGGTGTGTCTGTGTAGATTTGTTCCCATGCTGTAGCAGGGAGTTTCTTGAGCTGATGGTGCTTTTAGTACTCCTCAGTGGGACTGGAGAATAGTGGCCTGTAGAATGTGGTGTTGCCAGGCATCCTCTCCCCTGTAGGAGGGGGGTTTTGCTGTGGGAGCTGTGTCCTCTACCCCGACCTCCGAGCGCGTCTCCTGCACCAAACCCGGTGCCTCCAGCTGTTGCTCCAATGAGACAGCAGATGAGTGATGTGAAGGGGGCATCATCATCACCGGCACGCCCCACACGCTCCAATAAGGCCACTGTGCTGGTCAACGGCTGTGCTGCCAAGACAGCGCTGTAGATGTCGATGCAGCCTCAGGTGCCCAATCACGCTGGTGGGGTCTTGGCAACTGCCCTTCTGTGCCTGAGGAATCTCTTTCCAGTGACCATGGAGGGGCCATCGATGCCTGTGTCTGCCTGCTGACCATCGCTGCCAGAGACCGGTGTTTGGAGTGGAGGGATTGGTGCTGCTATCAGGGGGACCAGTTCCAGTATCCAGGGGACCAGAATCACGACAGAGTGAGCTCCCATGGGGCAGACTACTGAGATCTGCGCCAAGAGTACAACCGTCGGGAAAGCAAACGGTACCAGTAGTACAGAGACCAGCGCCGCTCCCTCAGCGATTTGTGTCGAGATGGTGGGAACCAGGATCGCAGTGCTGGTGACTGAGGCCAAGCCCCAGAGGATCTGGGCCAAGATGCCTGAGATCTGCGGCACAGAGATGGAGAGCGCCGCCTTGTCTCGGGGGATCGGCAGCGCTCCACTGCCCCGAGGGGTCTTAGCAGCTAGCTTACCCTCGTAGGGAGCCTTTACCACTTCCTGCAGCACATGCGGTGTCAGCAGCACGGGCAGAGGCCTCTGCTTTTTCAGTACCGGGGGAGCTTGGGAAAGCGTTGATGCTGCCAGAAGTTTGGGTCCCCTACCGCTCCCGGGTGTCAGTGGTGGATCCTTTAAGGGGCTAAGGGCCCCGACCAGGGAGGCACGTCCACATGGCTCTGGAGTGGCACGACAGCCAGAACCGGGTCCTTTGCCTAATGCTCCATGGCTTTTCTTGCCTGGTGCCGGGGAGCCATCCTTCTTTGTTTTCTTTCAGGGCACCAGCAATGGGGAGTGGTGACAGGCAAAGCCTGGTGCTGGGGTGCACTGCACACCAAGGTGTTAGGCGAGTTTGGTGGGACGGCTCAGACGTCAGACAAAGGGCAGCCTCCATGAGGAGAGCCCGCAAACAACTATCCTGCTCTTTCTGAATTCTGGGTTGAAAATTTTTACAAATACGACACTTGTCCTTCACATGTGATTCCCCCAAGCACTTGAGGCAGCTGCTGTGGGGGTCCTCTACAGGCACAGGCCTGTTACAATCTATGCAGGGCTTATACCCTGGAGACCGGGGCATGCCCCACCTACAGTCCTCGCTGGGACTCTAACTTCTAACTCCACTTAACAATTACTTAACACTAACTACTATAAACAACTATTTACAAGGTCTTAAGGCTCGAAGTCAGAAGAGACAAAACTGCTAGCCTTTGCTATGCAAGGAAAGGCGCTCCAACTAACCGCCATGGGCGGTAAGAAGGAACTGAGAGGGTTCCTTGGGCAGTGCCTGATATACCGACACACGAGCGCGGCACTCAACGGGGCGCCACAGCCGGCCCTATGGATACCGCTAAGGTAAAAATCTCCGACAACCACACACGAGGGCACGCACACACCTAGAATGGAATCGACATGAACAAGCACTTGAAGAACTTGTTTTTACCTTTGTCCTTTGAAAAACACAATCTAGGAAACTGAATACAAAAAACTATCTTATAACAAGTTGCAAAGTCAGGCATACTAGGAAATGCAAAATTAAGATTACCTGTGCCACTATTTGGCCCTCTTGTGCATATTCATAGATTTGAAGGCCAGAAAGGATCATTGTATGACCTGCTGTATAATAAAAAGCATAGGACTTCCCCAAACTAGAGCAATTTTTTTTTTTTTAAATCCGATCTTGATGCAAATTGCCAGTGAAAGAATCCACCACAACCTTTGGTACATTTTCTGGTGCTTAATTACCCTCTCTGTTAAGTGTGACACAGTCTTTAATTACATGATACTTTCTTCCACAAGACACTTGCCATTATACGTACTAGACACAAAAGGGGATGAAATTAAAGTTGTCTGGACAACCATAAATCTGGAGTGTCCTAACTTGCAAGTGCTTGACTTTGCAAACAAAACATTTTTTTAATGTCGGGCTTTTAACGTAATATACCTATATACCCTGACGCACTACTTTGTAACCAGTGACTACACTCTGCACTTACGCTTACCTGTTGAATGCTGTTTGCCAAGCCACGACCTTTGAAGTGGTCCTGCAAGAGCCAGTGCTACATTTTAAAGCCAGCCTGTCATTTAAAATATAAAAACTCATCCTAGTCACAGCAGCTCTAACTTCCCTGTGGGACACAGCTTGAATTACTGCATTAAGACAATCCTGCAGTCCACCGGTTGTGTGCGTTATCTTCAATGTAAGAATGTCCTCTGAGGATAGCTTTAATGTGTCTAAAAATCTGAAAAAGAAATAAAGGCACGGAATGACAGTTAATAACCTGCAACTTTTAAAATGATTTTAATAGCCACTGATTTCTTCACTTTTCTAGCTCTATTGAGAAAATTAACTGTGAACCTCTTTGATATTCTTTTTGATCAATCATGTCTTTAAGAAAAAAAATGAACTCTGAGCTGTCTTGTTTTTAAAGGTTGGTTTGTATTGGGAAGCTATTGGGCATAATTATGGTACTTATGTCTTCTCAGTACTAATGTTGGTAGTCACTTCTATGAGAATGCTATTTTATTTTTCGACAGAGTAGACCAAAAAGAGTATGCTAGATCAGTGTGCATTTGCCTATGGAAAATCAGCATAAATATGACTGTCCTGCCATAAGGATGATGTTGTTAGTGGCTCTGCGCCTTCAAATGTCCTAAAGTAGATGAAACTTCCAAAGGATAGCTCCCTCCCCATTCTAATGAAGTCCACAACTCATCATCAGTTCCTCTGCTTGTCCAGCCAATCTACTGAGTTGAAGTAGCTTTATAAAATACCCCAGTTTCACGCCCCACTGAGAATCACTGGCTTCTCCGCCCAATTAGCAGACAGATGTATCAAATTAATTCTATTTTTCGTAGTGATTTTCATGACACGGACATCTGAGAGATGAACTGAAACCAAAACCCTCTCACATACAGTATACTACTCACAGGACATTCAATAGCAATGACAAGGCAAAGACGGGTGGCATTATCAACATGCACGATGCCACTTCATTATGCCCCTCTAAAGAGTTTCAATATAAATGCACCTTTGGAAAAGTCTCAGTTTGGTCAGCTTTGTTCCTTCCTTTTCCCCCTCTCCTTTAATTAAAACATTTCTGCAATGTTCATAGGCATGGAGCTAGCAATATGGGCCCCAGATATCATAAATCCTATTTTAACTAATAGTAAGATGGATAATAAGACAGAAAAGCATCTTATCCTAGATAAGTTACTTCTTAAAAAATTGTTGAGATGAACAGAAACTTGAAGAACTATTTAAAATACACAACCACATCCTGTGATGTATGTGCAGATAACTCATAAGGAACTAGATATGTATACTGAAAATGTGCTCGTTAAGACAGGTCACCAGAAGGTGATAAACAGATTCTAGGCAGGAAGGGGGTAGTAAACAGTTCTCTCTCTGGGAGACCTTTGTGTATTGTATGCTTCTGGGCCAACTCAATCTCCATAAAACGAATGTACATACTTTGAGACAGGCTCCATTTGCTGTCTGCGTCAGGTGCAGGCCCAAGGATTTACAAAGACAAAGGAACCCCAAGATAAGCATCTTAACAGGGGACATCCTGGGGTAAGGGACCATATTCAGTAACTGCATAAAAGCAGCAGAGAGGAGATGAGATTTCATCCTTCACCAAGGAATTTAGATGTTAGTGAGTTTGCTTGGATGGAAAAATGGATCTCAGTCAGGCTTGATGAAAATGCTGAGAAGAAAACTTTGGGTAAGAAATTTCTTAATGCAGGAAGATAATTTATTAGTTAAACTTGGGTTCTAGAAAGCATGTTATGTTTTTATTTTATATGTAACCATTTGTTCCCAATGTTCTTATTTATTATCATTTGGAATCTCTGTTCTTTTATAATAAAAACGTATATATTTATACTGAAAACAAGAATATCTCAGTGCAGTGTGTTAAGTAGACTGGTGATCCTGAATTAAACTAGTAAGCTGGTGTGTACTAGTTCTTTGTGAGTAAAGCATCAGAGTCCTCAAAGTGTTCAACAGATCATGGGCTGGGCACTCCAGAAGGATGCTTGGAGGACTTGGGGGTTGGGGTTTGCCTATTGCTAACCTGTACAGGCAGAGCAAGGCCTGAGGAGATAGTGCTTGTTTTGCCAGAGGCTGGTGGAGTCAAGCAGCTGATCCACAGCAGGTACAGACAAGGCCGCCTCACGCTAAGGGCAAGTGGTAGCAAGATGCCTCACAGCCCTGGGTAACCCTGTGAAGCATCACAGATATGCAAGCAGATAATTCAATCCTACTAAATAAATCAAATGCCCTTTGAGCAGAGCCAACTTGTAGGAAATTTAAGCTCTGAAAAATACACCAAAATACAGCAAATTTAAGCACTTTTTAAAATTATGTTAAATGTAATTCACATAGATATGAAGGCCAATTTCTTGTAGGACCACAATAGTCCTTCATGTATATAAAATTAACAGTTTTAAGGAAATTCCATCCCAAACCAACAGTAGATGAAGAATTTAAGTCAAATGTTTACTTCAGCAGGATATAGCACTCTCTAAAACCAAGATGAGCTGCCTCATGTTCAGCAACACTTAGCTTTATGGCTTAACCCTGCTTTCATTGTAATCAAAGGGAGTTTGTTTTTTAATCTATATTAATGGGAGTAGGAGCAGGCTCTAGATTTATCACAGAGCTGCAACTCAGATACATTAGCAGTCCCTGACAGCATTTTTCACAAACAGCCGGTATGTGATCCTTTACCACTTAAAATTATAGCGATTTTGAACCATGAACAGTTTGGACTACAATGCAATATAAAGTTAAAAGGCATTTAACCTTGTAGGAAGGCTACTTTAATTATATTATGATTCAGTATAAAGATATCATGACTTACGCTTGTGCTTCTGTTTCATAGTTCACCAGCTGCAATAGGTTATCAATCCCATGGTACCATGACAGATTCCAAGCCATCTTAAGCATGTCTGACACAGGCTTTGACGCCAAGCAGTCAGAAGATAACAGCAAAACAACAGAGTTAGGACTAACTGCATGATGAGCAGTGACTCTGATTGGGAGGTGATACCTTTAGAAAAATTGTATTGAAATATTCAGTTATAATAAGACAGTCAATCTTTCAACCAAGGTTTTTTGAAAGTCTGCAGAGCGAGAAAAAAAGCCACATTTACTACTTAAGAACACAGAACACAAATATGTCCTTCCCTTCACAACAGCATCCTCCAGTCTGGAAGCTCCAAGTTCCCAGACTAAAGGATTGTGTGCGTGAAGAAAGATTACTCCACTATGAAGAAACCCATTTTTTCCCTTCCAACACACTGAATACAGAGCCTGAAAAGGATTTTCTTACTACCACCACCTACCTGTAAGAGAGAGATAAACAAGTGAAGAACTATACTTTTCTTTGTTTCCACCTCCTTTGGCTAGGAAACATAGTATGGTGTCTGGGCTGCCATATAGGAACACCATAGAATTAGGTAGGTAAAACAAATAGAAATCTAGCTTCTCATTTACTACTACTCCTGCCACAACAACATGGTCACAATATGAGAGAATGCAAGACTCAAAACTGGGCCTCTGAGTAGAAACAAAAGAATAACCGTATAATAAAGGGAAAACACTTCAATCACAATCCAACCCCCCAAAGAAAACAAATCACTCAAAGATGCTCAGAATGAAAACTTTTAAAGCATGCAAAGACTACACATGTATTGTGAGGTTTCATATTTACTTACTGATTTCCATGTAAATTTACTCAGTTTGGAAGTTTATTTTTTGTTTTGTTTTAAAACTGATAGCCCTAAAATTCACCCTGACCTCTGACAGCCAAGCTGGGGTTTCTTGATCTCACACAGTTGCATCAACAACAGATCTGTAGTTCAAACTAGTTCCTGAGTCACAACCCCATTATCTTTAGAGCTTACTGACACTTTCACAACCTTATTAGCCTGATCTGAAAAGTTTAAATGGCAAAAAAAAATTATAAACTTTAAGGTGAGCAAATCTGATATGGAAACCAGAGCAGGGCAAAAAGTATGGAATACCAAAAATGTCATTTTAGTCACTTTTTTGGATAGATTACTTTTTAAAAAGTGATGCAAAGGCCAACCTTAGCCCAAAATCTTTGTCAACCTCATGGGGAAAAAAGGGTGGGAGTGGGGTTTATTTAAAGGTGGTGTTCTTTTGTTGTTGTTTTAACTAAAACAAATATCCCTTGAAGTGTTAGCAATCCAAACACTAATAATGTTCTGGTGCATGAGAACTTGAAATTGGTTAGAAAGTGATTATTAATCAAAGTGAAACAGAGCAGTATATTTTTGTTAACCAGGCTGAGAAAACAACAAAATCCATGAATAGTTAAAAGCCCTGTGCTGATTTTAGGGAGACTTTCACATGTTCCTAGCTCCTTTTAGGATCTGGCCCTTATTGAAAAGTAGGTTAGAGCTTTAAAATTCTTTTAGTTTTAACAGTGTTACATATTATTACAGTAGAAACAAAGCTAAGGATATTGCCTAACAAATGATTTGCTCTGACTGCTAACTATTATGCAAAACCGTAATCACTTCACTGTCACCCTCACTAGTTTGCTTTTCTCCATCTATTGCCTCTTATCATATGCTTAGATTGTAAGCTCCTTGATGCACAGATGTCGTTTCTTTCACATGCATCCGTTAAATGTATAGTGCCTAGCACAATGGGCCACTAGTCCTTCTGCAACCAACAGTATTTTGCAGCTGACAGGTTTACAGGAAACGTAAAACACAGAGCTGAGCAGAAAGTTAACATGACTCGGCATTCCAGGTGTTTAGTGTCTGAGGACACTAATTCTGTCCATGCTTATCTTTGCACTTGTAAATAATCTCACTGACTATCCATGTAAGTTAAACTCTTGCATAAGAGTTTACAGGATCAGAGGACTTGTTAGTCTCTAAGGTGCCACAAGTTTTTGTGGATACAGACTACTTTTCTTTTTGTGGATACAGACTAACACGGCTGCTACTCTGATACAGGATCAGAGTTTTTGTTGCTGTCATCTGCAGCTCACAACGGCAAACAACATTCCTTCAGCTTGAGTAGAGCTGAAGTTTTAAAAAAATAAATCAGAAATTTCAGATCAATTCAGGGAAACAAATAGAATTTTCATGTCTACTAAGTAAAATCTCATTGATATAAAAGCTCCATATTAGTTTACGTATAAAATTAGCACTTGGGCAAAACACACGGTACCATTGCTCTTTATAACACAATTTTCAGAAGCCACACAGATGACTAGGAAACTTACTGCAAATTAACAAGTAAATGGAAAAAACAGAACAGTAAAGCTAATGCATCACAAAATATATTTTAATTTACTTTGAGAATTTTGTTTAGCTTTACTTTTAACACTTCATAATGCTATAGTGCATTTTGTAAAAACAATGAAATCTCATGAAACAATATGACACCTTACTTCAGCACTTACTTTTACATTTTTAATGGGTTGTGAGGAAAGATGCAGTTACCATCATTCTTTTGTGTCAATTTCAAAATGTACAGATTAGTGAGTTTCTACTGTATCTGTATTTTTTTATCCCAGGAATCTATTGGTCCCCAATGGTTGGCAGCACATAGACAAAAATAAAGTTAACTGTAAAGAGGCTTACCGTCTAACAATAGCTACAGGCAAGCTGAAGGCAGTTAGGTTAGAACAATTACTGGATACATCATCGGCCCTGCAAAAAGAAAGATTCATTAAACAGTAGTATTAGACTGAAATTCATCTTTAGCTGCTATTGCCTGACTTAAACCCTGCTTTTTCTACTAAGGCAACACCAATACTTCATAATTCTGATAACCTATCTTTTTATTTCCTTTCTGGCTCTTCACAGGATATTTCTCAACAAACAGTATATTCATATAATATTATTTTGTTAATATTGACTTGTTTGTAGACCATGCAAACAAATAAGGGTTTTTGCAATAATATTATAATTTAAGACATACATATTTTGGTATTTACCTGTAGAATATCTGTTGTATGTGTTTACTGTCTGATAACATTATAGTGGTATATTAAAGCGTTATGGTCAGTTCAAATTAATTCTGTATTTCCTCACATAAAAGTAACAACTCTTTCCAATAAGTTTCAAGTATATGAACTGCAAGAAGACAATACTAACTTTCTTTCCAATGACTTAACATTTGTTTTGAGTGATGAAGCACATACAAATGTTTTTTTGGAAAGACAAACGGATTTTTAAACGGAATCCCAGCTACCATCAATCAAGCAATATTATTTTTTCAAATTTTAAGAGAGCTTACTGCAGGGATCAGCAATCTTTGGCACGCAGCCCATCAGGGAAATCCGCTGTCGAGCCAGGACGGTTTGTTTACCTGCAGCGTGCGCAGCTTCGGCCGATCGCAGCTCCCACTGGCCATGATTCACCGTTCCAGGCCAATGGGGCTGTGGGAAGCAGCGGCCAGCATATCCCTCGGACCACGCTGCTTCCCGCAGCCCCCATTGGCCTGGAACGGTGAACCCCGGTCAGTGGGAGCTGCGATCGGCCGAACCTGCACACGCTGCAGGTAAACAAATCGTCCCGGCCAACCAGCGGAATTCCCTCACAGGCCGCATGCCAAAGATTGCTGAACCCTGGCTTACTGTTTAAATAATTGAGGAATGCATTTACAGAAAAGATATGCAAACAAACAATAAGAGCTTTTGCAATAATATTTTAATTTAAGACAAACACAGAATTATTATGAAATATTTATATTGCTGTACAATCCAGAAGCCTCAGCCAGGTTCTGGCCCTATTGTGCTAAGCACCGTACAAACATGACTAACAAAGTATATATCAAATGGTAAGAAATGAAATTATTTCTAATGCATTAATGAAATGTAATGATCAAAGATAATCTGTTGTGAGGTTAAAGGAAAATTTCGTATGCCTCTATCTTGCAAATGACTCTACAGGAGTTATTCAATGTAAGTGCAAGGATCCAACAACTGGATCAAGACCTTTGGATGCAGCCTTTAAAACCTAAGTCCACTGACATCAATAGAGAAACACCCCTTCATATCAATAGGCTTTAGATCAGGCTCTATATTAAATTGTAGGATAAATATTTTGTGCAAACTCAAAAACATAACAAGAAAATTATACATTTTCATACAAAGGGATAATGAAGAGAGGTATAATTAAATTACTATAGTTTTGCTTACCAGATTTCTTTTCTTGCTACTTCATCAAACAACAGAAGACAAAGCAATGCTGCACTTTCAGTCAGAACAGCACAGTCATCTCGGAATATCAAGGAAACTGAATAAAACAAGATAAATTTAAAACATTCTTCATTAAAACATTGGTAGTCAACAGTACATACAAGAGCATTGATATAACCCTTTTAACTCAACAGGAGTACTAACTTCAAGAGGAACAGAATACTTGCTCAAATCAGTAAGCCATTTTTTCTTAACATTTTATGCTATCTGAAGTAGCCACAGACTGATCCTGTGTCAGTGAAGAGTTTGGTATTTGTTTTTTGGGGGGAGGGAGGAGAGTTTGTAAATAGCTAGTCATATTTCAGACATTTTCTTTCCATTTAAAGTACTTCAAAGCTTTTTCAAGTCACCTCTCAATAACGTTAGCAGGATAGAAGGCTGCTGTGCTAATGACAGGCGTATAATTGGATCAGCATATACAAGTTTTCGTAGAACTGTAAGACATGGCAACACAATACATTCCATGATCTGCAGGGGAGAAAAAAAAGAGTATGTTAATGTAGATGCCTCCCTATATGCAGTTCTACATAGTCAAGTAAATGAGAAAATTCTTAATTTATGATTAGTAGACAACTGCCATGCTAGGAATTTCTACTATTTATCTCCTCAAAAGACCAAAAGCACCAAGACCTAGAAAACTGTTAACCAATAAGATTGAATCTGGAAATCAGTGCATCCTAACTGGCTATAATAAGTTCAGTGGGATATTTTTAATTACTTCCAGGTGTAAACAGATATTTTTCTGGACCTCTAACCTCACACCCCTCCTTGAATGTTCATTTCAAAAAACAAAATTAAAGTCTATATTAGAAAGATTTCCAAATAGCTCTAATTAAATAAAGTATAAATAATATTTTATACTTTATGGCATTTTTCATCTGCAGATCTCAAAGTGCAGCACAGCAGTGACTAAATTTTGTTATCCCCAAATTACAGATAGGAAAACCGAAAAACAGATAGGTAAGGTAACTTGCCCAAGATTAGAGTGTCAGTGGACTAACCAGAAACAGAACCAAGGCCTCATTCAGAATGTAAAGAGCAGAATACATTTGGACAATTTGTCCAGTGAACACCAAGAACTAAAGCCACTATCTCTTTCAGATATTAGTATTTCAGAGACTATTCCATTACTTTGCTTTCCTTAGTTTCTATACTTAAGATTTGTTTTGTGAAATCTGTTTGCACCACTATAACTAGAGGCTGCTTCTGAGGCTTTATTTAAAACTCTGCTCTCCCCAGCGCTCCATTGGCAGCCCTCCCCAAAAGGATACTTACAGTACAGTTTTTAAAAAATTATTGAAAAGTTTATATTTCTATGTATATTTTTTCAAACTGGTGCATTAAGTTATCTTGATATTGTATGCAGTCAATATCTAAGTACAAAAAAAACTGAATGCACATGGGAATTAAGCCATGGTCTCACCACCATAAGGGGGTCCCTTCAGATCAGGGTAGAGAGATCCTAGTGGAGAGTTTTCATAGATGAAGCTCATAACTGTTCTGTGGTTAGAGAACTTCACTCTCCAGGTCTGTCAGTCTAGTCACATTTCAAGAGCATTTTGAAAGTATTGGTGACTGACTTAATCTAGCAAAATGTTCAATATTCCAGTCATTAATTTTAGCCAAGTTTTTATTTATGATGGATATTCAGTCTTTTTATGATGTATAAGGTTTATTTTAGGAAAATGAAGATAGTGACTTCGCCTTTCTATATCAATTAATCCACCTTCCTTTCCCACCTGTCCACTTTGAGCATACCATAGATAAACAAACAAAACACACCAGCCAAAACAGAAGTAACACAGTTAGTGATATCTTACTGTGATTTCCAAATTTCCTGTACACACAAACAACCTTCTCCCCACTAAGATTAAGAGAAAAATTTTCAGAAGTGCTTAAGTGACTTAATATTGACTTAGACTTGACTTTTACCGTGACTTAGGTGCTTGGTTAATTTAAGCACTAATTTTTTACTCTAGATTCACAACCAGTGCTCTTCCTCAATCATGCCTATTAAGGGGTTTCTACTCTGATATTCTTTAACAAAAATTCTGCTTGTTTGCATCAGTACTATAGTGTTAACTATAGACAATTCTCTAAGTCAAAAGGATTTTCTTAGCTCAGTATTCTGTATGTTAAACAAAAACATAATATCATGCTAAAATAAAATTGGCAAAATAGAGCTGTGGGAATTAAACCTCTTCTGCAGCAATAGCCTTGAGTAGATCTCACATTCAAGCTATCAGAATCTGGCGATAGAACTCCTTAATGTGACTGAGGTAAGATACCTTTTCCAGTGTCAATATTTAAAAACATTTCTTCATAAACTTAAAATTAAAACTTCTGTAAAATTAACAAGTGTTTTGTGGTCTTCAGACTCCTAAGGGAATTCTACACCAAAAAATTAAAAATTCAGCAAAATTTGCCCATTCCCAGCTTCTCGCAAACAGAAGCTAGGGACATCATCCCTGCCCATCTGGTTAACAGCCACTGATGGACCTATTCTCCATGAACTTATCTAGTTCTTTTTTGAACCCTGATATAGTCTTGGCCTTCACAACATCCTCTGGCAAGGCATTCCACAGGTTGACTATGCATTGTGTGAAAAACATACTTACTTTTGTTTGTTTTAAACCTGATGCCTATTAATTTCATTTCAACCTAGTTCTTGTGTTATTTGAAGGAGTAAATAGCACTTTCTTATTTACTTTCTCCACATCAGTCATGATTTTATAGACCTCTATTATAGACTTTCTCCACATCAGTCATGATTTTATAGACCTCTATAGTTGTCTCTTTTCCAAGCTGAAAAGTCCCAGTCTTATTAATCGCTTCTCATATGGAAGCAGTTCCATACCCGTAATCATTTTTGTTGCCCTTTTCTGAATCTTTTCCAATTCCAATATCTTTTTTAAAATGGGGCAACCACATCTGCACACAGTATTCAAGATGTGGGCGTACCATGGATTTATAACCTGAAGTATCGAAGTGTATGAGAGCCAGCAGCCAAAGTTTTCCAAGCAAATAGCCTGTGAACAGCCTATTGCCCAAGACGTTTTTACATAAAGCATTCAAACACTTTGAAATAATGAACGATCATGAAATTTTAAGTGTTTTCTAATCAATCACAAACACAAAAAGGCTTGGGCATGTCTGACTGTTTGCTACAAACTCGTTGTTCAATTCTATGGGTGACCTTGTCTGCTGAGATTTCCCTGGTGAATGCTCTGTAGGACAGCAGTTTTCAAGCATTCAGGAGGCTGTTTTATTTCTATCTGTATGTTCCTCAATAAACTTTGGATGTTTTACAATGCATGTCTGCTTCTTATAGATTACACGCTGTTGAGGACTGGACTTTAGGAGTCCAGGATGCAACCTTTAAAGACAATGTTTGTCTTTATGAACCCTTTAAAATCACTTTTTAGTCTTCAACAAGGGAGAGATTAGAGATTTCAATATTTTCGTTAATGACTTGGATAGTGGACTGGAAGCAGGATTATAAAAATCTGCACAGGAGACCAAGCTGGGAAGGGTTGCAAGCACTTTGGAGGATATGATTAGAATTCAAAACAACCTAACCAAATTAGAGAATTGGTCTGAAATCAACAAAATGAAATTCAATAAAGATTAGTGCAAATACTACACTTCAGAAGGAAAAATAAAATAAACTACAAATGGCGGTAATGACTAGCTAGGTTGTATACTGCTGAAAAGATCTGGGGGCTGATAGTGAATCACAAATTGAATGAGAGTCAGCAATGAGATGCAGTTGTGAAAAAGGCCAACTTTCTAGGGTGCATTAACAAAAGCGTTGTTTGTAAGACACGGGAGGTAAATGTCCCACTCTACTCGGCACTGGTGAGTCCCCAGATGGAGTACTGTGTCCAATTCTGGGTGCCACACTTCAGAAAAGATGTGGATAAATTGGAAAGAGTCCAAAGGAGAACAAAAAATATAACAAGTACAGTAACGTTGTCCCAGTTAATGTTATTTTGTTATTAGGCCGCTGACCTATTAGAGAACATACTCCTTTAAAGTCCTGCAATGTTCCCTTATAACGCTGTTTGGCTCCCCGGCCCACTGCTCTAATCGGGAAGCAGGCAAGCCCCTACTCCACGGGCAGTAGCGCTGGGCAGGCGGAGCGGAGCAAGCCCCCACCCCTCTCCCCGGCACGAGGTCCAGGCAGGCGGAGCGGAGCAAGCCCCGTGCCTCCACCCCGCTCCCCGGCAGGAGCGCCAGGCGGGTGGAACAGGGCAAGCCCCAGCGCCCCAACCCCACTACACCCCTGCCTCAACCAAGCTTCACAATCATCATTGCCGAGTACAGTATTAAATTGTTTGTTTAAAATTATTTAAAACTTATACTGTATATGTATATAATGTCTTTTGTTTGGCGAAATTTTTTTTCCTGGACCCTACCCCCCCTCACCCATTTATATTAATTCTTATGGGGAATTGGATTTGCTTAACAGCGTTTCGCTGAAAGTTGCATTTTTCAAGAACATCACTAGGACGTTAAGTGAGGAGTTACTGTATTAGAAAACCTGACCTTTGAGAAAAGGTAAAAAAAACTCTGCATGTTTCGTCTTGAGAAAAGATGACTGAGGGGGAACCTGATAGCCCTTAACATATCTTAAAACTGTTATTATAAAGAGATCAACTGTTCTTCACGTCCTCTGAATGTAGGACAAGAAGCAATGGGTTAATGTGTAGCAAGGGAGATTTAGTTTAGGTATTAGGAAAAACTAACTAGAAGGGTAACTAAATTGAAGAACAGGATTCCAAGGTACCCACTGCTGGAGGTTTTTAAGAACAGATTGGGCAAAATCTGTCAGGAATGGTCTAGGCTTACTTGGTCCTGCCTCACCAGAAAGGGCTGGACTTGATGACCTCTTGAAGTCCCTTCCAGACCATTTCTATGATTCTGCGTTAATGGGGATAGCAGATTCTTCCATCGCAATTTTGATAACTATATTAACTACACATATGGATTAAGTTAATAGAGAACCTACCATAAGCAAAAGCCAAGTGAAGAAAGCAAACATACAGCAAGATTACATACTTGTGTTCTTAGATGGTCGTGTTATTAGTGTAATTAATGTACTTAAAGACTGTGCTTAAAAAAAAAAAGAGGTAGATATCAAGTTCTACTGCTTTTACCACAACATTTACAAAAATAAACAACTCATGGTAATATTTTTACCTTGCCATCCCGGTGTACACATTCAGTAAAGTAAACAAATAACTTATCTATCAAACCCAGTTTTTTCACAACATCATGCATTTTGGCATCTGTAAGAGAAAAAAGCATTAGCAAAAGCCATTAGTTCCACACCAATTTTATATTTAACTTCCTGGGTGGGAGCACACTATTTTAATGCTGGTGAGATGTACTAATGTTACATCACTGAATGCTAAAGCCCTCTAGCCACGGAATAGGTACAGCACAGGCAATAGCAGTGCAAGCCTCCTCAAAGCCTTTTCAACATGTCTTACACCTATTCTCAAGGGGTGACAAGGAAGTTCGGTTTACACACCCAATCAACACTTGACCTCAGGCATGAGGCTGCCAATGACTATGCCAGTCATGATGGTAGTTGTGGAGATATAGATACCTGCCTACTAAGTGTAAGAGACCATGAACTCATTTTCCCTCAGCACCTAGGAGACATCAGAGAATGATTTTTACCATTATTCCTCAAGTGAAAGGATCTGTATCTCATTGCCAATCTCTTTCATACACCAACCCCTTGGATTATTTTATTAAATACTCTGAATATTGGTTTATTGACAAGGATAAACTCTTTGGTGGAGAGACATTTTGTTATCTGTTTGTACTGTGCCTAATGCCATGAGGCCCAGGTCCATAACAGGAGTTCCTAGAGCTGCCACAATTAAAATAAAAAAATAAATGGAAAGCTAGGTGAAACTCCCACTGACGTTGATGGAACCATGATTTCACCTGGGATATTTACAATGTTTATCATTGCTTAACACACCAGTAAGTTTTTAAACATACTCAAATGAAATTATTTTTCAGTACAATTACCACCACCTACAGCACCTGGCTCAAAAATAAAAACTGTAATCAAACACTCAGGAAGGTATTTCAGAGGCTGTTTTTTTTTTGTTTGTTTTTAAAATGAGAGAGATTCTTCTCTTGGGAATTTAAGATTATTGGGCTGAGTAAAATAGCTTCAGTTTCACCCTGAGTCATGCTTGGTATTTCCTATCTAAAGGTTGAAAACTACAACAGCCAACATGGAATGTATTTCACTAGATGTAAAAGAACTGTACGCATGTATATGACCTACCAAGAAAATGCAAATTTGATATTTGAAATGTCAGTATCTTTTCATTGTAGAAAACTGAGTTAACTCCTACTACTAGGGTTTCTTGCTAGGAGAAAGAAACAGTACTTATCTGCAACTGGAATTTGAATAGATTATGTACAGATCCACTCTTGGAATGCACCTGTGCACTCTACATAAAGCCTGAAGCTCTCTGAGTTCAGACTACTGAGTGCACCTGGACCATGTATTGACCCAGAGAATGTTCCCTTCAACGTTTGCATGCCTTCACTTAAATTTGTTCTTTAACAAAATTTGTATATTTTCTCCCTGTGCTCCCACAGATTTTTTTTATTTGTGATACCATCTCCCCAAATCTACTACATTAAAAACAACAGGGAGTCTATAACTTCATTATAATAGACAGTGTAATCACAGAAGCTAATCTTGATTCTGTGAAAGCCTCTGCCAACTCACAAGTGACATTTCAGCCCCTTTTAATTGCAGGCAGCTTCTTAAGATTAAGCAGAGTGAGGAACATTATCTAGCTGAACTCTAGCCACCATTGACGTCCTGGCCAGCAAAGAACATAAATTCAGAAAGACAGAAGGAACTCCTCATTCAGACTGAACCCCCTTTGGTACACATGCTTCCTATACTAGATCAGGCTAATGTAAACTGCTCCTTGTTAGCTGCAATTGAAGCTCTACTGTGCCCAGGCACATCAGTTGAGACCGGTGGTGTGAATGACCCAGTCAGGCTTTTTCACAAAACACTTCTCTTAAATAAAAGCAATAGCTACTTGCCTTCCCTCAACCTCCTCAACATTCTACTAGATTCTTTAAGGGGAGATCTAACTGAACTGAGAGGAAAAGGCAAGTTATAAAAACTTTTGGAAAGCTTATTCCTTATGCTGTCGACTCTGAGTCAGGCACAGCAATGTAGAGTGACAGGTTTCAGAGTAGCAGCTGTGTCAGTCGGTATCCGAAAAAAGAACAGGGGTACTCGTGGCACCTTAGAGACTAACAAATTTATTAGAGCATAAGCTTTCATGGGCTACAGCCCACTTCATCGGATGCATAGAATGGAACATATAGTAAGAAGATATATATATATACAGAGAACATGAAAAGGTTGAAGTAGCCATACCAACTGTCAGAGGCTAATTAAGACGAGCTATTATCTGAAGGAAAAAAAAACTTTTGTAGTGATAATCAAGATGGTCCATTTAGACAGTTGACAAGAAGGTCTGAGGATACTTAACAAAGGGAAATAGATTAAATACGTGTCATGACCGAGCCACTCCCAGTCTCAATTCAAACCCAAGTTAATGGTATCTAGTTTGCATATTCATTCAAGCTCAGCAGTTTCTCATTGGAGTCTGTTTTTGAAGCTTTTCTGTAGCAAAATTGCCACTTTTAAGTCTGTTACTGAGTGGCCAGAGAGGCTGAAGTGTTCTCCTATGGATTTTTGAATGTTATGATTCCTAATGTCAGATTTGTGTCCATTTATTCTTTAGTCTGGTTTGGCCAATGTACATGGCAGAGGGGCATTGCTGGCACATGATGGCATATATCACATTAGTAGATGTGCAGGTGGCTAATGTGATTAGGTCCTATGATGGTGTCACTTGAATAAACATGTGGACAGAGTTGGCATTGGCCTTTGCTGTAAGGATAGGTTCCTGGGTTAGTGTTTTTGTTGTGTGGTTGCTTCAGGTTGGGGGGCTGTCTGTAAGTGAGGACTGGTCTGTCTCACAAGATCTGAGAGAGTAAGGGATCATTTTTCAGGATAGGTTGTAGATCTTTGATGATGCGCTGGAGAGGTTTTAGTTGGGGGCTGAAAGTGACAGCTAGTGGCGTTCTGTTATTTTCTTTGTTGGGCCTGTCCTGTAGTAGGTGACTTCTGGGTACTCTTCTGTTTTTTCACTTCAGCAGGTGGGTATTGTAGTTTTAAGAATGCTTGACAGAGAGCTTGTAGGCGTTTGTGTCTGTCTGAGGGAATTGACGCAAATGCAGTTGTATCTAAGAGCTTGGCTATATACAATGGATCGTGTGGTGTGTCCTGGATGGAAGCTGGAGGCATGTAGGTAAGTAAAACAGTCAATAGGTTTCTGGTATAGGGTGGTGTTTGCGTGACCATCACTTATTAGCACAGTAGTGTCCAGGAAATGGACAGCTTGTGTGGATTGGTCTAGGCTGAGGTTGATGGTGGGATGGAAATTGTTGAAATCATAGTGGAATTCCTCTTCCATGGGTCCAGATGATGAAGATGTCATCAATGTAGCGCAAGTAGAGTAGGGGCATTAGGGGACGAGAGCTGAGGAAACGCTGTTCTAAGTCAGCCATAAAAATGTTGGCATACTGTGGGGCCATGCGAGTACTCATAGCAGTGCCACTGACTTGAAGGTATACATTGTCCCCAAATGTGAAACAGTTGTGAGTGAGGACAAAGTCTCACAGGTCAGCCACCAGGTTTGCCGTGACTTTATCTGGGATACTGTTCCTAATAGCTTGTAGTCCATCTTTGTGTGGAATGTTGGTGTAGAGAGCTTCTATATCCCTAGTGGCCAGGATGGTGTTTTCTGGAAGATCACAGATGTGAAAACACTTTAACCTCTCTGGCCACTCAGTAAAAGACTTAAGGGTGGCAATTTTGCAACAGAAAAGCTTTAAAAACAGACTCCAACGAGAAACTGCTGAGCTTGAATGAATATGCAAACTAGATACCATTAACTTGGGTTTGAATTGAGACTGGGAGTGGCTGGGTCATTACACATATTGAATCTATTTCCCCATGTTAAGTATCCTCACACCGTCTTGTCAACTGTCTAAATGGGCCATCTTGATTATCATTACAAAGGGTTTTTTTTCCCCTTCTCCTGCTGATAATAGCTCATCTTAATTAATTAGCCTCTTACAGTTGGTATGGCTACTTCCACCTTTTCATGTTCTCATATATTTTCTTACTATATGTTCCATTCTATGCATCCGATGAAGTGGGCTGTAGCCCACGAAAGCTTATGCTCAAATAAATTTGTTAATGTAGAGTGAGTTAGCCAAGCCTCAAGACCATTTCAGTAAGAGAAGACTCTACTGTTCCAGTGAGTGCTTGTGTTTTCAAGTGTAACTTAATAAAATCAAGTTAAAGACTGACCTCGCCCACTTGAAGAAAATACTGCAGTCTACAAAATAGAGTTCATAATCTAAAAAGTGACAATCTCAGCCAAGAATTGGATAACACTAAAAAAAACCCTACTCTTTGCTAAAGAGAATGGTCTCTTCCACGCAAGCAGAAATAACTAGCATGGACATGCAGGAATTTTGCAGTGTCATTATCTCTAATAAACAAGAATAAATTAGGTGATAAAGTTCAAGGAAAAAAAGGAAGGAAAACACATGTTGACTGGGTCAATCTAAAAAGCCCTATTTTAAATCCCAACCATTAGGTTTACCGTAACTTTGCAGAATTATACTTGCCCTCTGACCCAGGTAGAGCCATTCTTTTTTCCCCCGATGGGAGAATAAAATCTACATCCCTCATTCTCAAGTATAACAAGAGCAGGCAAGTAAATCTTGAACTTGGGCTGTGAAATTTTCATGACAGTTTTGCAATATTGGTCTGATAATATAAGGGGAAGTTACATAGTTAAATTTTGAAAATAGCATTTCAAGCAGAAAACCAGCTCACCAGCACATGAATCAATATTTCCAGAACACTTTACCTTGCATAATTATAGCTAGCTGCTCTGCTGCAGACTTTCTCAAAACTAGGTCAATGGTGTCAGAAGTAAGAATACCATACAGTTTTTCCACTGCCTCATCCTATTAAAACAAAACTGTATTTAGAAATACATTACAATATATGTCTCTTAGTTAAACAGGAAAACTAGCCCTCTGATTCCCTCAAAGTGTAGGACATATAACAAACGATCTAAATAAAATGTGACTAGGATCCATTCTAAAAATCCTTACAAGCAGCATATATATATTCACTCAGAACTGATCATGGTCTGATTTACTGAGCTTCTAAAGCATTTCTTGGGGAACAAAAAATTAACAATTTCCAGAATGTAGCAATTGGAAACAACAACAACAACGTATCATGCCCATTGTTTTTTAAAGTATGCAAAAACAGACATTTCAAAAAAGTATTTATATTCTGTCATAAATATAAATGGAAGGCTAACCACCTTTCTGTATACAGTGCTCTAAAATCCCTCCTGGCCAGAGGTAAAGTCCTTTTACCTGTAAAGGTTTAAGAAGCTCAGGTAATCTGGCTGGCACCTGACCCAAAATGACCAATGAGGGGACAAGATACTTTCAAATCTGGAGGGGGGGCGGGAAAGCCTTTTTTCTGTCTGTGTGATACCTTTGCCGAGAACAGATCAAGGATGTAAGCCCCCCAACTCCTGTAAAGTTAGTAAGTAATCTAGCTAGAAAATGCATTCGGTTTTCTTTGTTTTGGCTTGTGAAATTTGCTGTGCTGGAGGAAATGTGTATTCCTGTTTTTGTGTCTTTTTGTAACTTAAGTTTTTGCCAAGAGGGATTCTCTATGTTTTGAATCTGACTGCCTGTAAGATTATCTTCCATTCTGATCTTTACAGAGTTGTTCTCTTATCTTTTTTTCATTCTTCTAATATAGTTCTGATTTTTAAGACTCTGATTGGGTTTTTTGGGTCTTAAAAATCCAAGGCTGGTTTGTGCTCATCTTGTTTATTCTCAAACCTCCCCAGGAAAGGGTGTGTAAGGGCTTGGGGGGATATTTTGGGGAAATAGGAACTCCAAGTGGTCCTTTCCCTGTTATTTGTCTAAATCACTTGGTGGTGGCAGCATACTGTTCAAGGACAAGGTGAAATTTGTGCCTTGGGAAAGTTTTTAACCTAAGCTGGTAAAAATAAGCTTAGAGGGTCTTTCATGCGGGTCCCCACATCTGTACCCTAGAGTTCAGAAGGGGGAGGGAACCCTGACATACTCATACTCATTCTTCTTGTGTAATTAACAAGTGCAGTAACGTACATTATTATTACATGCATATATTCATGATTATGTGACGTAGTTACCTACAATAGCAGGGAATTAGAGTCAATAGTCCTAGATCCTATGTTCACTACATTGACATGTTCACTACTTGACATTTCAATGCAGTATAGTTTTAGCTAAATGAAAAAGACTCTCTCTAAAATGGCTTGTGTTTAGGTCAGCTATTAAGTTCAACATATACAGAGAGATTTTAGATCTTACATTTTTAAAAAAAAATCAATGGTAAACTGAGTGGCTACATTATTTTTACACTGGAGGAAGAATGTCATCTTTCACAACTCATTTAACATTTTGATTTATTTTATTGGTTGCTATTTGCTTCCATCAGTTTCCTGCAGACCATGAACTTCTAATCTAGAGCCCAACAGCCACAAGTAGGTCCTGGATTTTATCTTATATTATAGATGTAGGATTTGCTTGTATGGTAAGGAACTGTTTTGCACCTGTCTTATCCTGGATTACAAGCATCTGTTATTTGGGTTTGAGGTTGCACAACATAAGCAGCTGGGATATTAAATGGTTTTCAGCAAGTTTCAACATACAGTAATATGACCAAAAAGGTATATATTTACCTGTTGGTCTCCCAGAAAGCATGAGATGTTCACCTATCTATATCTTCTGCAGCAGATATTGCACCTACCTAAGGGCCTGCTGTTTTTCCCCTTCCCTTAACCTGTTTACTTGTCTGTCTATCCTTACATTATCAGCTCTATGGAGCAGAAACTCCTTGAGTGTCTCAAAAGAAGCCAGCACATAGTGGACGCTACTGTATATGATAATCATGCATTCTACGCCAAAGTTACTTTCCATGGGAATTCCTTCCATGATTGTGAGAATAACTGTGAGAACGTGGATCTATGGAATTTTGTTCAACTTGAAGCAAAAACACAGCTAAAGACAAGATGACAGTACGAAGAGAACTCTGACATTTGCTTTGATGTCAGCCTGTATTATTAAAAAATTATAGTAGGAACTACCTAACACTATTACCAAAGGTTACGTGGTTGTTTATGTATTAATCCCATTTCAATTGTTCATATCTTCATCATAAAATTTTAATTTTTTGGGCTGAGATTATCTAGACAGACTACCCAATGAGAATATTTTTTGGAAACTGAGCAACTGAGCAGCTGTTTGAGTGAAAGGAGAGATTTTTTAAAAGGTACACTTTTCCCATGATTAGAAAAGTCTTGTAATCTTTTGTTTCCCAGCAGCACAAGTGGCCAGAGGCAGACACTTGACATTTGGTCTGGAAATATTTCACAATGAAAAGTGCCTTTGAGTATTCTAGTAAAAGATAGTTTTGATTTAACAGAACCATGACCGTTTGAAAAAATGTTCTACTCATGCACAATAGAATTTTAACAAGTGTGATAAGCTATTATAGTGTGCAGCTAAGTACATCCACTTTGCATTTGTGGAGCTAACGCTAACTTATCTGCACAGGGTAAAATCTAGTGAAGCTGAGTAGTAAGTGAACCCATGTCTCATTCAATGTTACACCTTGTGATGGGGTGGACTAGGTCCAGAGGCCCCCTGCTGGAGGCCTCATGGCCCTGCCTCACCGTGCCCCAGAAAGCAGAGGAGAAGTACTCCAGGCAGCCTAGAGTGGCTGCAGAGGAAGCAGCCAATCAGAGGGGCTGCTGGACGGCCAACCAGAGGTCACGAGGGCCATACGAAAAGCAGCAGAGACAGAGCAGTCAGTTGCTTCCTGGAGCTGAAAGACAGAGGGCTGGGTTCCTGGCTGGCTGGAAGAGCAACAGGACCACAGACAGCTCAGTGTGGGCAGGGCTGAGACCAGGAAGGACTGCCGAAGATCAGAGAAGCTAAGAAGGAGCTCCTGGGTGGCTGCAGGGACCAAGCAAGGACTGAGCCCAGAAACTAGCCAGACCAAGCAAGGGTACCACGATGGGCCCTATTGGTCTGGTTAAAGATTGAGCCTAGGGAGGGCTGCCGAAAAGGACACCCCAATGGAGAGTACTGCGATGGGCCCTGTTAGACTGTTATAGAGGGCAGTGTCTCTGGGGGGAAGCCTTGGTGGAAGACAGTGTGTGAGACTCAGCCAGAGGGCTGAGTCATTGAAGACACATCAAAAAAACCACTGGCGGCGGAAGGGGGGGGCACTCGCAAAAGGTGGATGCCAACAACTAAGAAATGGAAGGCTCACACCAGACCACAAGGGGGCACTTGTGAGAGGCGACCCCATTACATCTTATAACATAAAAGCTACTCTTAAAGTTTGTAGGGTAGAGGTTCTCTGGCAGTCTTATTTTTAAGGTGCAAGACAATTCAAGGGAAAAGATTACTGCAACCTGCAGAAGGTGAAATAACTGACATGCAGCAGCCTTCTCACATGACGTTAATCAGCAGTTCAAAAAGGACAGAACGACAAAATACGCTAAAAAGATATTTTGGTCACCTTAAAAATTGACTCTTTTGTATCATCCAACTTCAGCTCAATAGGTCTTTCCACAATAAACAAGTTAGGAACACTGGAGAGAACACAACCATGCAAAAGAGGGCGCTTCAGGCTGGCCCCTTCTTCATTCATGAGATGGAATGTTAGATGTTTCAGTGCCACAGAACGGACTCTAAGGAAACAAAGTACTAAGGATAATGGTTCTTTTCAGTGGGGCATTTTAGCTCTTCAGATATATATACAGAGTTAGAAAATGTCAGAAAACACACTGATAATGTTTAAGATTCATAGATATTAAGGTCAGAAGGGACCATTATGATCATCAAGTCTGACCTCCTGCACAATGCAGGCCACAGAATCTCACCCACCCACTCCTGCAATAAACCTCTCACCTATGTCTGAGCTATTGAATTAATCATTTACCCACAACATTTCAAATCAGCCCTCACTGTAAATCAATGGAATAAGTTTTAACAGTTTAGGTTAGACTTGCTAATATCATACATCAATCACATGCTGAAATTATTACAGGACATTACTACTCACAACTGCTTTTTTGAGAAGAGAAGTCGTAGAGCAGCCCTTAATCTAGTAGTTCTAGGGAGAATCCCTTCTCCTTTGTCAGAAGATGTTTTGCTTAGACTCAGGATGTGGGTACCCAGTGTCTCTTCTGTGTCTGCATAACCCTAAAAACATTTAAAAACCTATTCACCAGTTTGCTTAATTAAGAAACAAGCATGTCTACTTTTGACAAAAAACAAAACCATATGAATGGAAACTGTATGTTTTCTAGGTAAGATTATATTGAATTGTACTAAGTACTTCAAATGAAACAGTCTTGGAAGTGCACATAAAGCAAGCCCTTCCCTCTAAGCGCATGCTTCTTCCCTCTAAGCACATCTGGGGAAGGAATTGCCTCACACACTTTCTAATTCAAGTCTAGACAATGATTACCTTTCCAGAACACCCCAAAGTTAAATTCTCACGACCCAGTGACTTAAAAAATAGGACGCCACCTACCTTAAAACAATAGAAGGTGGGGGACTATTTAAGCAACTATCACTTTTTTTAATAAAGTTAAATCATTTTAATTCTGCAAAATAAAATGCTTCCACAAAAACCAGGTGTGACTGTAAGAGTTCATCAATGCCCACTAGCAGAAGGCCAACCATATTGTAACTCACATCAGGCCTGACATATTCACTATCCCCTCCACAAACACTGTTGTCATAGTGTGTATCTAAAAGGTATGCCATAAAGTATCATACATAAACTGGTGACAAGCTGGTCCCAAATATCATCGCTTGATGTATGTACAGTTTGTGTACAAAGATGTGTATGTTTGTGTGGGAAATATGTTCTTAAAATGTGTTTTGGAGGCAGTGCATAAATCCAGTCTGCCTTAGACAAAGGTATGTGGATTCAGCTGTCTGACTGGCTTGATTACAGGCAGAGGGCAAGGAAAGAATATTTACACATAAGGTAAACAAAGCAATCAAGCTAACAAGCGGCACCTTAGCAAGCACCCCAGAAATCCTTCCTGACTCTTGAGGCTGAGACAATGGACTTTGGGTACTATAAGAGCAAAGAGACATTTTAGTTATCCATCACTTAGGGGTCACAGCACCCTTTGAGCCTGTGAACGTTGGATCCTCAAGTCTGGAGGGCTACAGCCATGGTTTTTAACCTATTTTTTTATTTGCAGACCCCTAAAAAATTTCAAATGGAGGTATGGACCCCTTTGGAAATCTTAGACATAGTCTGCGGACTTATTCTTGTTTAATTATAAACCATCTCAGTGCAGTGTACTAAAGTGAAGTGAGAGTCTTCAGCTAGTCTAATAGGCTGGTGTGTGCATTGCCTCTTTGGAGGCAGCAAACGTAGTATTTATGAGAGTGTCCAATGAGAGGGAATGGACACTGCAGAAGACATCTCTGGGGCAAATCAGCAATCGGGGTTCACTGTACATTACCGCTTAAGAGCATGTCCACACTGCAGCACGGATACAACCTATAGCTTGTGTAGACATACCCACACCAGTTGTACTCTAGCTAGTTTGCTAAAAACAGCAGTGAGGCTGTGGGAGCACAGGCTGCACCAGCAAGTACATACATAGGGAGGTGCGGGGATGAGGAAGGGGACGCTTGGACACACCTTGCTAAAGCCCGTGCTACTGCATCAGCACTGATGGTTTTAGCAAGTTAGCTAAAGCACAGCTAGCGTGGGTACATCTACACAAGTGGCAAATCATACCCACAGTTCCAGTGTAGACAAATCCTGACTTAAAAAGCAAAGCATGGAGACTGCCTGAAGGTCTCAGGACAGTAAGGGTCATTAATTATGTTTAATCAAGAAAACAGAAGTTTCAAAAAGGCATGCCACCCTAATGGAGGACGACAGCCAATTTGTACCAAAAGATATGAAGCATATTTAGGTCTGTATTGCACTAAGTTACATGAAATTTGAATAATCAGGAACCTCCCACAGATGTCCAAACTCAGTGACGCAAAAAACAATGAGGGAAAATAAAGCAAAAATGGCCAGATCTTTATTACTTTTACAATCTATTTTGTAGTAGCGCCGGCAGGCACCAAACTATATTGGAGTCCATTATACTAGATGCTACATAAACAGTAAAATACAGTTCCTCCCTCAAAAAGTTTGCAATCTAATTTGAGCAGTATGCCATAAGAGAATGTGTGTTCATCTACACTGGAATTTTCAGTCATGTTCTAACAAGTGTTAATGACTACATATTAACTAATACAATTGTAATTTCTACCATAGGCACTTCACAAACATTTGTTGCAGGACACGAATATTTGTTCCCAGTTGTGTTCAATTTCACATATAGTTGTGCTAGTTAATACATTTTGAATTTTGTAGTTAATTGATAGTCTAAATAAATCCTATGACAAGCAAAAGGAGGAGGGAGCATAAGAGAAACATAAGATCATGTGGTTAGCTACTGCACAACTTTTTGTTCTCTAATCTATACATCAAATCACTGACAAGAAAGACAGACACTTTGGTATTTTTCCATTCTGAAAGATGAGAATGTTGTTTAACTGCAATAAAACACCGTAGTATTTTCTTTTACATTAAGATCTCTCAGGCAAAACAAAGCAGACAAATAATAGAATAAAAACAAAAAGACTAAAGCTCCAAAAACTGTGGTATACGAGACCCTGATCTTAAGAAGATTTCCTAAGGGAAAGCTTCTGGGATTTTTTCCATTTACCGTTTGGTGTTTTTCGTTTTGTTTTAGTGTTCCTCTGGTCTGGAAGGTTTAAAAGGCAGATAGAACTCTTGTAAAAAATACTTTGAGATATATGTTAGAAATACATTAAAGTTTCAGTTTTCCTGAACCTGGAGGCAAGAATTTGGGCTGATGGAGAGAGCTGGGTTGTGAATTGACACAGGGAAGAATGATTCGTCATTTTATCTTATCTCTACAGTCTGAACCAGATTCTTCAATTGCAATGAACTTCCCATATCTGCTTAGGAAACATACAAAACTGTCCCCTATTTAAAACCCTTACATTTTGGCCTGCTCAGGTGACTATTACTTGCTCATCTATTCCACCCTCTACCTTGCTGAATTTTCTTCTCCTTGTGTAACATGACAATGTTGCAGTGTAAGTGTTTTTATGGTAAAGTAATTAACCTCAGCTCAAGACAAACTGTGCTTTAAAAAAAGCTGCAGGTACCTGTAAAATTGGAATGATGGGATAGAGGGCTTCAATAAACTTGTTCCAGGTCAGTGTTGTCATCATCAATCGCCCCTGCAGGAGATACATGAGAATGGCCTTGGCAGCAGAGTTCACCTGCTCAACAACAAAGAATAAAATAATGTAATAAAGAAAAAAGAATTTGTTGATCCCACAGTATGAAATTAAGCTGTGCTTTCTAAAGTAGGTTTTGAAGGAGAAAACACTTGAAATGTAATCAATATGCATTAGAATCTATTACTTGCTAGTTTAGTATTGTCTTCCACACTTGAGCTTAGATTGCAAAAGACCCTTACAGGAGACAACAAAAAGAGGGAACAAGCAAGGAGTTTCTTCTCCTTTATACAGTTCATGCAAGGACTTGAAACCCTTAGTCTCAGAGCTCAGAGGGTATATTCCCTCCATTCATCCCAAAAGGGCAAGAGACGGAAGGAGGTGAGGCCATTGTTCATTCCACAGAGCAGGTTGGTTGCACCAAAGGTAACAGGCTCAACCACTCTAAATGATGGTTCAAAACTGAGGCAACTTTGGCATGTAGCCATGAGGGGAGGGACTGCTCTTCCTGAACAATTCCTCTGCAACCAGTACATGTGGCAATGCAAACTCTGCACCACCTCCTATTTACACTAGTGGTTAAAGCCACAATTAGACTCTTAAAGTTTTAATGCACTTACAGCTTAGCTATCAAGTGGCTGTTATGGCACTGGACATTCTACTTAAAAAGAAAAAAAAGTTCTGTGAAGAATATGAAAAGATACATGTTACATTCTGACATTTTTTTAGGTTTGTCAAATCCCATTATTCCCTTTTGTCCATAACTTCCCCCCCCAATCTTTGATTCATATTCTTTTCAAATTCTAATGACTCTTTCCAAGCACTGAAAGTAGTATTCATTAAGAGAAATTAGTCACTATGAACTCAGACACCTATTGGCCTCTTTCTTACTTTCTTTCAGTCTCTGGCTTTATACAACAAGTTCTCTTTCCCTTCTTATGTGACTGTACTTCTCTGGAACATTTAATTCTCAATCTCCATGACATACTGTTTTTTCCCCAGAGTGATTTAAAGATAGTTGCATGACCATGTGTCTTTCTTCAAGAAAACAGTCAAAAGTATTATGCCAGCAAAACACTTAATTGACATTTAAATCTTCTCTCTCTCTGTCTCGTGTGTTTTTATATACATACATGTGTTTTTATATACATACAATTTTTTTTCTGAATTATTTATGAATAATTAGAGACAGAAATTTAGAAAAAAAATTTCATAGTATTCTTCAGAGAAGAGATATGCACTTCTATTAATCCCTAGACACATTAAGCTCACAACTCAACATCGTATTACTTTGTTTTGAGTTGTCAATAGGACTGTCTGAAGGAAGAGATTCACAAACAATGCAAACACCTGTATTTCACTCACATTTCACAGCACCACTAGCTAAAGCTGGTGATGAATGTGACAAAATGCTATTTTGTCAAAATGTACTTTTCCTGGGAAAGGGTTGTTTTTTATTCATTTCTTGACTCAGATGTTTCCCCAAAATTGTCAGTATCTCTGCCCACATGCACCACCCCTGCAGCTCCCATTGGCGCAGTTCCTGGCCAATGTGAGCTGAGGAGCCAGTGCTCGGGGAAGGGCAGGAGCAATGCACATCCCCCATGGCCGTTTTTCCACTTAGGAGCAGCAGGGACATGTCGCCGCTTCCGGGGAAGCGCACAGAGCCAGGTAGGAAGCCTGCCGGCCCCGCACCAACTGGACTTTTAATGGATATCAGAAATGCTGGTTTTTAGAGCTTTCCAGTTGATAAAGTGCCGGATAACACAGCTTTTACAGTACTTGCTCTTTTAGAAAATACAATATTAAAAAACTCACGCACAAAATGTATATATTCCAACAAAATTTGACTTAAATTTCTTAAAGATATTAATCTTTGAAATAATGCTTTTCAGCAAATTTGCAGCTAAAGAAAGCTGTTAAATGTTGCTTGCATATAGTTTTAAGGGAATCCTTAACCATCAACAGACAACAGTACAAATCCAAATCTGCTAGAAAGTAGGTACAACTACATTGATTTCAACTAGATTTCAATTCATTCACAGCAGTTCTAAATTAGATCCAGGGAATGAATATAAATTATGAACCCAATCCTTCAAACATTTACACATGAAGTTTAACTATAAGCACATGGGAGTTCCTTTTCTTTTAACAGAACTATTCACACGCTTAAATTTAAGCAAACATAGAAGTGTTTGATGAATCAGGACCTAAGATTATTTGCTGTTAATACAAATTCAAAGGGTAACCAACATTTAAAAAAATACTGTCTTTATTCTTCAGAGAATATCCATTTACCCCTTCACTAAACTTTATAGGCACTTCACAGACTTCATTATACTAGTATTTAAAGTATTATTTTGCAAATTGATATTTTGCTAGTCAGGATAATAAGATTAAAAACAAAACATATTCTTCTTTACTATATCTTCCAAATAAAATCAATGCATTAGAGGAGGTTTTTATTTAATCATATAAACCAGGTTAATTTCATTTGTATGTTAGTACATGTACAGGAAAGAATCCTTTACTGAACAACTTTATATACAGAGAAGCTGTGTATGTAAGAAACTAAGCAGTGTAATTAATAACTTTATTTCTCGGTTTTATTATTATTTTCTTAGTAAAAGGTACTTTTAACTCTTTTGTTACAATTCCTGAAGTTAAAATTATCTTTCCATCTCTCAATGGAAAACTGAAAACACCACTGAGGATATGAGATGGATCATTCCTTCATGCATAAAAAAAATCTTATGGGTTGACATTTAACATTATACCTCATTTTGGGACTCCTGGAGGCCAAATGTACAGATTTCATATAAAACTTTTGGATGAAGAAGAAAGTGAACTCCATGACAAATAGAAGACACAGGTTTTGTGACATTATGGATACCCAAACATTCCTAGAACAAAAAAAAGTAAATGGTTAATTTCAAAATTCAAGGAAGTTCCTATTTCTATACCATTTCTTGCAGATGCTATTTCTTACTTTGTGTGTTCCAGGTATAAGGACATGAGCATACTATGCTAAAATGGCCCCAATTGCCATGCAAAGTATAAGCATTCAGGAGCTACAGAATAGACGTTGGTGCTACTGTTGCTCCATAAATTTATACGACAATACAAATATTTTATTCTTGACAGGCTGTTGCTATCTCCCTTTCCTGCTGTGACAACTTGATACCTCAATTCTCATTTGAGGTTACTGGGCATTTCCTGACCATTTCAGGAGGACCACAGTCCCTGAAAGTGGAGCACTATGGAAGTAGACACCTTTGCCTCTTGACTGAGAATCCCAAGCAAAGTAGGCTGTAGACACTGATCCTTCATGAACTCTTTTCAAAGGCTGAATGGCATTTCAACCTTCTGGAATGGTCCATGTGAAATTCCTAAATATAAAACTACAGGGTGGGGGGGTTACTAAAAGAAGATTTAGTAAAAAGAATCAGATAAACTAAATATACGATATGCATCTCACCCAGTATGCATATATTTTCCCAAACTCTGCAAAAGCTAGATTAGACAAATATAATCCGCGTATCAGAAAACATGGCGGGGAGGGGGAGAGAGGAGACAGACCAAGGAAGAAATTCTGGCTCTTCTGAAGTCAATGGAGTACTACCATCGACTACAATAGGAACAGAATTTCACCAAAATTCCTTAAAGGTGCCCTACAAAAGGAAAAAATAGACTACTACTCTTTAAAATATAGAGCATGACCTGGAGAAAAGTTTTTGTTCTTTTGTTGTTTGTATCAAAAAAATTAGTTCTTGTCTACCCTAGATGATGGATAAGTGGAGAATTAGTAGGATTACGACATCACAGATACTATGAAAGTGAAAATCAAAAACGTTTGAGAAGCTACCTGATTTTATTCAAACTCCTTAAACTTTTGTTTTTTTGTGAATATATATTTAATGCAAACATTCAGGACAGGTACTGAAGTGTGAAATGTGGTTTAAAATAGTAGTTTGAAACTTATTTGTATTGTGGTAATGCGTAGGTGCATAAGTTACAGACGAGGACCACAGTGTGCTAAGCACTGTGCAAAGGGAAGACAAAGGCAGAAACTGAGGGGGGGGGTTATTTGCTTCTAGAGGATTTCCATCTGTTTACAAGTACAATGATGTTTGATTTTAACTGCTGTCTGTGAAACTCAACTAGCGTTCTTTCTATCTTATGCATCAGCCCCAGTAACACATATATTATAAGTTAAATTAGCCACTCAGTGACACGCATGTACAACCAATGCCTTCAGTTGGATTGCACAAATATAAATAATTGAAACTTAGTAAACAGTTCTGTTCATAGAGAAAAAGAATCCATAGTTCTCTCTGCCCATAGTTTTGTTCTTTTGGAAGAGTTAACGTTTAGACAGAATTGTAAAAAGCAGTAAAAATGAACAAATAAAGTGAACTAAAGTGAACAAATACAACTCTGAATACAAGCAGGGAGTAAGCTTTTAAGTAAGAAGTTGCCATTTCTACTTAGTCACTTTTCAGAATACAGCTGTGTTTTAAGGAACTCACAACTCTATCCCTTTGGCTAAAGGATGAGAAACTCCTTATCAATCCACATGTGTGAGTCATCTATAACATTTCCACAGAAAAATGAAGAGAAGATTTAATATTCCCGATATTTTTAAAGTCAAAATTAGGTACATACACAAAAAAGTTGACTAGTCTTAAATTAAACACTTTAAACAGGTGTTTAAGTCAGAGACGAAAAGGGACACAAAGCAATTTGTGTTATTTTTTCAGGTCATCTATTAGTTTAAAGAGATTCTTCATCAATTACTTGAATATAGATTCACAAAATATGTTTGTATATTTATTAATACTTTCAGTAAACTTTTTCTATAAATGAACCTTTCCTAGAAGAGCGGTCAACTCAAATGACATTGCACTAACGCACAAGGACTAAGAAGGGAAAATGACCAGAAACAAAAGTGAACCTAGCCAGTCTAGTTTCAGTGTCCAAGCTAATTAGACTGCATAACTCATTTGTGATCTAAAATTAATTTAAATATCACATTTTTATCTGTTATAAGGGAGGTAAAATTAATGACATGCAGGATATTGAGAGGGTATTTGGAAAAAAGCTGAACACATTGTTTGGATTTATCACACAATATGAATCCCAGACTCTATTAACCCCTGCCACTATATCTAGTACGATCTATAGCCAAACCAGTTCAGCTTCACTCTTTTACAAATAAAACATCAATCTTCAAGTCCAGACCAACATATAGCAGACTGGAAACAGACTAAACTGTAAAATCACAGATAAATGACAAAAAAAATAATCCACATTTTCTTCAAAGAAAACATGATAAAACCCATATGTAGCTCTAACCTTAACAATTTCCAGACAGCAATGGTAAGCTTCAGTTTTTATATTCAGCAGAGGATGGGACAACAGATGGAGAAGCACCTTCTGACTCTCTGCCTGCAGCAATTGGTTAGCCTGGGCAGACTTCCAGCTACAAGTGGAAACAGTTAAATATCCAAGATAAATTAGCGGCTATACTGTTTGTTGTACCACATTGATAAACATGCTTGTTTTACAGAGTAAGACATGGAGGACTTCTGCAAAATTTATGATGATGTCCAGTGTACTGCAGGGCACACAGGCAACATTCCTTCTAAAGTACAGACAGTCATCATCTTGAAGAGGAAATGACTCAATATAGAGTTCAGAGGTCATTTTGAATTTTCCTCCAATGTTGTAAAACTGCAACTTATAATACTGATATTCACTTCTGTACATTTCACTTAAGTTTTCCTTGATGTAATGTGGCACTATAGATGATCAGAGTAGTAATCCTGGTTGGGGAGTTTGAAAAATGTATAAATGCTGTGACATTTTTCACATTTTAGTCATCATGTTTAAGTTGTATAAATCTGGCACATGATCAAAACAACATACACATAAGTGAGCCAACATAACTAAAACCACAAAGTCTTATCTCAAGACTGCAATGGATACTGAAAAAAGGAGCACAACTTTAAGTGATTGCTTAGCACTAATTGGTATGGTAAATCCACTTGCAGTAATAAATATTTAACAGATCAATTACTTGAATATAGATTCAAAAATATGTTTGTGTCTTTATTAATACTTTCAGTAAACTTTTTCTATAAGTGAACCTTTCCTAGAAGAGCTATCAGCTCAAATGACATTGCACTAATGCACAAGGACCAAGAAGTGAAAATGACCAGAAACAAAAGTGAACCTGGCCAGTCTATGCTTCCATGTCCACGAAGCATATCTCAAAATTGCAATGGATACTGAAAAAAGGAGCACAACTTTTTTAAGTGATTGCTTAGCACTAATAGGCAGTGGCAAATCCACTTGCAGTAATAAATGTTCATCAGATATACCTAATTAGCAGCAGAAAATAGAGGAGTGGAATTCACATTTTCTGACAGGCAGCATGAATAGAAATGTCTCTTCGGACTATGAAATTTGTTGTTTCCTGCCTTTATAACTTGCTCACAATTCTCAGAAACCACAGCCTTCCAAAGAAACTATGTATATTAAAATGAAAAGAATCATGGGGGGAGGGTGAACCTGGGCTCAGGGTGGCTAGCCCCCAGCCCAGCCCACCCCTTCTACTCAAAGCCCTGCCCATCCCACCCTGCTACCCCCTGACAGAACCCCCCACAGCCACGGGCCGCCAGAATGGTGAGCTGCAGAGATCCCCTCCAAGCCCCAGAGCACCGGGTGGATGAGCAGGCAGCATGCCCCTGCACAATCCCCGGCATGCTAGGCAGACGGGTGGCACGCTCTCTCCCCCCACAAACCCCAGAGCGCTGAGCGGCATGCCTCCCCGCACACAAGCCCCGGAGCGCTGAGAGGCACCCTCCGCGCCCCCCCCCACACACACACACAAGCCCCAGAGTGCTGAGCAGGTGGGCGACACACTCCCCAGCACACAAACCCCGGAGCGCTCAGCGGGATGCATGGCCCCCAGCACCAGTGCACCGAGCGGGTAACACAGCTCCCCCACCCAGCCCCAGAGTGCCGGGAGGCGTGGCGTGCTCCTAACCCCCACCCCAAAACACCGGGCAGGCAGCGCAAGCACCAGCTCCCATCGCCCGGAGTCCCTGGCCGCAGGCTGGCACCAGCCCCAGCCCAGGGCTCCGGCCATGGGGGAGAGCCGCAGAGCACCAACAGGAAGCAGGAGATGGTCTGGGGGTGGAGCATGGGCGGGACCACAAAAGGCTCTTTGGTGAGGCACAGCATCCCCTAGTCTTTGATACCCACTGGCCATGAAAAGAATTCTGAAGTATAATTAGCTTAAATTTGAATTTCATACCAAGGCTACAATGCAGAATCTCCTTTTCAGGAACCACAGACTAGCAGAAAGTATTTACCTATTGTACGCTTTAAAAAGATATTTGGTAAGTAAGCTCCCATTGGAATTTACAACATAAGAAAGAGTTCTCTCTAGAAATTAAGCTAGCAGAACAACTGCAGTTAAAATATATATATATATATATATATATATATATATGGAAAATATCCAAAATTGGGATCAGATCAGAAGTCAGTCAAAAGGGGAAGGAGGGACAACAACCCAGGAGATACCGTTTACCAGAAAGGTTTTAAGGGCCACTCCCCAAAATCCTCATTATCACATTTAAGCTTCAAAGGCAAAATTATGCCAAGTTGTCCTTAAACAAGTCTCCTCGAAAAGTTACTTTCTAATCTGTTTTCAAGAAATGTCAGAGTTAAAATGGTGGCTTCGACCTTCAAATACATTTGAGATGCTTTTTTTTAAAAAAAAAAAAAAATCCTAATGCTCTCTCTCTTTTTTTAACTAGTTTAGTGACAAAACTTTGCACATCTCTTTTCTTTTAAGATATGCTTGGATAAATTAAGGATGGGAACAAGACCATAATCTAGAACGAGTAAAGAGTCCACACTTCACCTGCAACATATGGGACACAGTTCTTCTATACAAAGAAAACAGTAATAATTTAAAGTAATAATTTATTTACATATTCAAGCAAACATGGATGATTTCCTGAAGTAATGGAAAGTGCTGATGATAAGGAAGACTATTTAGGGCCTGATCTGCCAATTCCACTAATTCAAAGAAATGTTTTTCTCCCTAAAAAATAAAAAATAAAAGGCAATTATTAATGTTAATTTAAAAAATAAGCTACTTCTGTACATTCTGAGGACTAGAAAATTTAGTGGTATCCACCAATTACATCTTGCCAGACTCAGTCTCTCTCTGCAATGAAAACAACACTACTCCATGTGGTTAACCAGGATAACAAATTACAGTTACTATTAAATACTTTTAAAACAAATTACAACGATGTGATCAATTGTCCATGTTAGCGAGTACAAATGCCTACATTTATGGCTTGATCTTGTGGGCTGCTAAATAACTCAGAGGTGCTGAACTTCCTCAATTCCCATTAACTTCAATACGAACTGAGGGTGCCCATCATTTTGCAGCATTAAGACCATAACACATCAGAGCATCTCAAAATATTCCTAAGCCCTTAATATTTAAGCCATTTTAATAATGAAGTACTCCCTTCAAGACTACAGTAAAGATCAATAAGTGTTTTCTTAACTAGGGTCTATAAAGTATAATACTATTAATCCAGATTATCTGTACTAGAACTAGCTTTATGAATCTCATCAAAACATAAAATATTATGTTTTTGTACATCTGTTAAGGCTAACCCTTCAGAGTTAGGTATTAAATATAAATGATTTAAACTTTAATTTTAAGAGCTAGTTAAGTTGAATGTTAAGTACAAGGACATAAATTCAGTTTCTGAATCTGTGTATGTAACTGATGAATGAACTCAGAATTCTAACTACATGATGATACTTCTGTCCAGAAATAACATTACACTTCTTTGGGACTGTGCCTGATGTAGCTTCTCTCTATTGGCTTTATTAATGGAACAAGGAATGTAGTAGTCTGTACAAACAGGAACAACTTTACACTGGGTAATGGAAGAAGATAGGTTAGTACCACACTGAAATCATTTAACACTATAAAACACATTATTCCTTGTCTCCTTGTTAAGGACTTCAGAGTACCTAACAGAGTAAATGTCCATGAAACACATGAAGACAATAAGGATCTCTCTCTCAAGATTCGTAGCATAATGAGCGTCCAAAGGTCTCTACCTTGTTGGTAGTGCCATCTTATTTGGACTGCTTGGAATATAAAATGTTCTAAGTCATTTCAAGTAGTGCATAATTAGTTTACAGCATTTTTTCCTTAAAATATACTACTAATTACTTTCAGACCTTTCTGGTTATAAATTCACACAGCAATACCCCTTATTTTTAACTCCTGCATGTGCCAGATTTTCTCAACTTTGTGGTTGATATTAAGTGAAACTGATTTCTGACATGAGGGTAACAAAGTACACATATCAACAAAAAACAATGAATATTCTCACACCTAAATATTTTGGTCTCTAGTTTTTTGTTCGTTTTTAATTTTCAAACAGCTTTTCAATATAGTTTTTGTACCAGAATCCAATACCTCCTTACGGACATCCATCATAAAGTTACAGGTGCAGTCAATTGAATAGACAGCCTCTGCAGCTTGTTTATAAATACTGTAGTTCTCAGAATTCATCTGCTCCAAATAGGCTGCAACAGATTCATGAATACTTGGATATTCCAAGGAGAAGGGCATGTCCACGGAAAGAAGAAATAAAGCAGTCACCAAGCTCTCTGGTAACACTTTGCTAGCCTTGAGAAAAATTGAGGGGGAGGAAAAAAAGGAAAAAATTAGTATGAACATTAGCTATTAAATTCAGCTTTTGAATTATTTAACAAGTGCAACCCTCAATGCTGCTATTTAGTATTTAAAAAAAAATCTGAAAACTGACTTCAGGATTCTACAAATTTGAACAGATGGAGACCTTTTAGGAAAAACTGAGGGGAGCCTATAGCCTTTTGGTATAAAAGTCTGTGCTAAAGTAATATATATATATATGCATAGTCCAGCCCTGGGATTGGACCCTCCGCTAATTTGTTAAATTGTCTCTAATGAGTAACCACCAGATGGTAACACAGACTCAATTATTTCTGTAGCCTCTTGCCCTTTATAATGTTATCATTACAGATATCTTTATAATCCCTAAAATACTTGCAGCTTCACAATTGTATGGTGTTGCAACATATTACCAGATGAGAACTTGCTCTAATTGCAATAAGTGGTCACTCAGCTCAAATTAGTAATTCAGAGTCTGACAGCTATATTGCTCAACTCCTGTCCACATACAAGATAAAAAAACAAACAAAAAAACTGTTTGCTGAACTCAAAATGATAGTAATGAAAATAGTGTTTACACAAAAATTGATATATCTACAATTTTTAGGGACTAGAGAGAAGGCATATACATTAAACAGTACAATACAAGTCATGGTAAATCATATTTGTATCAGTTAAATGATCCTCCTAGACAATGAATGTTAAGCTGCAAAACTTCTGAAAAAAAACAAAGTTACACTGCAGAGCAAAGCAGTGAAAAATTGTTTAAATACAGACAAGTCATTAAATATAAACTAAAAACTCCCAGGGTTTCTAAAGATTCCATTCCTAAATAGAGCTCCAATTTTTTAGACTGCCTACAATTTATAGATAATTGCAGGGCTGTTTATCATGATGTAATAATTATTTGCAAACAGTAAAAGTTTAAGGTTACTGCAAAATATAAGGTATTATCATGGCACATAATGGTCCAGGCATCAGGCAAAAGTTCAAGTGCCTTAATACATAGAGCAAGTAAAGCAAAAATAATTCTATCTGAACAGCGTTCAATTTGCTATTAACAAGCAGAGGGCAGCATAGTCTCGCAAACCACACAACTCTTGGAATAGCTTGAAAAACATGGCAGTGATAAAATTATGCTTTTGTATAAGTATCCTTTTAAAAGGCTTACCCAGTTAATCAATCTAAGCAAATAAACCTTCTGTAAGCTAATCACACAATTAGAACAATTAATATCTGTTTCCTGCATAACCTAATCTACTGATCTAATATGATTCCAGGTATGGTATTTGGAAATAATTAATCTATAATGAATGCACAGTGCTAGCGGCAGTCACGATGAATTAAAGAACCTTCAAGAGTAAGTACTATTTATGTGATAATGCTGCTCCACCCAACATTCCAATGGCCAACTCCCACCAGAGAGTCTTCTTGCCCGAAGCCACTTGCTCCTGCTCACCGTTATACAGAGCAGGACCTCTACTGCTCATCTTAGACATTCATGAACATACTGCTCATGAAAGTACATCATGACTCAAAGTGAAATGTGACACTTTCATGCCTCTTCCTAGCCTTCCAACACACCCACCCACACTTGTGTTCTCATTCCAGGAGCTGAGAGGAAGGAATTCCTTGGGTTCTATAAAAAAAAAAAAAAAAAGTGAAAAAAGTTCACCAAAAAAAAATTCTATCTTTAGCAGAAATTGAAAACTGCAACAGATCTTAGCCAAAGGCCCGTACAAGCTTAAAAACTGAAGACTGTGGAGGTGGCTACTCTATTCCATTATCCTACGACCTCAGCAATTCACCAGGTTTCCTTTCTTGCCAACAAAGCTTTGTTACCAGCACCAACAACCAAACTCATCTTAGGAAAGAACCTCTTTGTACTCTCCTAGTATTCAAAGACAAAACAAGACTACTTTTTAAAATCAGTAAAAACATTAACAATATTCAGTTCATTACTAACTTTGTTTCCCCCTCACCTTTTCTACAGGGAGAAGCGTTTGCAACAGTCGCATGCTGAAAAGTGAAATGCTAATAAATGCCATTCTGTGGTGCACTAACATCAGCTCAGGCTGCTCTGAGCTGATGTTACTTTTGTGGTAAGATATGGTTTCTCCAAGTGAACCCAGGACCATAAGCAGCTTATCTTTCTGCAAGAGAAAACAAAAGATACAATATAAATTCCTATCAACAGAAAGCATCATCACCAATCATTCTCTCTTACTGCAGGACCTTTACAAGAACAAAAGTGAAATATTTATATAAGGAGTACAACTAAGCAAAGTGTCAACATTCTACTATTATTCTTTTCCAGAAATATAACACAAGTTGAACTGTATTTTAGCATTTACACAGAAATGGGCTGAAAAGTTCTAGAACATTTAGAGATTCTGAACACTAGTTTCGGGATTTGGAGGTTGTTTTTTTTTGGTTTTTTTTTTAAGAAAAGAATCTAATTAGTATTTCCCCCATCTTGTTTTAATCTTCTATCACTCTGTAATATTTGCATAAATACATTTTAAAGTCTGTTTCAATACTAGAAACATTGGGATCTAATTTAAACCTGTGAATATCTACTTTACCCTAGTAAGTAAAAAAGAGAGTCTTGAGAACATCAAAACTTTCTGTTATGTCTACTGGCCCTAACAGGAAACAATAAGAGATTTCAGGAACTGCTTAGAAGTCTAGCGCAGAAAATGAATGGATACAATCACTGGTGAATGGAGATCAGATGAAATCAGCTCTTTGGATGTTGAGAGAGCGAGGAATGGATTGAATTGTGAACCGTTAGTAAAGCTTGGTTTGCTAGAATCTGGAAAGTAGGAACGATATCTGATACCTAGCTATATAACTCATTTTATTCTTCACTACTCACAGTGCTGGATTAAGAAGGTAGTGGTTATTGTAAACATGAAAGCTGCTGATCAATTCTGAAAATTAGTAAATTAGTGCTAAGCAATTAACAAATACTGTATAAATCTGAGTCAACATGCCCAAAGTGCAAGGAAATGTGTAGGAAACAAGTAATTGAACCGAACAATAATTCTCCTAAAGTAAACACTGTCCACAGTTATTATATAGCCAGATGAAAAGGATTCCTACTCATCTGAAAAAATACAGAAAATTTATTTCTCCTCGGCTCACTAATACAGTAGCTTGACTTCCTGGTTTAGGAACATGAGAAGAGTATATTAACTCAGTGGTAGAATCAAGCTTTATTACTCCTAAAAAACAGTCGCATCCCTGCTAGTGATACAAACAGTTGAGCCTGTGACCATTCATAGTATCAGGCCCCCTATTTCCCAATCAATTAGATTTACATTACTGACTTGGAAGAGGAAAACAGCACACTAATTAAATCCACATCACAAAAAATTGGGAAGCATTCCAAACAGCAATGAGAACAGAAATACAAAAAACAAAACAAAACAAAAAAGAACAGAAACATGGGTAGAGGACAAAAGTAGGCACTGAAGCATCTCCTCCTAGTTCTTGAAGGGATTACCGAAGTCAATTTTCTCCTCTAGAGAATCTGAAATAAGAAAAAAATAGGATCCCTTTTCGCAGGGCTGTCAAGCTGTGACCAGAACAAGGAAAATACAGAAGACCAAGTGCCCATGAAACTTTTAAGCATTTCTGGTTCATAATTTTTTTCCCCAGGTCAGTTAGGCAGTGACTTTGGAGGGTTGTTGCCTGCCTCTGCGCATGAGAGAGTGGGTCACTTACCAGGACTGTCTGTGTATATCTCATTTAATCATTTCCCCGCCATTGCAAGGCCTCTAGCACTGGTGCATGTTAATCCCTCCTATTCTCTCCCTGTGGGTCTCATTTACTTCAGTCTCATTTCTGCTTTTGGGTTTAATGCGCAGGTGCTGGATAGTGCTGGCAGCCTGTGACATACAGGAAGTCAAACTAAATGATCTAGTGGTCCCTTCTGGCCTTAAACGTTCATGACTTCAATATTTCTAGTAGAGGAGGAGTATACATATCAAAGTTTAAAATAAGAGGAACATGCCAGCAATATCAACTTTTTGTAATTACTGGACTGTTTAAATGTTTGAAAAAGGGGAGTTCAGTAGAATTGGCTATCCTCCAGTACAGAAAATGCCTGATGTCTACAGCAAAGGCAAACTGTTAAATACCATTGACCAAAGTCTAAAGATAAGAAACTTTCCAGACTCACCAACTCTAACCCAAAGAGGCTGTTGTCCTCCCAAACATCTTCAGATACTGCATCACCAATAAGAAGCACATCTTCAGCAAGTAATTCAAGAATGTGCATTGTCACTCTACTATTGCCTATGAATGCAAATGTGAAAGATGTTACAGCAGTTCAATTGTAAACAGTGTATAAATGATTTAATGTTAGTAGAACAGCCCCTTTTCAGCCAGGGAATACTTTAACTCTGAACATCTGTAAAATTAATTTTCTTGTGCATTCATGCTACTTAGTTAGCATCAATTGTCACCACTGCAACATCCAGCAATAGCTTTGAATCACGTCTACTTTTTCTTTGTTTTCTGGAAAGAACATTTTGACAGTTAATGCACTAGAGAGCTCACTATTCACCAAAAGTACTAGGCACCCCCCCACACACAGTTCAGATCTTGACACGGTTTCATTCTTTGTACTACAGACAGCTCTTCATATGCTAGTTGATGACACTGACTACTTAAAGCCAGCCACTCACATTTCTTGTGAGGAAAAAGTCACATTCCACCCTGGAGTCTTTAACTACCCTGAATTCACAAGGGTCAGCTTATTGAAATGATAAATTCCTTCTTCTAGTTACAGCAACACCATTTCTAGTATATTATTGTGCCTGCTGTTAGCATTTTTATAAGCCCAGTGAAGACACAGACGTTGCATTGCTAACCTTGGGTGAACTCCTAAATGACAACTAGGGAATAGTTCCTTAGAGAAGACACTCCTGGAAAAAAAGGCTAATGTATATTTACCATGGACAGGAATTTTGCCAAATAAATTCAGTTGGCTATATGAGGATGTTTACGTATAAAGTTGTGTAGTATTGCAGACACATTTTACCACCGCTGTGGATATGATGTTATTTGATTGATCTTTCTAGCTCAGGGATAAATCTGCCTGAAACATCCCACCTGAATAGGCAGGAGAGAAAGTTATCTCCCCATTTTTGGTGGTTTTGTTTTCAACATAGGATGCATGTTTCCACACTAGCCTATGTACTAAGATAGCAGCTCCCTACTTTTTGTCAAAGGCTGGTAGATGGATAATCCTGCTATGCCCTTTCCTGGCATCCCAAGCTACAGTCACAGACTTCTTTATTTTTTTTGGTCCATTTTCTTTCTCCTGTTCTTTTTCAATCTGGGATCTTTTGCCTTGTCATTCCCACCCCCTACTCCTTTTTTCTACTTCTTTTTTACTCTTTCATTTTGTAAGTTCCTTTTCTTGGTCCCCATTAACCAGAAGGTTACATTCTGCTTAATGTGGATTGCCTATTGGTGACTCTTTGAGGTAGCGCTTCATGTACTCTTACAGTTGAGGATCTGGGAGCAAAGAAACGTGGAATAGCAAGCCTGCAGATGTGCTGTACATGAGAGTTGCCGCTAAGCCATTAGTGGCCACAAAAGGAGCAGAGATGGAAGGCTGGCAGCTTCCAAAGTGACAGCTGCTGCTTTATCTGTTGCATATTTATAGGGAGTGGACTCAACATCATGCAGTTTTCTCAACAAGACAAGTTAGGCCCTGCCTCCTAGCATGGGCAAAACTTTAGTAGGGCTAAGTTAGGTTTGGCATTCTCAATGCTTAAGGTCTTCTTGCAATTGACTCACTGGGTACACTTTCTTCCCTATGCTTCCACTCCTTTGTGACATATTTGTTTGTACTTTTGAGGTTCACACACTAAATTTTAAAAAAGTTTCCCATTTGTAGCTCAGGAGGGTCACTGTAGTGTTCCTGATCTTAGTTATGGTTTCAAACATGTTAATTTAGTAGTGAAATGCTACATTTCCATAGTAAGCCCGCACCCGCCCACCCTGAGGGTGGGTACTTGATCTGGAGTCTAGATGAGTATGAATTCTGATCAAGAAATAGTCAGTTTACACTATCCAGGTAAGACTGAAGTGAGAGTGAGGGAAAGGGAAAGAGAAAACTTTTAAGGATCAGCAAAAGCAACAATTTCACTACCTAGTGAAGGCAACATCTCCATTGTCAAGGTAGAATGAAGTCTCAAGGTTCAGCGCAACCTCATGAATACTGATAACAGCAACAGCAGCCAGAGCATTTTCTAAATAGAGACTGCACCCACCTCTCACAGATAAAGACTTAGCTAACGTAATCCACACTTTTGTGACTTCCAAGCTAGACAATTTCAATGCACTCTACCTGGAGAGGACTATGTAGGCCACATGCACGCTACAGCTAATTCAACATATCGTGGTCCTCTTGCTAAACAAAGCAGAATGGTGAGAGTATCACACCAATACTCCACATTAGCATCCAGTCCAACACCAAATAAAGGACCAGGACCAGGACCTTAAAATGTAATGCCACCAGTGGAAAAGAGCCAAGCTTTCTTAATAGCAACTCTTTCTCCACTTTCCTCACAGTTTCAGCAGCACCTTCAATCAAGGTGGAAGCTCCCACTGATAGCCCTAAGTGTGAAACTTTCAAGAACTGGTACAGAGTAGAGGACCTTTGCTGTGTGATATCACTGATGGCAATCATATCAACAGAACTTCTTCAGACAGGACTTTCTCAAATAAAGTAGCATAAGGACCCCATAATGTTTCTAAAGGAAGGCCAAAAAGATTAACGCCCCTCCCCCAAAGAGACTTAAAATAGGGATAAGAGCTTGGTCTAAGTTTGGATATATGCATGTGGCTCCTTAATACTAGTGACTGATGCATTAGAAATGCATCTATGCTAGCCCCTGAATATTAGGAGAAGGTCCTAAACAGAGCTAAATTAGTTATTTAAAATAAACTGATCAAGATTGGGCTACATACTGTAACTACCTTTTTAAAAAGGACGGGGCAGCTGAAAAATGAGTCCAGAAATATGTACAGTCAGTTGTGGAACTTTGAATTTTTACTTTGAATTTTTATAAATCAAAATTATAATAATGTTATATATTTATTTATAACTTTAACTTTTATCTTAGTGAATTTTCCAATCTGGAACTATTTATATTTTATATATTTAAAATAAAAATATCTCCTACTCACTGTTAAAAGCAAAATGAACCTTTCATTGAGGGTACATCTACACTTCAGTTTAAAGTTGTACAAGTGACAAACGACTGATAATGAATCTAATAATATGTAAATACCTTAAATGTTTTAATACTTATTTTGCGTTAAACGTAAAATGCAAAGGATAGTAACTTAGGGTATTGTCTATGCTACAAGCTGGGGGTGAGATTTGCAGCTCCCGAAGACATACTCACACTAGCTCTAATCAAGCATTGCCATCAGAGATCAGAAATGCTAGGTAAATACTCTATCTTCCCACAGTCGTGCCGCTGCGGCTACATTCTAGTTTAAGTGCACCACGTCAATTAAAGCTACCTTGAGTATGTCTCCTCAAGCTGAGACTCACACTCAAGCTCAAAGTGTAGACATACTCTGAATGACTATTCTTTGCCTTTTAAAGAGCAAAATAAAGTTTTATAGCATTTAAGATGTTTACATAGTATTAGATTTATTATCAGTCATTTATTACATTTAAACTGACTATACATTCGGAAGTTGTTAAAAGTCTGAAATTAATGCAGACAAGCATTTCCTCAACCTTTCAAGAATCGATTGTGTGATGAGAGTTTTAAATTAAGCAAGGAAAACTAAGTGGTAACCCTAACTCGTTCGCTTAAGGAGTCACAAATACAGGTTGATTTCTTTAGGCTTTCAAATTACTGCACATTTCCATGTTCAGTTAGTTGAAGTCCTTTTACAGACCTCTTCGCTGTGAATCAACTGCAGTTAGAAGGCACATAAGACTTCGCTACTAAAGGGCAAGGGGAAATTTGGTAAATTAATGTATGCAGAAATAACTGCAATTATCAATGTGACTTCCACAAAAAATTAAGAAAAGTTTAGAAGCAAAGTATGATGCACCTAATTTCCCTTCCGTGTAAAACGGGGTTTAGAATATCAATATGTACATTGCTGTAATACTGGTAAAGGAAAATGAAGTAGTTGTGCTACCAGAGTCTGGAAATCTGTCACTATTTGCAAATAGAAAATGTACGGCTGAGTATGACTGAGGAACAGCATAGCAAAGTTAGCGTACCAGCCTTTTCTCTTGGATTTTAGACAAAACTGACCACCATTCTCAAATACTACAGCCATAAGTGGGACTGCCGGAGCTGGGACCCCTCTGGCTGGCACGCAGGGCGTTAATGGTTCAGGTCAGTTAATGGTAAGCCTAATGCTTACCAGTTAACCTTTTACATCCCTACTTCCTATGAGATACTAGTGTCCACTTGGTAAACTACCGACAATTAGTCCAAAAGAGTTCAATACAGTGAACAAGAGCTTCCCACATCCCCACACCACAATGTAGTTCAAAACGGTATTCAAATAAAAAAGTTGATCACCTGCCAACTCCTCAAACCAAGAGAGCTCCAAATAGGTTAATAAATAATGCAATTAATGAACTGCATGATTCTATAAACATGCTTCAAAACAAAGGCCAAGTAGTTGCTCCACTGATCCATAAGAATGCTGTGTGGCTGTTAAAATCATTGGTTCAGGGAGGTCTAAAATTGATACTTGCATCTAGACAGTTAAATACTGGATTATATATTCAGTAAATTAGAAACCATAAAAAAAGATCAATTTAAGAACTTTGTTATTGATTTAAAACATATTCCAAAAACATAAAAAGCCACTTAAATATTTTCACACAAATAGTGTCACTCAAGACAGTATAAAGTGATACATTAATAAGTCTGAATAGAAATCTTTACAAGTCAAATAATCTTTACACTATCCAAGGCAGGCCAAAATATACTACAGTGTAATTTTTGGATGAGATAACTTTTCACATTTGGTCTTACTTTATTCCCTACTAATTTAACCAGTTTAGAAAAATAAAGAGCGTATAAATATCATCTAAGATTAACAGTACCACTAACTGTGCCAACAATTATGTTCCAAGGCACATTCAGACACTGTTGCTAAACTAGCAATCCAGAGGGGTAGAGAGTTGTGAAGGAGAGAACGGGGGAAAATAAGGGTTGTCCCCAGATCATGGGGTTTCACACCTCCTGAGACGGGCTGAAAATATAGTAGGTTGTTTTCTACTTATGTCCCATTACCACCCTATGGGAGGCAGAGGGAGATATAACTAACCCACTTACACTGACAAAGCCATGTAAAGAATTTAAACTCTAGGTTGGGTGGTAAGGAGAAATTACATCACCCCTAGGTGAGGGGAGCAGGGAGAAACCACATCACCCCAGATCTAGACACATAGGGTACATCTATACTGGCATACAAGACCTGTGGCTGGCACAGGAGGCTAAAAATTGCTGGCTAGACATTTGGGTTCAGGCTGGAGCCTGGTCTCTGGAACCCTCCCCCATTGCATTGCTGCGTAGATGTAGGCTTATGCATCATCCAAAGGAACTAAAATCTTCCCCCAACTGCCAAAGCATAGCTGTTTTGTAGGATGAAGAGAAGACTGTACTGTGAATCTGGGGCTTTGCAGTGGCAGACTCAACTGAAAGGCAATACGCAAAAACCACAAATTAGCTTGAAATGTATCTGTTCTCTATAAATTAAATGGCCTTATATGTCTCACTATATAATCATAATCCATTCTGGCATTAAAGTCTATGAGTGAAACCCTGGGCTGTTTGAACTCAAGGGGAATTTTGCCATTGCCTTCAATGGTGCCAGGATTTAACACTATAAATCTATGAAAATGCAAAATTTAGAATAGATAAACTGCCCATTAAAATACTTTTCCTGATAAAGTTATCTGGATATTCCATTTACCAAAACAAAACCTATAACAACAGATGTCAAAAGTGACCTGGATTTTTCAGCTGGCTAACTAATATAACTGACAGGTTATGTAGATTTCTTACAGGAAAGGCATCCTCGTTCCTTTCTGAAACTCATCTGATCACCACTTTCTTTTAGTAAAGTCATTAATGAAATGCAAGAAGAAATCTGTGGATTCCATCATTCCATTTCCTCCTTTTTGCAGAAGCAAGAAAAATCTGCTTTCCTGGCAATAAACAGGACCCAAGAATAAGTACTCAAAGTCAGTACTGAGAAAGTAAAAGTAAAATATACAAATACTGAAATTCCAATTTGTGACAGGAAGATAAAGCACGAGTCACACATGATTTATTTGTTCTCTCTCATCATACAAGTCCTCAGTTAATAAATGTATATGGAAGTTTACAGAGAAAAAATTACAGATTAGTCAAAACACAAACACAAGATGAAATACTTTTGAACTTATTTTAATGTGGCACAATAGGTAGATTTTATTTCTAAAGTCCTTCTGAAATATTAATGTTTAGCAAATGGACACTAAGGCTCTATGTCCACCAAAAAAGAAAAGGACTGAACAATATAGAAAAAATCTAAAGGTTTCTGCCACACATGAATATTTTCTCACATGGACAAGGCCAAGAAATATTCCGAGTAGACCAGGGCTGCATGACAGGAAGCTACAGAGCTAGCCCCAGAGACGACGTACCTGCTCTGGGTTAGAAAGAGATCTTTTCCTTCATAGTGATTATACAGAAATAAGTTTTGATTAAAATGAATTTTTATTTTAAAAATGTGAATTGCATAAGCTTATGGAGGGCAACTATAGAGACACCTGTAAAGAATACAGTAAAGAGAAAAAAGAGAGCTGCATGTTCATGCTGGTGACAGAAAGAAACCACGTTTAGTTAAGAGAGGGTTTCTTTCCTGCTTGTCAGTCTACACACCCCTGTACCACTTTACTTTGTCTCAGCCAAACTCACTATTTTCTCTTCCCTTTGAATCACACTACATTCCTCGTCTCCTTCCCCTGTGCACTCAATTTCTTCCCACCGTCTTTTTCTAGGGCAAAACAGAGCCAGAGATCTATTAGCCAATCCAACTTCACAGAGCCTGACCAAATATCCCACAACAAAACAACCACAATAATGTGGTTAATGTGCTTAAGAATGGCTGCTTTTTTAAAAAAAAAAAAAATCTTTATAAAGCACCCATTTTGAAAATATTATGGGATTCTCCTACTGGGATGGGATACAAAATGAGGGAAAATAAGGATTCCTGCACACACAAAAAACATCTAATATCCATTCACCTGTTCTTAGAAGAGGTACAGCATATTCCAGGGTGGACACACAGAACTGAGGAAGGCTGAGCTGTTGGAACTGTAACTCTAAAGTATCCTCACTTTCCAGGTCTGGCAGGTCAATGTGCCCTACATCCAGCGGTGACTGCAGATATATTCTGGAGTTTGCACTAGCTTGTGTACTGCTTCCACTACAAAGCAAATACAGTATAGTAATTAAACACTGTCAAACAAGATAAACTTAATCAACCATACAAAAAAAAGACCTGAAGAGGTAAAAAAGGATTGCACCCTTTTTTTCATTTCTTTATGATTTATAAAGGCAGACTAGCTTTTTCTCCCATAAACAAACAAAAAAAAAAAGGATGCGGGACATTTTTTTTCCTTAGAAATTTACAGTATGTTAAGTCTGATGTTGCCTGTTTTAGTAGAGATCTTCAAAGATGGACCTAGAAATGTGGATCGGGAATGAATGGAGCGTTGAATCTTTGACAAAAAAGAGTTTTTCCTTCCGTGTATTAGATGGTTGTGCTAAAACTAAGAGCAGGTCTACACTACGGGGTTAAGTCGACCTAAGTTACGCAACGCCAGCTATGTGAATAATGTAGCTGGAGTCGACATACGTTAGGTCAACTTATTGCGGTGTCTACACCGTGGTGGGTCGACGGGAGAAACTCTCCCGTCGACTTACCTTGTGCTTCTCGTTCCTGTGGAGTACCAGAGTCGACGGGAAAGCGATCAGTGGTCAATTTAGCAGGTCTTAACTACACCCGCTAAATCAACCCCCAGTGGATCGATCACCGCAGCACTGATCCACAGTAAGCGGAGACAAGCCCTAAGTAAGAACAAAACAACCCACAGTGGAGTGGTCTGAATTAAAGTCTCATTTCAATAAATCAGGTTTCACTTGCTTGGTATCAGCAATGTCATTTCCCTGCTACCTCTCTGGCTGCCCATAGAATCTTCCAGGAAAGAACAGTCCCTAGAAGACCTGATTTTCTAATGTGAAAAACAAGCTGAACATAAAATCCTTTACAGGCCTTGTTTATACATCAAAGTGGATAAACAGTGCCTTATTCTCCCACCCCCTTCAAAGACATCTTCAATACAATCAAGCATATGCATCAACAGTACATTTTGATTTTTATCTCTTTCCAGCTACCTTTAAAGGCTCCTAGATTCGCCAGATGTGTTGAACTGAAGATAGCTCAAAGACATAAGGTTTTTCTTATAATTGTTTTCATCTCTACAAGTCATTATTTTGACTAAATATTTCTAAGGATTTATAAAGCAATTCAAGATACAATAACTTTATTCATTTTCCCTTATGAAGAATTTGAAGGAAGTGATCTCTAGTATGGTTACATTATGTTATATTGTCTTTATATGGATTCCTCTTTCCAATGCACTTTGAAAGGATAGCAGCATATTCCTATAGATTCTTTGAACTTAAGAGTTGAAGGAGAATAAAAGGACGATACAGCAATGGAAACAAAAATACAGATGAATCAACAATGGATGGTTCTGATTGTCATACATGTGCTTATAAGATGAGGACGAGACGATGCATCAAATCATTAGAAGTATTAAGAAAAGGGAAAAGGATAGGTTTCCAGACAGAAGTTAAAACACAGACGATAGAAAAGTTCCAGAGATTTTAGACAAGAAGAGAAAGTGTGATATTTAGAAACAGAAATAGAAAAATAAATCAGATTATGAAAATTTGAACAAGAGTTGGTGGCTAGAAAGGATTCTTGTTTAATAGTATTAGACATAAGGATTGGAATTTTGAAGCAACACTTTTTCCTCTTTCCTAATTCTTTTCTCTCTGTTGTTTAATTCATCTCATTCTCTCGTTGAGCTTCAAGTTTTCCACCATATTGCTGCCGAGTTAAATTGTGGCTTTGCCACAAGCCTCATGCAAGAAGCAGTGAGTAGTTACACGGAACAGACACAGTCCAAGTTCTTGGCTCCCTTTTGTTCCCTGAGCATGGCATAGGTTACTTTCACTGCAGCATGAGCAGATGCATGAGGAACAGAACCAAAGCTCCATGAATTCCCCACCCATATGCATAGGATGGGCAGCAGTAGGCTGCTCCCAGACCTGTGCTGCTTCCTGTCATATGGACAGCCAGATCAGGAGACTAAGGGAGCACTGGCATGCAGACAGCGTTAAACAGGTCACAATATGGTACTTCATTAAGTTATCATTTGTTCTCTATATGTCCTCTCTCTCTCACCTGCTAAAAGTTCAAGTCATCCTATGTTGATTTCCTAGCCAATGAGATAGCCACCCCTGCCATTTTCAGACGAGTTGATCTTTGCTAAGTCTTTCCCATGTTAGATTATAAAACACTTCAGGGCAGAGGGAAAGGTCTTTGCCTATGTGCTGTAAAGCACAGGGTTCATTTATCATGCTATATACCTGCTTAATAAAAACTCAATGTACTAGATCCAATAACTTTTTTACATAGTAATAATAGCTCTCAAGACCTTTAAAATTAATCATCTGAGCTACCATATCTATAATGTGAGAACACTTTATTGTATATTGGTTAGCTCTACTAACTATTAAGACTCAAAAAGGTATCACCATTGACTAAATAAGAATTCAGTCTTTTTAAATCCTCAACTAATGACCTAATAAAGGGCAAAGATTCTTACAGAGTGATTACAAATCTTGTGCCAAGAGGAGTACCACATATACACACTAACCTCTACATTTTAAGAGTGTCCAGTAAATCAGTTATAAGATTTGAATTATGTGACTAAATCATGTACAACTGAAATTTTATGTGGTCAAGCTTGTATGCCAAAAATCCTTAGAAACTTTTTATGTAAGTGTGTATAGTTACATCAGATTAAATTACACTCATTCTAAATTTTTTCTGTTACTAACTGTTGAAGGGAAACAAAAAATCCCAATCTCAATACTTGTCAAATAAATAGGAGAAGAAGTGGTTTTCAAAACTCACTGTAAACCAAGTCTACACACACTGAATTGCTGATTTCTTATCTTTAGCAATTTGAGAGTGTCAGATATTTGTAGTTCATCTCTAAAATACCAGACAGTTCTCTCTTTAGGAGCAGAATGAGAGAGATCAAAAGGATATTAGAAATTGTGAATATCATTTAAAATTTAAGTTTCGTTATTATAAAGACTTTTTCCAATTAGCATCCTAATTTCAACAATTAGACTTACAGAAGAACCTCAGAGTTATGAACACCAGAGTTACAAACTGACCGGTCAACCACACACCTCATTTGGAACTGGAAATATGCAATCAGGCAGTAGCAGAGACCAAAAAAAGCAAATACAGTACCGTACTGTGTTAAACATAAACTACTAAAAAAATAAAGGGAAAGCAGCATTTTTCTTCTGCACAGTAATATTTCAAAGCTGTATTAAGTCTATGCTCAGTTGTAAACTTTTGAAAGAACAAAGTTTTGTTTAGAGTCAGAACATTTCAGAGTTACAAATAACCTCCATTTCTGAGGTGTTCATAACTCTGAGGTTCTACTGCACATGTTTTCCCACAAGCTGGCTAGGAGCAAAATAGGTAATTCTGGTAATAGGCAACAGGCTTAACTTAGCCTCCCACTTTGTTCACCTGGAAGACGCTGCATCCCAGTCTTGGCCATCACCTCTGGGACGCTGACCTGTACGTCCAATCACAGATGGTCGAGGGCTACTACTTCCAGGTGATGGATTCTGGGAATGATAAGGTCCTCTTGCTTCTTGGCCATAAGACATAGAAGAATTCTGAGAAGCTGTACCTTATACAACAAAAGCAGAAAAATAAATTTACCACGCACCTCTCTGTCCTACAAACCGCTCGGTGAAGCATGAAAAGTCCAAGCTGGTTAACAAATGGCAAAAAAAACTAACACTATTCATTAAAGTAGAGTAAGAAAAATAATGAGGAAAGTACAGGATGTTGGCACAATCTACTTTAGTCCGTATGAATCTCAAAGTTGAGAGGTTCATTTCAGACTAACATTGGGGAAAAAAAACAATTTAAGCATAATTCTTGGGTCTGTAAAATTCAACTAGAAATCTCACATGAACATTTTGTGTTGTATTTTGGTACTTCTGCTTCAAGTTCTAGAAGTGCAGAGCCCAGTAAAGATTTTTTTAAAAAGTTATCTAAGCCTCAAAGAAGTTTGGGGTCAGTCAGCTTTTGGTCAAAGATGTGGGTGCTCTTACTCAAAAAGTAAGTGCTCCATTCATCATACAAAAAAATGTCTGAATCTTGCTAGAAGCGCAAAATTCAGTTCAGTCTTAACTATAGAATCACAAGCAGTGTTTCTGTAACAACATGCTTGCAATGTTTTATGAAAAGCTCTAACATCAAAGCAGGCAGAGAAAAAAGATGAAATTTGGCTGAATAATAGGCCATGGAAGGAGAGGGTGTCCTTCAGTCTTTAGTGAAAGTCAGTCATGATTTTGCTGGGTCATGAGGCTTTGCTTCTAGATCCAGAAGTCCCAGGTTCAAATGCTGCTGTTGATGTTTTAATTTAATTGAGGTCTCCTCTCCATTTGAGGCCTGTACAGTTGGACTCACAGTAACTAATGCACCTAGTTTTACAGGTGGAGGAGCATAAGAAAAAATTCCAATTAATATTTTTACAATCCTAAAACATTTATAAAATAGTTTTTATTTAACACATGTAGCATGCACAGCCTACATGTGAGAGAAGAGATTCATCATCACTTTTGAGCAAGGCAGCAACCCAAACTCACATTGCTACAGGATGGAATTTTCAAACATGACAAATTATCATCTTTAGAAAATCCATTCCACAGTCACACACAACATTTATATATACACACCTTGGTCAGTGGAGAAAAAGCCTGGATCTCTGTGAAAATTAAGCCTATTTCTTAAGAAGATACATAACTGTTGCAGGCATGACACAGCCTGCAAGGCTAAGCGGTGTTTTCCAGATTTTCCAAAAGCCAGCTTTAGTAGAGACAGAAGGCTCTAAAAACACAAGGATTAACAGAAATTTGTAAACAAAAATAAAATAACTTCTGAACCAGTGTAAGCAAAACCATACCGAAAGGACAGTTAAAAGTTCTTTGTTCATTGAAGGCAACATTATTAGTCCGAGGAGAAGTGTGTACTTCATACTATTTTCAAATGAGTCTCTGTCACCAGCCTAGAAACAACTTTTATGGGAGATACTTGCCATTCACCTTAGCCAGAAGAATGTGGAGAAAAAACCCAATTCAAGTATGCATAGATTAGATGTTGTGAACATCTAAGCAGGTGACTATAACAAAATTAAAAATGCAGGTTTCCTCTCTTAAGTGCGCCATGTAGTAAATTCCATTTTCTCCTTCCACTTAGCCAAACATTCATTTAATTAGTGTCTATCTAAACACAGAAGCATCGGCTCCAGATGGATTATCAGGAAAATTTATTTGAGCTCCTGCTTTACATGGCTCGCTTTGTAACCCAATGGAAAGTTTTAGGTGATGGTAGTTCTAACCTGAACAATCTTTGGTCTTTGAAGGAAAATCTCAGCAGGGAAATCTTGCATAATAACATCCTGTAGAAGCTCACACGTACTCCAAATTAAACTGTGGTTATTACTTCTCAAAGAGCTAAAAATTGAGTTGAAATTAGTTAAATATCAGAAATACTAGAACGGTGGAAGTCATTAGAGATAGACTTTTCCTTATAAAGCTATCAGTGCAATTGAAAGCATTTTCCAAGTAAAGGTTCCTGCTTGTGTTATTTTTGTAGACAAACGAGCAATGTTACACCCAAACTCAATTCCATTTGCGATCAAACCAATTTTCAACCTATATTTCTCAAGGAGAAGCTATTTCCTTAATCCCTTCAGAATTTTAAATTGAGATAAGAAAATCAGAAGTTCCCTGTGAAATTAGTCGTTCCCTATGGTAAACAACAAATTGACTAATGTCATAAGTAACAAAATTCTACCATTACCACTACCCAAATTAGCAACATTGAGAATTTCAGTCAGACATAAGAATTTACATAAAGGAAGCCAATTTAGAACAAATGGCATTTACTCTAGCTTTACTGTTTTCCGTTAAAAAAAAATTCTTTTCTCCACCAACTTCCCTTTCTCAAGTCCTTCTCCTTTGCTTTTTCAATTTTCTTTCATTCCACCCTCTCTTCGCTACTGTGCCTCTTCTTTCATTACAAATAGTTTTTAAATACCTAAGCCAAAGTAGTAACCTTGTCCTGTTTTGTGAACCAGAAATCTGTCAAACTGTCACATTTAAAGGAAAAAATAAAACATTAAATATATTTTCCAGATTTTGGAATTTATCAAACAGGAAAAGTAGACAAATCTGTTTCTTCTGCAAACAGTGACACATGTCAGTTGGAGATGGAACAGGTCTGTTAAGTAATCTAGTCCATCTTCCTCCATTATTCTCTGTACTAGACATATACTATCTGCTGTTTTGCCTATTCTGAAGTGATTCAAGCAACAGAAGTTTTTACCACAACACTTTAAAGGCTTTTATAGTTTAAAATTCCACCATCAGAAAATCATCTAGTTTTCAACAAGGGAGTAACATCAACGTTTAAAGCCTTTCACACCAGGAAGGAGGAGCATTTGGCTCAAGGGACTGGAATTGAGACATACTAGCTACAGCTGACTGGGTTCATATCTATCTGAGTTACCAATAATGATTTGGTGACCCATACAAAGTAAGCTCATGATCTTATTCTAGTGAGTACCAACGAATTGTCCACATCCCAAAACCCACCAAATTGGCATTGTTGGCTGACTCAGCAATTTATGCTAAAGGTAAAGGTTCAGGACAAAGTTCAGACACTGTAGTGGGTACCGTGTACTATGACTGCTATCAGCCTTCAGAATAGCTTTTATAATCACTCAGTTCATTTAAAAAATATTCACAACAGGAGCAGTTAGTGCTGAAAAGTGAAGTTTGAGTGGTTGCAATCCAATGAAGTAAAAAATATTACTATAAAATCTCCATTACTTTACCTTTCATTTGATGAAAGAACATGTCTATCCGTTGTGGTCAGTGTTAACCAAGGAAATGTGGAAAACTTCAAACACTTCACTGCCTGATTTACTGTTAAAAAGCATATTCCAAAAATGTTAGTGTATTTCTTTAGAAGAGTCAACATGTGTACAGTGAGAAACAGAATTTTTAATTATAAAACCTGATTGAACTAAATCTATTTGAAGAGCTGCCAATGAGAGTTTTCAGTAGAGTAATCAGAGAATGAACAAGTTGCAGTCACTCATTGATATTACATAAAGAGATTCAGTAAGGAGTAGCAATATTTCCCCTACCTCACATGCATCAACCTGTAATCTTATCTTGTTCTTCTGCAAAAACATATACTTTCCCAAACTTGAACATAAAAGAATTATATTTCCAATTTCTACACTTAATAATAATTTGTGTAATTTCTGCACTTATTTGTTTTTCTTATTTGTGACAATATCTTGTTTAAATTAACCTTTTAATTAAAAATTGCATTTAAGTAATTTTGTATTCCTAATGATGGCTAATATGCTGCTGAAAAGTGAATTGGTGAAAGAAGTATGGTAATGCCAATGTCAACTTGTAAAACCTAGTTTTCATCTTGTGACACTACTGACAGAACAATTAAAAGAACATTACACATTATGGATTGCTTTTCAGCAGGCTGGTCTGATTAACTGGATATAGAGCAGTGGTGGGCAACCTGAGGTCCATCAGGGTAATCTGATTGCGGGCCACGAGACATTTTGCTGACATTGACCGTCCGCAGGCACGGCCCCCTGCAGGCCTCAGTGTCCGCGGTTTGCCCCCCCCATCAGCGCCTTCCCCTCCCTCCTGCCTGCCGAGATCAGCTGTTTCACAGCATTGAGGAGGCTCTGGGGGGAGGAGCAAGGAAGCAGCACCCAGGGCCCCTCCCTCACCCAGCACCTCCTGCCCACTGCGTTCAGCTGTTTCATGGTGTTGAAGAGGCTTGGGGGGAGGAGAGGGGGGAAGGGGAAGGTGGAGCGAGAACGTGGCGCCCAGCTCCCCTCCCTCACTCGCAGAGCTTCCTCAACGCTGCGAAACAGCAGATTGCGGTGAGCAGGAAGCACTGGGGGAGGGAGTGGGGAGGAGTGAGGACCCAGTGCGCAGCCTCTCCACTCCCTCCTCCAGTGTTCCTTTGCCTCCTGCCCACCACGATCAGCTGTTTCGAGGCCAGCAGGAGGCTCTGGGAGGGGGAAGGGCAAGGACATGGCTCACTGGGGAGGGGGCAGAATGGGGTGGGAAGAGGTGGGGCAGGGGCAGGAAGAGTCATGGTGGGGTGGGGACTTGGTGAAAGGGGTGGAGTGGAAGGCAGGGCCTGGGGCTGAGCCAGGGGTCCAGCAAGTCCGGGCCAGCACCTGTGTCTCCTTGACTTAACTTCACGGTGACTACCTGGTGTGGAAATTTTTAATCAAAAGTTTTCTTACACCATCTAACAACGGAAGGCAAGTGCAAATGGAAAACAAAATACACAGATGAAAATCGAGGCTTTCAACAGGAGTGGGAGAATAAGTACTTTTTCATTGAACGTAATGGTAAGGCCACGTGTCTTCTTTGCCAGATGTGTATTTCTCGGTTCAAATCTTCAAACATGCAGTGTCCTTTCGTTTCTAGCCATGCACATATGGATGAAGAATTCCCACAAGGTTCTGAACGCCACACTTTAAAACTGAAAACTTTGAAAAAACAAACAAATGTAGAACCCCAGTTCTTCACCAGATTTGCCAACCGATCACAGATTGTAAGGTTAGCCTCCTATTATGTGGCCTGGCACATAGCCTGTGCAAAAAAGCCTGACTCTGAAGGTGAGTTTATAAAAACTTGCCTCACTGATGTGATTTCAATCCTGTCACCAGAGAACAGGAATCTACAGAAGAAAATTTCTGGCCTGCAATTTTCACGCCACACAATAAAATGCAGAATCTCCGACCTGAACAGTGACATCGAATCGCAACTTAACTTGCAACTTCAGCAGTGTGAGTATTTGAGCATCCCTTGGGAATAGTCATGTGATGTACTCCATAAACCTCAATTAACGGTATTTATCCGGACTACGTCTGACAACTGTGTTGTAAGTGAAGAACTCCTAGCTATCGTGCCACTAAAGGACAGAACTCATGGATGAGATCTAAAGGAGGCATTGATGTTAGTTGCGAAACACCACTTTCCTGTACAGAAGCTCACTGCCATTGCAACAGATGGGGCTCTGTCCATGTGGGGATCTGTGATATGAATTAGTGGGGCTTTGTAAGTCTGATGAGAGCTTTCCCGAATTTTGGACATTTCACTGTATTAGTCATCGGGAGCAACTGGCATCTACAAATCTCCAATTTGATCACATCATGAAACATATCTTGCACATTGTGAATTTCATTCAATTCAAATGCACTCAATCACAGACAATTTCAAAATCTAATCCAAGATCTGGATGAAGACAACTTCCCTGCCGATTTGCCATTTCACTGCGCAGTTCAATGGCTATTGAGAGGTAAAGTTATTTCCTATTTTTTCGAGCTCCTAGAACCAGTAAAATTGTTTATGAAGGAGAAGCAAAGAATACACCCTGAGCTTACAGATCCTGGATGGGTTCTAGACTTCGCATTTCTTGCAGACATGCTGTTGCATTTGGATAAACTAAACGTGGACTTACAAGGAAAATTCCAGTTACTGTCTGATCTAAGCGTATTTGCGTTCATGAACAAACTGCAGTTGTTTCACAGACAAATGCTTGAGAGATAGCGGACACAATTTCCCTCAGTGTCACAACTTCAAGCTAGATCAAAAGAAGATGCTGCAGAATCCCTAAAATGGAGCACAACTAGATACGCGAGCATGATTAAAGACATTAAGGACAGTTTTGAGGAAAAAAACCTCAAATCAGATTTCTGATTGACCCTTTTAGTGCTGAAGCGGATTGTCTGAAGGCCCCTTTAGTCACTGATAAAGCAACATCCCAGATGGAAATAATAGAACTTTTGGAAGATGACAGATTGAAATCTGTTCAGAAGACAGAGGGGACCCTTACTTTCTGGAAATCTGTACCAAAGGATAAATACTGCAACATCAGAGGTGCAGCCCTAAAATTAATTTTGATGTTTGCCTCAGCCTATCTTTGTGAGTCTGTTTTCTTGACGCTCAAACATGTGAAATCCAAGCACCGATCCGTTCTGACAGACAGCCACTTAAGAGAACTGCTGCATTTGAGCACAACTGAACACAAACTTCAAAGGAATTGCTGAAAGCAAAGACTGCCAGAAGTCCCACTAAGTAAAAGGTTAAGACAAGTTGTTGTTATTGTCGTTAACTATACATCAAATGATATAATGATTATGTGCGCACGCACACACACACACAAACACATATAAATACATGTATGTAATCATTACATAATACTGTGGCTCTTTGGCAATGTACCTGGGTAAATTCTGGCGCCTTCTCAGGCTCAGGTTGGCCACCCCGCATTAAAAGCTACCAACTAGTGAACAAATCTGGACTGGACAGAACAACAGGATGGTCGAAGTCTGGGGGAAGCTAATTTTCTCCAATTGCCCCACAGGCGGTGTTATAAATACAAAGGGAAGGGTAACCACCTTTAAATCCCTCCTGGCCAGAGTCAAAACCCTTTCACCTGTAAAGGGTTAAGAAGCTAAGGTAACTTTGCTGGCATCTGACCAAAGTGACCAATGAGGAGACAAGATACTTTCAAAGCTTGCCGGGGCGAGGGGGAGGGCAGCTCTGGTCCTAGGGTCACTGGCAATGGGGTCTCAGGGCCCCATTTCCTTAAAAAGGTAACAGACAGAGCCCATGGACAGGAAATATGCTAAGGAAGCCAAGGGAATAGACATTTCTGAAGCCTGCTCAGATCACAGGAAACTTAAGAGTATACATGTCCAGCATATGAGGTCCAAATACAGCAGTAAGGTGATTGTCCAGGCAGGGGAAGTTTGATCAGGGCCGTGTGTGACAGAGGTACTTCTGCTATGTTTCTTACAGTTATCTCAGTGATACTAGATAAATAAAAAAGCATTAGTGCTGTTTACTATTTAGATAAAGGATAACATTTTCAAAAGTATGTAGGTCCCATTCTCAAAAAAGACTTAGGCGTATAAGAGTCTAAATTTCATTGCAAGTTAATGGTATTTAGGCTAATTCCCTAAGTCACTTTTGCCACTGGAATTTAGGTCCTTTAAATTTTAAAATATTAAAAAATTAAAAATGTTCTAAAATGCCTACTTTTAATTGTTACTCCACTAGAATGACTAGATGAAAACTAGATTTATCATTTCTACCAGTGGAGTTTCTATGGGGCCCATATTCACGAAATGGCAGCAGGAAGCAGAAGGCACAACAATGCCAGTTGTAATTAAAAAGATATTGGAAATTATATTTTCCACAGAATCCTCTATTGAATATATGTGTATGACAGAATTATTTCAATTGCATACCAACTGATCTTTTGGGAGGGATTTCCATCTGTTGCAAATTACTTCTGCCTTGGTGAAAATATCCAGTGACTATTTCTTCTTGGGGTAAAACTAAAACAAAACAAAACAAGGCAGTAAACAAAAAAAGCACATTTTCATTGTATATAAATACTGTATTTTTCTGTATTCTGTGGTTGAACTGTTTTCTACTTTATCCCTAAATTAGAAATCTTATGGAGTTAAATGGAGTTATTTATTTCAGATATTACACTTTGCCCGAGTCCTCTCTCGAGTTGTAATTTTACAATCACATTCTCCAATTTGTAAGATGTTTCTCTGTTTCCTTCTTGTGTCCTAGGCAAACAGGGAAACTGACTATACACAAAGTGCTGCCAAATGAACAAAGTAAACAAACTGAAAGACAGAGAAAATGTTTTCCTCTAATCTGAAGTACTAATTTTGTAACAATAGTCGGTAAAGTTTCCAAAGAGAATGATAGTTTAGAGGTACACAGTCAACCTTAAAGTAAGTAGCAGGTCAGTTCAGCAGTTTATTGGGCTTTTTAAAATATATAAACATATGAAATACACACATACACACACACACACAATTATTCTAATATCCCTTTGGAACATCAATAGCAATATGGATTTCCAAAAGTAAGCTTCAGGAAACCAAGTTAGGAATCTCATTTGGTCTAACCACGTCCACGCTGTTAGCTTGATTTTTAATTTTTCCCTACAATTAAAAAAGGCTAACTATTTATCGAAGGGGCAATTGTGGCTTCTGATTTAAAGAACTGAGTAAAACTAGCACATGCTTATCACATATAATTTACACTGGAATCAGAAGTTACTGTCACGTAGTAGCATTGTGATATTTAGGGTAGGCATATGAGAGGGGCTGTAGCTTAGTAGCTGGGGGGGGGGGGGGGGGGAAATCACCACATTTCATACACAGTGGGAATCAAAATTGGAGAAGTAAAAATCTGCCTGAGCTGTCAAAAGAGAACCAATAAAGCTAGTTAGGTTCTTTAACAAGAGTTAATGGCCTAATCTTGATTCCTCACAGAGGCCCAGTAAACAAATTATGCACAGAGAAATTCTGCAAGAGTCGGAAAGGCTGCAAGAGCCAAAAAAAGAGCTGTTCCGCTCTCATACACTGCAGCCTCAAAGCTAGAATAGCTGCTGATACTACCATACTCCTTTACCCACACACAAGGGGGTTAGGCCAGTGGAGCAACATAAATGATACATCATCACCCTTGCCCAAAAACACCATGAGCACTAGATAAGGAGCCCCATGAAACAAAACTCTGTAGTGCCTTCTCCCAAAGACACTTGTGTTCAGAAATGTAAAGAGAAAATGAACAGGGTGTGAACTGGAATATTCTTTTTAAAAAACCAAGCAAGTAAACTTTTCAAAAATATAAATTACCTAGTTTGTCGTCTGACGGTAAGGGCTGACCTTGATAAGACACTGCTGGATAATTGGCAGGAATTTCTGAAGGAAGTAGGAAGAGCCCATCTAGGATCCCATCAATTACAGTCTGCAGATTTGGATCCATATTATGACGAAGTTGAGAAAAGAATTCCACTGCACCAATCCCAACCAATTGCTGGACAGCAGACGGATGCTAGATCAGAAAGAGGATAATCAGACTTGCTGGCAATTTCTTTAAGTTTCTGTACTACATCAGAAAGACATAGCTATCGAACTTAAATTCAGCTTTTTGTTATCTTACAGAAAATTTAAGTTTTTCAACTCAATATCAAATGTTTTCCCACACTGTTGTATGGTGATTAGCGCAGGGAACTGGGAGTCAGGATCCTGTTCCACACCCAACTCTGCAAAGGACTAGCTGTGATACTTGGGGCAAACCATTAACTTCTTTACATGCATCCAAATTAGGCAAATATCCCCTATTTTTCAGCAATAATGCTGCTCTGCAGGTGTTACCAGTGCTGGAAACTTTACCATAAATGGAGTAAAGGCATTTTAACCACTGTATTCTCTAACCCTGTTCTAAGCAAATCCCTGTTCTCCATTTTTCTGATTATTTCAGTATATGTGGCAAAAGTTGAGACTGGTCACTGCACTGGGAATCAAGTGACAGAGTTATTTTTCCAGCTCTCCCACTGACCTGCCATGTCATCTTGCACATGTTATTTCACCTCCATGTCTGTTTCATTATCTATGCAATGGTTTTAGTGATATTAATCCTCATTTGTAAATTAATCTAAGTTAGTTGCAAAACACTCTAAAAAAAAAAAAAAAGAGCACAGTGTACTGTGTGTGTGAGTAAATTCCATTTATGTCTAATATTGTAAATGCATACTGTTTAAGAACAAGATTTCATACCTTTACCAAGTTGTTCACCAAATTTAGTATCTCCTCTTTCATTGGAACTATAGGAAAATTGAACCATTCCAGCAAATGGAGAAAAAGCAACTTTTCTTGGACTAGATCAGCATATGAAATCAAATTATGATCTAATTTACACAATATATTCTTGAGAGCTCGTTCTCTTATCTCTGCAAGTTGATGACCTGTGCAAAAAAAGACGACGACGGCAAAGGAGTGCTAAAGAATTAAAAAGTGGTTCAGAAACATATCTACAATACCACCCCAATTCTTAGTTTTATTTGGTGTCTCAGCAGGGACATCTAAGATTTAGGAAAGCTTGTGCTGCTGCTTGTCACAGGGACAAATGGTACTTCATTCTCCATGTCTGAGTCAATAGCGCATCTTCTAAAGTTCTAAATTCACTTTTAAATAAAAAGGCTGTATTAATACAGCAGTATCTGCTTTGGTTCTACTGTGTTCAGAGAAAAGGGACTTTGGGTACATTCTTTGTAAATAAACAGCACTGCCCGTGCCCCCAGCTTGTCTGTGCAGACACCTGCGCGCGTAGCTACACGCGTGGACATGGCCCGTGTGCGCGAGTGTCCGCGTGCGCACCCCCCCGTCAGACACACCGCCCGGCGCGGGCCGTGGCAGCGGGACCCGCTCAGCCCCCCACACCCACGGCCGTTCCCCGGGCAGGGGCGGCCCGAGCAGAGCGGAGCAGGGGCCGCGGGGCAGCTACCGAGTTTCCTGATGAGCGGGGCCAGCTCCATCCCCGCGGCGCCGCTCTGCCCGCCCGGAATCCAACCGCCGCAGCGCCGCGTCCCGCGGCGAATCCGCTCCGCCTTGAGCAGGAGGGAGCAAGCGGAGAGAGACCGTTGCTGTGGGGGGGGGGAGGGAGGGGTCAACAAACCGCAAGGCATCCTGGGAGGTGTAGTTCTTCCACCACTCTTCCTGGGCGGCCTGCAATTCCCAGGATACCGCGCGCCCGGAACGTGGGCTCGCCGTCGCCCGATCCCGTGAGTTCGGTCCCCCTGGTGGGAGAGGAGGGGGCAGCAGGAGGCGCGGAGCGAGTCCCTCGGGAAGAGCTCCGAGCTGGGGCTGAGCGAGGACGAGGCGGGCAACCAAAGGGCCCCGAGCCTGCAGGGGAGCCTCACATGGTGCCCAGCCCCGTTGGGGCTCCTCGGGGTCGCTGGGCCTCGTGGAGCTCGCTTTGGGACATGAAGTTCCCCCACGCGACTGAAGGGACTCAGCCCATCCGCCTGGCCCCGAGCCAATGCTGTGTCATTTCTCCTGCTGCCGACCGGCCACGGAGGGGTTGCTGCCCATAGCTGTGCCAGCGTGCAGTGGAGTGAAATTAACTAAAGCATAGATTTCAGCCTTACTCTTTCAGTAACTCCCCAATGTCTGTGCTGTAGGGCGAAACTATTCTGCTTTGATCTCCTTTCCTTAAGCAAAAATGAATAGGACACTTTGTCCCCTTCACCCTGAGGTCAGTTTAAAAATCATGAGACTAAAACAATGAATTGTGGGTTCTTTCTGTTTGCTCTCTGGTATTGGAGCACTTAGGGATTTATGTTTTCAGTCTTTTTTCTCACAGACATAAGGCTAGAAACATTGTTTGTTTTTATGATAAAAGCTAAGATTCCCAGACAATAACATGATTTCAGCAGCAGGGGCTTTAAGGAAACCAAACATCATCAGGCACCAAGGCTGGCATCAAGAATTACCAAGCTGTAGAGAAGGAGTTGTGACAGTTAAACTGAGAAGAGGCATGATTCCTTTATTTTTAACTGCTACATATAACATGATAATGCTTGTAAAAACATCCTTTACTTAAATGATGGAGATTTCACTGGATATATGATTGTCCATAAACTGGTTATCGAGATCATGAGGATGAGTAGAGAGAAAAGAGAGCAAAGTGGAGGAGGATGATAATAAATGTTTCTTTCGGAATCACATTTAGCATCCCCCATAGCACTACTTTATATATTTTTGACAGAAAGCAAATAAAATGACCCCTTCTGATATTTTTCTCTCATACAGTATATCTGCTAAAATAATATGCTACTAGAAAACCATGCAGGGATTAGAATAATTTCTTCTAGATTACCTAAAGACATGTTGTGATGGTTTGGATCACAGAAACCCCCTGGGAGCTGCCACCTGATGTGCCAAGACTACTTCTGCCCCTGCTTTCCTGCCCTGGCAGCTTAGAACTCCAGCACCTTGCCTGGTTTGAGCCAGACCCGCTAGCCTGCTGCAAACCCGGACCCAGGTCTGAACCATGTCCCCTAACAGCTGTAGGCTCAATTGAAAGCAGTTTACAGAAGTGTTCCTGTCCTTGACACTCAGATGCCCAACTCCCAATGGGGTCCAAACCCTGAATAAATCTGTTTTACCCTGTATAAAAGAATTAAGATACCTGATGATTTGTGCATGAAGTTCAAAATTTAGAAATGTTTCTGGTAAAATGTGAGGTCTTCTCTAATATAGGACTGTTTCCTTAGCAAACAGATGGATGCCCTCATTCTCCCACACCTCAGAGTGCTAAATTTTCTTCTCATTCAGTAATCAGAGATGCCCATCATTTTGCAAGATAATATTTGTGTCAATGGAGTAATAAAACAAAGGGGCTTTATTGAAATAATAATAAACATGCAATGATTGCTGCAATTAGTTTTTCCACAGAGGCTAGAATCACACAGGTCTAACTGTGGAAAGAAATTTTTCATGAGCAAATACAGAAACAGCATCTCTGGCAGAGTGACATTCTTTTTGGCTATAAATTACAACCTCATACAATGAAAAGTAAAGTGCTCCCATCAGAGAGGAACTCTCAGGTTTCCACAATGAGATTGGTGGGAAACTTGTGAGTTCCATGGGAGTGTTTCACTCTTTCGTGGAACTGTGGATTGGCATTATACCTCAGTTGTGAAGTGAAGAGAAGGAATTGCTTAGCTAACACAGCCACTCCCTGTGACGTTCCACTCTGGTGTTATCTGGACCAGTGATCCAGATAGGTCACTCCAATCCTTGACTATGGGAGCCAGCTTTGCCCTGCTCTGCTGTTCATGCACAGCCTCTGGCATGTAAGCTGCTCCTTGAATTGTGCAACCAAATGACACTAGCCAATATCTCCAGTCACAGACACAACCCTAGGAACCTCCGTCTTGCAGTGTCAAGTTATGCCCGCTGGACGCTGCAAGCTTATATGAGTTTATCAATTTAACAAAGAAATTGATCTGTGCCAGGCTTGTTATCCCAAGAGGAGCCTCTGACGTGCTTCAAGCCAAACACACTGCTTCAGGTAGAATAAACAAATACATTTATTAACTATAAAGATAGATTTTAAGTTATTATAAGTCAAAACATAACAAGTCAGATTTGGTCAAATGAAATAAAAGCAAAATGCATTCTAAGCTGATCTTAACGCTTTCAATGCCCTTACAAACTTAGGTGCTTCTCACCACAAGTTGGCTGGTTGCACTTCAGCCAGGCTCTCCCCTTTGATCAGCGCTTCAGTCGCTTGGTGTAGAGTCTGTAGATGGAGGTGGAAGAGAGAGGAAGAACATGGCAAAAGTCTCTCCCTTTTATCATGTTCTTTCTTCTTTCTTGGCTTTGCCCTCCACCCCTTCAGAGTCAGGTGAGCATCACCTCATCGCAGTTCCACACTGACCAAAGGAAGGGGGTGGTCTCCCTCGAGAGCCCAACAGATTCTTTTGTTGCTGCCTAAGCCAGCGTCCTTTGTTCCTGTGGGGCTGGGCTGGGTTTGTCCCATACATGCCCTGATGAAGTGTGAACTGCCTCTCTGCTCTTATTTTAAGCCATGAGGATACATTTTCAGCCTCATAACTACCAACATGAAATTATAACCTATAACATTACTATAACATTACTATAACAACAATGCTCAGGGAATCATGAGCCTTCTGAAGACACCTGACATGACAAACTTTGCATTGGATACCATACAATCATTATACAAAGATGAACATGGGGGTGCTGGGTGTTCCCCCAAGGTACAGAGTGCCACACTCCCTAAATTCGATTCAATAACATTTCTTCAGAAGAAAGCACAAAGCTAGATGGATCTGTAAGAGACTAATGAAAGCCCTTCTCTGCCTGAATATGGCCAGTCAGCCTAAGCACTAAGGAAGTAAGGACATATTTTTGCTCCATGTTGGATGCCTGCATTATATGGATATTTACATGAGAGAAAGGTCCAGAAAACACTCTCATTCACAGACCACTGTCTCTGATCTATGTAGTCAAAGATCATGATGACCAATTTTTGCTTCATAGTTTCAAATGCTACCCCAAAGGGGAAAAAGGTGTGTCATGAGACTTGGTGCATCTGCAAGGGGATGCTGGGTAAGGACACTTTTCATTGGTTATAGGAAGTGAAGGAAGGTTTGGCAGTTGGGATGGGGTGTGGTTAAGCACTTTTTGTTATATTTGCAAGAGGAGTTAGCAGTTAAGGAGAGAATCTGGTCCACAGTTATTGTGAGTGTCTACCCCAGGGATATGTACTCTCCTGCTTTGCATCTCTCAGCCATCTGCCCTGCCTGCTCCTCCTCATCAGCCTTCAGACTCCCCATAGCTATTTCCCAATCAACTCTGATTTCTTCCTCCCCTTTGGCATTCCTTTGCATAAGTTTTTCTTGGTGTCCACTTGAGAGGAACTATCTATGTCATACACATGAAGAATATTAAACAGAAAAAGCATAATGTAGCTTCTCTTTTCTGTCACTTCCTCTTCAGTTTGCTGGTTTTGGGGAAGCCAGTAGCTGAGGCAACTTCTCTCCATGCCTTCCTCTTTAGCTATGTGTGCATTAAACCTCAAAGGAAAATCCTGACTTTCAGATATAAAAGTTTTTTTTTTTAAAGAATCTATTTCTGTACAGAAGTCTTTATGGGTTCAACAGAGCTCTTCTCTCCCGTCTCACATTATCTTTGTTCGGCCGAAGGGGCATGGTTGGCTTAAGCAGCTCCTCTCCTTGCCTTCAGCCAGCAGGCTCCCTTGCTGAACACATCTCTACTTATCAGCTCACTTTTACATAATTGAGTTTCTACTGTATGTGTCATAAATGTAAAGGGAAGGGTAAACCCCTTTAAAATCCCTCCTGGCCAGAGGAAAAATCCTTTCACCTGTAAAGGGTTAAGAAGCTAAAGGTAACCTCGCTGGCACCTGACCAAAATGACCAATAAGGAGACAAGATACTTTCAAAAGCTGGGAGGAGGGAGAGAAACAAAGGGTCTGTGTCTGTTGGTATGCTGCTTTGCCGGGGATAGAACAGGAATGGAGTCTTAGAAGTTTTAGTAAGTAATCTAGCTAGGTACGTGTTAGATTATGATTTCTTTAAATGGCTGAGAAAAGAATTGTGCTGAATAGAATGACTATTTCTGTCTGTGTGTCTTTTTTGTAACTTAAGGTTTTGCCTAGAGGGATTCTCTATGTTTTGAATCTAATTACCCTGTAAGGTACCTACCATCCTGATTTTACAGGGGTGATTCCTTTACTCCTATTTACTTCTATTTCTATTAAAAGTCTTCTTGTAAGAAAACTGAATGCTTTTTCATTGTTCTCAGATCCAAGGGTTTGGGTCTGTGGTCACCTATGCAAATTGGTGAGGATTTTTACCAAACCTTTCCCAGGAAGTGGGGTGCAAGGGTTGGGAGGATTTTGGGGGGAAAGACGTGTCCAAACTACATTTCCCAGTAAACCCAGTTAGAGTTTGGTGGTGGCAGTGGTTATTCCAAGGACAAAGGATAAAATTAATTTGTACCTTGGGGAAGTTTTAACCTAAGCTGGTAGAAGTAAGGTTAGGAGGTTTTCATTCAGGTCCC